CATTCCCACTCAAATAAATATACTAATTTTCTTCCAGAAGTCCATAGTATGTGTTTCATTTTGAGTAATATTCTTTGGAGATTATTTTAAAATATGTATAGAAATAAAATACTATATTAGATTTAGTATAATTATATGACAAAAATACAAAAATCATATTTCAAATCATAATAGATGCATGCAATTTGGTTGTTTCAATTATAATATAGAGTTTAACTGTAAAATTTTCATTTTCCTTATTGAACTTTCTTTCAGACCAAGACCTTTTGCATAAGTAAAGAATATCACTTACAATAATATTATATATATATTATTATGTAGAAAATATTATTGTTTAATGTACGAATTTCTGAAAATATCATCCATAGATTTTAATTGGTTTACCCATGGAGGTCTTGATGTGGAGCGTGCCAACATTCTACCATCCCTTTTTCAAGAGGGAAACCAAGAAGTTGATGGTTGTACTCAAGTTTTATCTGAGTTAATCTTCGGACATTTCGTCAGTACCGAAGGCTGTACCAAGGGACAATGTGTTTTTCAATTGGAATCTGAATTGATTTATATAGAATAATACTTGACTGAAGACTTGACTTCGTTAACTTTGCTGCTGACTGATTCGGTTTCAGGGATGGCAATAGGGAATTTACCGATCTTGGTGAAGACATTACCAACAAGTCTTGGGATAACTTTCATGAGGGATTCAGAGGCAATGAGGATGTCAAAAGGTTTGCACCACTTTTTGATTGGCTTCTTCTCTTTGTTGAACTTCTTCAGGCCGTCTTGATCGATCGCGGTGAGACCGAGGGCCTTGGCCTGATCTGAATCGATGAGAGGTAAATCGTACCGCAATGAGTTAAATTACCAATAACACCGATTTTGATGTTAGGGTAAGGGGCATGTAACAAACGTGTTGAGCCTTAGAAACGCTTGTCCTTCTAGACATCGTAATCTCTCAATTAAATTTACAACTCTGTGGTCTCTTTAAAGTTTCTCTTCTTTCTCTCTGTCAACATTTCATGGATGTATTTCTTCAATTATTCACCTTGGAGCTTGCTAAAGAAGGTTTAAGAGAGATTTAATACCTCATTGCTAATTTTTTAAAAAAAATTTAAATAAAATAAAATCCATCTAATCAACTCTTTAATTCATCATTCTCATTATAATTTATATTAATCATTAAATTCCCATTAATATTTGAATTCTCAACGGGGTATTCTTCACAAACTCTTGCTTCTTCTCATTAAAATATATCAAGCAAGCAAGAGTAAGTATTTCTTCATAATTAAAACAATATCACACTTATAATTTATTACCCCACATTCTTTTCTATGAGAATTCATTAGATAAGCAGAATTCCTCTACAAAAACAGAGGATTAGAGCTTGTCTGATTTAATTGTAATTTGTTGTAATAAAATAAAAATATCTTTAAGTAATATTATGGTCCTTAGTGCTAATTCGCCCTTTCACCATATATTTTTAATAGAGAGTACCTTATCAACCAAGAAATTAGCAATAAGTTAATAAATATTCACAATTATTTCAATATTAATCGTAATATAAGAGCTTTAATTTTACTCGATTAAATCAATATACAAAAAAAAGAATATAATTTATATTAATTAAATATATGTCTGATTCTGATGATAGTGTTACGGAATTACAAGAGGAATCTGATAAAGCAGAAGTCATCCAATACTTTAGTACTAATTATGCCAAAGTTGTTTCGAATTTTCAATAGTACTGTGAGACAAGAAATTAGATGTCCTCACTAGTAATGAAAGTGAATGCATTCGAAAATAAAATAGATGTAATTACTTTTAATGCATTCAGAAAGTCAAGAAAAGCAACCTCTACGATATACGAGAAATTAGCAACAAAACAAACCTCATTATTAATCTTACCAAGTTGTAGAACATGTTACTATAAATGAAAAACAATGTCATCCATGGACAGAAAGCTATAATGAATATCAAATAGGATAAGCATACAGCTGCTATAAGAGCCATTCAGAAATTAGACTCCAAAAACCTACCAGATTTTGTATCCAATCTCTAATAGTTGATAACTAATAAAGTTTAAGTTGAAGCTAATACCAAAATACAACAATGGGTAGAATTAAGCAAATAACAACAAATTGATATGGGTTAGAGTGTGATTTAGAATTGTGAGCAACTCCTAATGGTTAATTCGCAATTTGCAAGAATTTCCTTATTTTAACCTGATATACGATCAAGCATAGTTATGAGATAATCGACAGTAGGGAGAGTCTCTATGGTAAGACAATCAATTGTAAGATAATCTGTGGCTCCAAGTCAGAGTAGAATATCATTTTTTTAGTAATTCAAATAGTAGTAAACATCAAATTTGTAAGTATCGCGAACATCTTAATTAAATTAGTCTGTGTTGGATCAATCTTAATAAATGCTTCATGAATCTTTGATTGAACCAAGTGCATGGGAGTTTTCGATAGATTATTCATAATTAAAAATGCCTTAATTGATTTATGAGAATTTGAATTAGAGACTAAGTTTCTATTAATAATTGAAATAGAGCAGAATAAAGTTTTTATAGTATGTATGTGGTACAGAAATAAGATAAAGTTTAAATGATTTCAGGAATTATTTGGCTTGCATTTTGGGATTTGTGTTGATGGATTTGGAACTGAATAAATCATTCAAGGATTATGAGGAAATGAATTAAGTCGTATTGGAGAATGTTAAATTGATAGAGAAATAAATAAAGAACTCGTTTATTAATTTTGATCTAAGGGATTTGTTATAAGTAAAGAAGGAGATTTAGTTGTTCAGTGTAGCTCTAGCCAAATTGCATCAATATTAATTGTCCAATTAAATCAATAAGTGTTTGAATGATCAATTTTTAGTCTATTCTAATAGAAGAATTGAAGAGATCAAGAAGACCCTAATTAAATCCATCTAAACCGATAGCGGAGTGTTTTTGGTTTTGTAGAATAAGGAATAATTTGATTAATTATGCACAATTCTAAAATGCACTCAAAATAAAAAATTGGAATTGCCCATCTCATAATTTGCATAAGATGCTGTCTACTAAATTAATCTCTTTATTGAAGGATCCATCACTTACTTACAATCATTAAACGAGTATTTCGATTAGAATGTAATATTTTACATGGACACTCTCTTTATGGCAATCTGTGATATCATTAAGAATCATGTGTAGCAGTGTGATAATTTCATGTTATTGGCACAGTCTACCTTAAATTTCAATCACTTAGAATTATCCATTTAGTACTATAAGAAGAACATAGAGAGTTTGTTGTAAGTGACTCAAACCAAGGAAATGGAATGCTAGAGTCATTTCAAAAATACAAGGTATTTCTGTGAGGAGGCACTGCAAAATGCCATAAACTAAAAGGTAGTACTTCCCTAGATAGATTGGGCTCCCTCAGCTCCGAATAAAGGACCTAATGATTATTTTATAATGTTAAATGGATATTATGAAGTAGCAATTCTATAATTAACTTTAGAGTATTATTGGCACATTGCAATTAATGGTCCCATAATTCGTAGACTCCTCCATCTATCTTACATTTAAATACTTAAACAAGTTGATTTGGAAGTAGTTATTAGAAGCAAAGGCATTCAATATAATAGGTCTATCAAATTTGGAAGTTGATTTGCAGAGTTTTCTTAAGGTGTGTAATTAATAGATGTTTCCTGAAAGTGTGAAGGAGATAACCTAATTTCTGAATCTGTTCCTGGTGGATGTTCCGGCTTCCTATTTGGACAATCATAAGAGATAGACCAATTACTCTTATTTGGAAGTGCCAAAACTACTGAAAATATTCCCAAGATATAAGGTAAAATCTATTTGGATTAATTAGAAAGTGATTTATGGAAAATTACCAGTAGTGAGAAAGAGAGAGGTGGATGCTGTAATTAAAAAAATACAAGAAAATTTATAAGCATTTTGATCAATCAAATGATTTACATTATTATTAATAATTCTTCAGCAACTTTGATAGCATAGCGGAATGTTTGCCAATGGATGGTTGGTTCTTTCGAATTTAGGTCAACATCTACATAAGCAAATCTATCCCTTATTTCATGCACTGCTCAGTCAAATTCCCATTTTGATTTGCATGGCCAAAGCTCACTTTAGTACATTTTTAGATCTCATTCGCATCTGTGGGGATCTTGTTTCTGTTAGTCATGATGCTACAAAGTTAACTTACTTGTCAATAAGTGCAACAATAATTGTCGTGACAACCTTTTTAGGACGGTTCCTCTTTGCTTTCTTCTAAATTCGTCCTTCCTTTAGATAAACTGATTTTACTGCTTTTACAGTGGATAGTGGAATTTAAAATAGTTAAGCCACCTAAATAGAGTGTTTTAGCCTTACCTCTTTGATTTTCATCTTTTCCTTAAATATTTTTTCCACTATTTGCTCTCTTTTTTGGTCATCCACAACGTTATATTTCGATGGTCTCTTTTTTCTGCTTTAAATCATTTTTTTCATAGCTATAAAAATTTAATAAAATTAATAATGTTCTAGAACTTTAATTTTGTTGGTTTAAGTTGAACAAATATTTTATTAAATTAATTAAATCCCTTATTAACATTTGTGAATAATAATAATTTTATATATTTATATATATAATTTACTCCACACTTCATTATTATTATTATGATACTTATTACGTCTATTACGTAGATTAGAATAAGCTAATCTGAATGTTTTGCCACTCCAAATTAGGATCATTTGTATAAAATGGATTTGTTGTCTATGATAAACATTTTCAATACTTTTGCAGTTGGATATTCCTACAAAAATTCCAATTCATTTGATTCCAATTATTCAACATTGAAAGGTTTGTTCTACAAAATGTGTTCGCAATGTGATTCTATTTAATTGTTATATTATTAACATACTTATTGTTTTATCTAGATTGGACTTGATCTCAACACTCTTCCAAAAGTCAGCATCAAATTTACTCAAATCTTATTAGTATTCCTGAACATATTAAATTTGGGGTCCCTTATATGAATTTACTATTCAGAATAAATATTAATTGTTACAATACTAAATGACCATAAGTTGATACTTATGATTCACAATTCGATTTGATTCTGTTTGATTGTTTCTGAGCTTGTTCAATAATTTAACACTCAAAAGAGGTCTGTTCTATTGAATATAGAAAGAGACTAGTTGCTTGAATGCTTAAAAGTTAACTTCCTTATTGTGATAATTGGTGTGAATCAAGAGCTAAGCAAATTGATTTTACAACTTAATGATGTCTTTTTCAGTCTTCAATTATGACAATAGATATTCTCCTGAAAGATCAAATTTCTTTTATAATTCGATGCTGTAAATATGTCCTTCAATTGAAAACTGTTCTCTCAAATGCTTTTCCTCCTCCTGCTTTTATTACAGCTTTTGCAATTGTTTTTTCTCCTTTGGTGTCAACTTCTTCTACTCAACCTTGCCTTAATCCTATTACTTGAGTTTTAATCTATTCAAACCTTCAATCATTAGGCCTGCTGTTTCAATGAAGTATTTAGCACCATATCTAGTATCCATCGCATCAAACATCTACAATAATGATCTGAGTGTGTATTTCCTTATTGAAAATTAATAGAAATCCAATTGATCATCATACATCTCTTAATAATGCTTGAAGATCAAATAAAATTGAGCCAATGCTGGTCCAAGATAATTCAATCTTAAAAATGTTCTACCAACTCCCAATTCGAACCAAATCATTTATAATTCATATGGATTTGATCCATCTCTCAAAAACATCCTCAATAATTCTTATGACAAATAAACCAGATTTGCTCTTAAGGCATACTTGATTGTCTTATTATTCAAATATCTATCAGCCAAATCCAATTATCTAGCTCGATCGGCTGTCTCATAGGCCTCCTTGAATTTTTCTTACTTATGCAATGCCTTTGCCTTAATCAAATACAATTCATGTAAAGTGGGTGTATGGGCAATGGCCTCTTCCACCAATTCCAATGACTTTGCATATTACTTAACTTAGTAGTAATGTTAGGATAAAAGCATCAATGCCCATAGCTTCTAGATTGGACCTGCATTTAGATATGATTCGAATGCCTCTCTAATTACGTCCAACTTCTCTTTTTATTTATATAAATGTTTGATTTCTCTGAACAAAGAAGGAAGAGACTTCTAAAAGAATGGGTCAATAAATTTCACAAAATTGGTTTTGAATGTGTCTCCACTCTATTCAGCTAATAATTGACCCTACACCAAAGTGTTATCATAAATTGACAAATCGAATTATGGATTTGCCTTCTTCAACAATTAATAGTATTTCCAATTCTATGGTTACAGTTAAAGGAGGTGCTTTGCTGCTTCTACTGCTTCTTAAGTCGATCCTAATTTGACATACAGATCATACTGGAGTTCATAATAGGCCACCATATCTGTGATGTCGCTTGGGATAATATAAAATATTGTACTTTTTGAATGCGCTTATATTTTATTTGGCCTTTTAATAATCTTTGGCGTCGATGGCGAGTTAGATTTAATACAATTTGAATTCATTCATTTCAACCTTCTTAATAGGATTCTACTAATCCTTTTAGATCAACTATTCAGCTGAACTGATGGCTTTAAAGGCTATTTCGTAGTTTCCAATTAAATGCTAAGCAAATATGAATGCAATCCAATTCACTATCATGTTCGACTTTTTGGTCAATATCTTATGTCTAAGTTAAGCATTGCCCTCGAAATCCCTGGTATGAATTTACAAATTAGCAGTGTCTCTCTCCAATTGGATGTTTTCTTCTCCTTTATTAATTGCCTGTAGGAAACATTTTACAGCCTCAATATAATTTTTTTAGGCCTTATAAATTAAACCATAAATGTGCCAACAAAAGTCTGATCCCAAATTCTTATACACTGCTTGCTTAGCCAATTCTAATCCCTTCTGTTGTTCATCATTGTAATACATAAAGATGGCCTTGAGAGACACCACCTCCCAATTATCAGGCACTTACTCCAACAATTTTTCGGCATTTCTAAGACCCTTTTTATAATCTTTAGCATCAAGCAATTTCTATTTTAAGCGATTATTCATACCACTAAAGCTTTGAATTCACCACTCTGTTTAGCATTTAATGAATTTTAAGCAGGTTTCATATCTTACCAAATTAAATAAATTAAATTATTTTATGTATTATCCCATCTTCGTTCGAAATATATTTTCATTTCAAATCGCACTAAGAAAGATATGATTAGTCAACCAAGGAAAATTGGAAATAAGACAATTTATATTCCATCGTGCAATATATCAAATAACTATTTAAAGAATATCTCATAATCATTCATCTTAATTTTATTAAATCAAAATTTCAAGAACTGGTATTAACCACTTATTAATATCCTCACTGTTATGCAGCTTAATGCTTTCCAAATTACCATCTCCATCCTCGTACGTAGCTTTCAATGAAAAATCTTCACTTATACTAATGAGTATGAGATTTCCTAGGTTCAATCTCAAAGATCTTACTTTTATGAATGCATTCCATACTCATAGGATCTATGAATTGGATTTCATTATCCAAAGGATTGAATATCAAGTTATAGTCTTTAAATTAATGATTATCTTGGACCTTAGCTAGTACACTCATAAGTTATTTATTATTAATGTTGTTTTATATGATGTCTGAATTTCTAGCTCGGTGTTTCTATTTGTTTATTTCTACAGATTAAATTTTATTCAGGATTTTCTCCTTTATCCTTATAACTTTCAACTCCAAAGCTTCTAATTCATTAGCTCTTACTAAATCTATGCAATTCTCCACTACCTTAAGATTAAAATAAACACATACGCTTAAACAAGGAATCAGGATGTATCTCATCAATTTCGTAAAGTAAATGAAAAAGGTGTTAGTATATTCATCCATTTCCAAGTTTTAGATCAATTTATACACTATATTATGCCATCTTGAATGGGGTAATATTATATATCCCTTGATGATAAATGGAACTATGAAACCAAAGGGGATTAATTCTAATATTAAAGTAAACATCCATTCTAATTCGATGAAGGAGTAAAGGAGCACCCTGAATATTCTCGACAACATTACCATTTGATTAATAAAGTATCCTCAAATTCTGAATTCTAATTTTTGAAAGCCTATTAGGTCTTCCATGTTATTTGGAACACACAATAAAGACTAGAATTAGTAAATAATATTTACTTCATTAACTTTGTACCATAAACTATAAGTGACATTTTTAATTATAATAATAATTCTTTTGATGAAAATATTCGTATTATTCACAACTAAATTATTATTAAATTCAAGAAATTGTAATTCACTCACTTTTCACCTGAATTACACTTTAAACTAGTTTTATATGACTTCTAAATGTGGCTTAAACTTTATATTTAAAAATATTAAGTAATTAACAAACAAAATACACAACCATTTGGTAATCGATTTGTGTGAATAGAAGAAATAGACTTTGTCATCGTTTTAAACTAAAGCTTTTTATTCGTGATTAATATTGCCATTATTTTAAATTTGCCGCATTTTTTTAATAGTAAATATAAAAAAATTTAAATTTAAAACAAAAAAATCACAAACCACCCTTTTAATTCAAACTGATTCATATATCGCCATTGTCTTACTGTTTATCGGCTGTTTTTAACAAAGTTCTATAAAATAATAAATGCTTGTTAAAATATTAAAGAAAATTAATTAGGATAAATTAATTTAAAATTAATTCTCTAAAGAACATTCTTGATGAATGAATTTTCTTCTAATTAAAATAAATATAAGCTTTTGTAATGAAAATGGATATCTTTCTCAAAAATTTATTAATGAGTTCCTTAGTAACTCAGGCAGACTCTGAGTTGCTAATGATAAAATAAAATGAATTCAAAGAAATAAATGATGATTTTCCAACGATGGGGCTTTTTTGCAGAAAGAAAGTTAAAAGAGAATAAGTTGATAATAGTCAATGCTGCTTAGTAGGGACTTAGAAGATTAAGGAAATAGCAGAAGATTAAAAAGAACAAGATGTTGGAATCAATAAATATATATATGATATGTAAAAAAAAAAATATTTACGATTAGAAACAAAATATTAAAGGAATAGCAAGAAGAAGAGTTGATACTAGAACATCGTGTAGAGAATTCCATTCAGTACATTTGTGGTGAAACATTAGTATTTCCTAATATTATACCTTAGGTTAAAGCAATGAAATAACCTGATCTAGTTATTTATGATTGTCGATACCAATACGAATTCGAAGGTGGACACATTATGGGGGCTGTTCATATGAATCATTCTATAAATTTATTCGATGAATTATTCAATTAAAGCCAATACTCAAAGAAAATTGTGGTGCTATACTGTGAATTCTCAATCAAAAGAAGTCTCGAAAAGTAAAAATAAAAATTTAATTTAGATATTTTGAGATTAGAAAATTAGACAGAAATATTAATTAATATCCAAAATTAACATATAACAACTTGTATCTATTGTGCGATGGGTACTCAAAGTTCTACTAAAACTTCTCTCACTTGTGTAATGGATTTTATATTTCAATGAATGATCCTGCTTATGAGTAATAATTGGACTAAGAATAACAAAGAAGGATTATTGTGAAACAAAAGAGTAATTATAGAAAATCACTTGTTGTTTCAATATGAATTGAATTACACTTTATTTATAATATTATAAATTAAGAAGAAATAAAAATGTTATTTAATCAGAATTAATGTAAGGATTTGAGATATTAATTTAATCTTAAGACTTTTTGTTTTTGAGTTGAAATTGAAATTGCCAATACAATTTGGCTAATTTTGATTTATTTTGTTTTGAATATATGTAATGAAGAATCTTATTATATTTTGTTGACAGTTACAGGTTGAATCATTTCGGTTTTTAATTGAGGTGAATGTACTGTTATAAATTAATAAATTTTATCGAATATTATATAATATGGATTGTCGTTAGATATAATAAGTGTTCAAATCTTCACTTTTTTATATCCACATCTTTGAAATTGATTCTCTTGAAGTGAATAGTAATGGGAAATGCAATTCCGTTGCTTCGTCTTTTTGTCATTATTATTGAATTAGATGGAATTTTACTGTGGTTAATAATTGTAATAAATATTAAAGTTGATGAGTTGCTCTTCTTCGGTCGAGTTCGATAAGTGTTCCACTTGCAAAGCTACTTCCGTCTTCAATCCCTTTGAATTAAGATTTAATAATACCTCTGGATAAAGATGAGAATATAAATAATAATCTTGGGTCTTTTCTGGATGAGCTAATGGCTTGGCAAATTCCATTATATTTTTGTAATATTCTTAATTTGTACTTCCGTACTTGAGAGAGATCCTGGAAAGAATTCAAATGAAATAATTACTCTGGAATTCCATGCTTCAGACACGAATCAATGAATGACGATATATTGTAGCCAAGTTCTTCGATGAGTTTGATGTCATACTAGACTTGGGAGATAAATAGCTGGTCGAGATCTTTGATGTATTTGTATTGATAGAGTCCTGAGGCTCTGTAGTTAGGTACAGGAGTCTAATAATGTGTTATGTTTTTAAACATACTTCGAATAACCCTTGGACTTGTTGAAGGCCGTCTTTAAGAGACTCATTGTATTTTTAAATGTATCGACTCAGTTAATGAATATCTGCGTCGCCATAACTATCCAACTTTTTTACAACATATTCCCAAGGAGTAATCGAAAAATCTAATTGGGTGTACTAAATGACTAGTCTTCCTCGGTCGATCAAAACCTTAGAGACCTTTTTGTATGGATTTTGGCTGCTAACACCCAATTTAAGATTATTATTGAAGACAATATTTTTGGCATCAGAATAGAGATGAAAATCCTAGTTTATTAGTTAAAAAAAGGAAAATTACTCCATTCATTCTAAAGGTTGTAAGTGGATTAAGAAACCTTTTGGGGAACACGACAAGTTAGACTTGTTTCAAGTTTTTGTTTTCTTCTTCTTCATCACTACAAGAAGTAGTTAGTAAGTGCTAATCCATCTCAATTTTTAATCAAATTAATTAAACTATATCCATTTTTAATTTTAAGCATAAATAAGGCATTAATGATTAATTTGAAAGGAGAAAATATTATAATAATAATAACATTTAATGTTTTATCAAAAAAATTAATTAAATTAACTTAAATCAATAAATGCACTTATGCATTTTATTGATTAGTAAATGCTAATTAATTATAATTAAATTATAACCAAGTTGAAAATAAGAGTAAAGTGACCCAATTTTTTATTCTAACTAACCTTTTCAAGAGGACACAAAAGCACCCAAAAATAGCAAAATAATACTCATTAAAAAAGTGTATTTAATAAAATAATCTAAGTTCATAAATATATAAATATATTTTAAATTATTCATTAATGATTTTCAGAATCTCCAGGTCCTGCTTTTCGAGTATTTCTGTCAAATTAGTAAAATCGAATTTATAAAGCGTAGCCTTCTTTCAAAGTGCATCATTTGGAACTCGATCAACTCCCCCAAACAGCCACCACAACATCGGCTGAATTGCTCGCTTATTATAAGAGTATGTAATTGCAAAGACGTATGGAAATTGCTTGTGACAATCTCTACAAACAGAGATTGATTAGAGGTACATCATATCTAAATGCTTTCTAGGTTTCTTGCATCTTGCCGATGGTCAAGAATCAATATACGAAGGATTACATGCAGGATTAACATTTGATGACTGCGTTATCACAGCTTACAGAGATCATTGCATCGCATTGCTCAGAGGTGATACTCCTCATCAGATTATTGCTGAGATGATGGCAAAACAAACTGGTAGTACAAAGGGCAAAGGTGGATCAATGCATTACTACAAAAAAGCCACCAATTTTTATGGTGGTCACGGAATTGTTGGTGCCTAAATTCCATTGGGAACAGGATTGGCATTTGCTTAAAAGTATCTCAAAAAGCCAAATGTGACTTTGATCATGTTTGGAGATGGAGCAGCCAATCAAGGATAATTGTATGAAGCTGCCAACATGGCTCAACTTTGGCATTTACCAGCCATCTATTTCATTGAAAACAACTTGTTTGGTATGGGAACATCCATTGACAGAGCCAGTGCCAATACCAAATTCTACACCAGAGGAGATGTCATTCCAGGAATATAAGTACAGAAATTGACAATTTATTAGATTGATGGAAACAATGTATTCTAAGTTAGAGAGACACTCAAATTCGCCAAAAAGCACTGTCTCGAAAAGGGACCAATCTTCATTGAAGCCATGACTTACAGATATCATGGACATTCCATGAGTGATCCAGGTGTCACCTACAGAACAAGAGAGGAAGTTCAATAATAGAGAAAGACCAGAGATTGTATCAACTATGTTAAAAACATTATTCTTGAAAACAAAGTGGCTGATGAACATTAATTGGAAGTATTTCATTACTTTATACTTTTAGGAAATCGATAACACTGCTTAAAATGAAATTGATATTGCTGTTGAATAGGCCAAAGTTGATCCAGTCCCACCAAGCACTGAATTGGCAACCGATGTTTATGTTGACAACTAAAATCATTTCATTAGAGGAATCTTATATAAGGATAGCATTCTACCAAAGAGTTAATGATAAATTACCATTTAGAAAAAATAATATATATACAGCTAATGTATTTATTGAAATTCTCAATCTCAAAAAAAAGAATCAAATGTCTAAAATATCATGTTCTTCTACGCTGAAAACCTAGCTGAAGAAGAAATGCTTGGATGTTGATTTTGGAAGTATTCTTAGGATATTTTCAATGTCCTTTTTGAATCCTAAATCTGTAGTCTGACTAAACTCTTGAAAGACCACACTTTCCAGGAATATTGGGTTCAAATACTTTTGTTGAATCACATAGTACAAGCGATCTGCAGTTCCTATCACAATCTATGCTTCCTTTAAGTACTTTCGATCTTAAACAATAGAATTCTTTTTTGATACTTGATACACATTGTTGTAGTAAATGTTTAGATGATCAAGCATGACCTTGATAGCAATTGCACTTTGATCATCTGGAGAAACAATCATTACCTGAGGATACAAACAATCCTATTTAATAAATGCTATCGATGTTAATGCAATAACTGCATCTTTTTCCCATTTATCTTAATATTGCAGTAATGATTTATATTCAAACAACAAGTGAACAATAGACATCTACATAAACTTATTGATTTCTTGATATCCAAATTTCATGAATATTTTAATCATGTCTTTTGGGATGTTCAGTTAATGTATATTACTATACTTAGAGTATTTCTTCTTCATGTTCTCTAAGTTCAATTCAAATAACTCATTCAAGATCTCTGGATCAGCTATCCTTATATACCCAGTTCTGATAATATATTGCTTTTTCATTTGTTCCAATTGCTTCTGAAATATTGATCTTCCCATACTTAGTGTGGATGCCAATTTGACGTTAGAGAATTGCTAAGTCAAAGGGTTGTTGATGCATGAATCGTATTGGTGTGGCTTGATGGTTCTCTTTGGGTTCTTGATGGAGTCGATATTTGTTTAGCAAGACTGCTGGAATTAAAGTTGATTTCGTAACATATATAAATTTATTATTAACTTCAGATTTTTTTAACAATTTAAACAATATCTTCATCTAATAATTAATGATCCTTTCCTACTTTCTGTGGATTGTATTTCACACTAGCTCCCCAAACTAGTGCATATCTGAAATCCTTAATCATACTTTTGTGTAACTTATTACAAAAATCGGTGATTGTTGAAAACTTTCTTTGCACAATAACAGGAGCATTGTAATCTATTGTAATCTATGATAATAAATACCTGGTTCTAATCCTTTTGGTTTGGTATAGATACGAATGAGATCTAAGTAATCCCAAATTCTTTCCACTAATTCATTCCAAATTCCATTCCAAAAAGGCAGAGATGGGCACGTAATGTGGAATCTTGTCCAAAACGTTGAGTTCTTCCAAAGTGATATCATCAATCTTATTCATTACGTAAAGACATGGGATGTACTTACGATTGCCTTCAATAACATCAATCAAGTCTTCGTCAGTAGCATCACATTTAAGGTTGATGTCACAATTGTTGATCTTATATTCACGTAGGATGGCCTATTTGATATTAATAATAGGATAAATACTTTAATTGTTTCATCGTCTAATCTTGGAGCATCCTGTGTTCTAGAAATGGTGATACCTCCTTTGTCTCGTTTCTTGAATTCTATTTATGGTGGTTATTTATTCAATCTGATGCCAAATCCTTCAAGTTCTCTTTCTATGATTTTTTTATGAACCATAGGTCTTGTGGCATCCAACACAATCAAAATTAAATTGCAAGTACGAGCCACTGCAATAACTTATTTACCTCGACCTTTGCCGTCCTTAGCACCCTCGATAATTCCTGGTAAATCAAGCAATTAGATTTTAGCCCCTTTGTGTTGTAACACCTATTAAAATATTGAATAATCTCTACTCCAGGTATGCATGTCAGAGTAGTAAATTCATAAGCTGCAATTTTAGAAAACACTCCTGTAAGTTTTGTAAGCAGCGTACTCTTGCCCACAGAAGGAAATCCTATCATACCAATACGAGAATCCCCACTCTTAGAAACTTCAAATCCTTCTTAAGTGCCACCACCCTTTTTAGAGGAAGAGTCAATCATTTCTCTCTTGAGTTTAGCCAATTTAGCCTTCAACAATCCTAAATGGTAGGATGTGGCCTTGTTTTTTTGGGTCCTTGTCATCTCAGCCTCAATTTCGGCAATCTTTTATGCTGTGGTCATTTTTAATTAAAATATGATTGTACAAAAACAAACATCAGGATCAGGTGGATTCAAGATGCCAGCTGAAATAGCAAGAGGCAAGAAATATTAGCAATAGCATATCAATAATGACCTTCCAACCAAGGATGAGCTGTTTAGTTAGCTGGGAATAATGCCTGACGATGACTCTGTTAGAGCAAATGATCATAGAGGGGATCATCTCAGAATTTCTAAGCAATTGATCTAAGATAAAGTAAGAGACTATTGTATATCCCTCTAGTAAGAGCAATTGAATTACTTGCCCCCGAAACCCCCAACTCCTTTAGTGATTAAATAGAAAGTAAGTACTTAGAGACTGACTTCTTAAGAATTAGAGAAAATGCTAGAGGAGCATAGATAATAAATGCGTCCCATAGCTGAGCAATACGAGCAAATGAGGTTGAGTGATGTAAGAAGTAAAAGTTACAATCCAAAAAGTTAACGATCCAAGAGTCCCAAAGTTAAAGTGACTTATCACGAAGAACCAGTTAATATTGATAAATTGAGAGTAATTTAAAATGTAATTATCTTCTTAGCGCTCTCAGAAGGATATTGAAGGCCCACATGGTGACTTTTTAAAAGGAGTGTTACCTAAATAAAAATTACAAAAATTCAAATCTGAATCTAAGTTGATATCCGACGATGATTTCTAAAAGAAATTCAAAAATTATTTGAGAAATAAACGAAAGCAAGATTTGAGTAGAAACAGTTCTCAAGAGAAATTAGAATTTGACTTGTACCAGAGTACAAGTCCAAATAGAGGAAGATGGAATCAAAAACACATAAACAGAGCAGTATTTAAAGATAGGAGTGTTCTAGGAAATGATTCTTCAATCAGTAAAAGCAAGAGTATAAGTAAAAGTAAGAGTAAGAAGGATAAGAAAAGGGATTAATCAATGTCAGAATAACAATTATGTGAACAAATATTCAAGCAGATAGATAATGTAAATAATATTAAATTATAATAGAAATAAGTAGGTCTCGTTGATAAAGTCCAAACAATTAAATACTTGATTTCTAATCCAGAAATCATGGAAGCTTTTAATATCAATCCTAAGGATCTAAATCAGCAAGTGAATAAATTTCCAACAAAACAATAAGGCGTTTTCACATAAAGTGAATTTACAAAGTTTTTGTAAAGGTACAAGAGTCAATATGATCATGAAGCATTTGGTGGATTGAGTCATGTATCATAGCAGTAGTAAGTTTCAAGTTGTTTATTGAATGAAGATTAAATCTAGATCTTAAAGAATATATTTGATCAATTACAAAATGATATGATTGCCTAGAGAAAGGAATTAATTTAGGCATTCCGTAACGACATATAAGTTGTGAGAATGTTACATGTTTAGGCAGCCTATGTTGCAGCAATTGATAAAATTCTTAATTTAGAATCTATCTTATCATAATTAGAAGCTTAGGCTTTTGAATTCCCTTACATATCTTGGAAACAATTCATGGATGCTTTTGAGTATGATACTATGGTGAGCAAATAGTAATTATCATTTGCCAATCTAAAGGAGTCTCAAAAATAGGTGGATGATCAAGACAGAATTGATGCACCTGAAGAATTGCAATAGTTGATCAAAGATTAATTCAATAAGATTGTAATGGATGATTATGTTACAGCCTTCGATCTCATTGAATGCATAAGAAGAGCACCACTCTATTCATAACTCAGAAAACAAATAGTAAGAAAATAATCAAAGAAAAGTGATATCAAAGAGGAAACCTTGGAGTAAGTATTGAAAAGAATTGAAGAAACAGCAGAGGAGTATTTGACATTTCAAGAGTTTATGAGTTACTTTACAAGAAGAGGACAGCCTAAATTCAATGAAGAAGTTGCAAGTCTCGCTAAAAGTGTAAATGTAACTGAAGCCTTATAAAATGATGAAAATAGAATAGATGGATATGATTCAGATCCAGAACTACACACCTATTAGGATAAGATGCTACCTAGAGAAAGATTAATAAAAAAACATCCAAGTTAATAAGCATTATTGACATATTCTCATCGTAAGAAATCATTGCCATCAAAAACCCCTATAACTAAAGAGGATTTCTTGTCTGCCATTTAACCTAAACCATAATATGGTGCACATTCAAAACCAAGTGATTATCAATTTAAGGTAACTCAACCATAACCATTCAATTTTGATAAGAGAGAAAAAGAACGTTCTCTTTCAATTAGGGAAAAGAAGTTATAAGAAATGTTAGACGATAAGAAGAGAAACAATTCTTTTAAGAGTTTCAAAGCTAAAGAGGTTCCTTAAATTGTGAAATAAGATGGTTTATATGAAAAAATAATGAATGATAATGAAAAACGAAGAGAAGAAGTCAAGAAGAATAGTGTTTAATTGACTCTTAAAAATGAGAGACCATTTTCATTTTATAAAAGAGACAAGCATTCATCAAAAAAACCACGCAGAAAGTATTGGGAGGAAAGAGAAAGGTTTGTTTTTAAGGCTAAAGCAATACCTTGGCATGTTCATGTGGAATTACTTAGACAAATGGAATAAGACGAAGAAACCAAGAGAAAAGAACGAATTGCTAAACATGCTTAAGAATTGGCTATGAGTTCCAGGATGCCACCTAGAATGGAGATGCACGAGAGATAAAAATAAGGATAGCCATAATCACCAAAATATATGAAAACTCAATTATCCTACAAAGCTAAACCCATTCCAGATTTTGAGAAATTGCACTCATCCTTTTAGGATCAATTAAATCGCAAAAAACTATAAATGAGAACCACTGAACCTGAACCTTTTAATTTCCAACAATCTCACAAAGGTGTAGATAGACCATATCTTGATAGAGAGAATGAAACTAAAATCAATCCAGTAAAAGAAGATAAAATTGAAGAGGCTAGAAAAAAAATGAGTATCAAGCCTGCAAGATAACCGCCTTCTACTAAGAAATGGGAAAGTAATTGTGAGTTCTTGAAAAAAGAGAGAATCAAGAAAGCTGAGAAGTAAGAACAACTCAAAAAAGAAGAATAAGAAAGACTGGCCAAAAAAGAAAAGGTATTTTTAATTCTTATTTCCAAGTTCAAATAAAGAGTCTAATAATCAGAAGCCATTTAAGACAACTCCAAGAAACTTGAACAATAGAGAAAAGATAGAATTGCTCAATTAAAGAAGGAATCCAAAGAGTAGGAAATGAAACAAAAGCAAATCATTGAAAATTGTAAAAGAAAGGCTACTGAATAGCCATTACTTGTTGAGAGACGTAATATCATATTAAAAGTATATTAGCCACCAAAAGAGATGTAGAATTAGAGAAAATGAAATAACTGAACAAAATTGATAAGATGCTGAAGTAAAACGGAGTCATGAATAGAGACGAGTATTTCAACAAAGAAGAGAAAGCTATGCTTGATGATATACATTATTTAAAGAAACATGGATATGAAGATGATTTTGAAAAAGAATGACCATGATTTTGGATCAGAATGAATAAATATATATTTTATAATTTAATACTAATAAAATGTTTGAATAAGATTATTACAAAAGAATAATCAATAAGTAAACCCCTCCAAACAGAGGCATGATTAATACAGCCAAGCCTTGGTTTCCTGAACTCAAACATCGCTTGGCTGTTAAAGGTACAATGCTTCAACCAAATAGATTACGATTATAAATTTTTTGCTCTGCCTCCTAATAAGATGGTATCTTTGATGAAGAAAGAAAAGCTCAGCATTCCAACCGATAACCAAATTAGGGAATTCTTAAGAAATCATTCCCTTAAACATTTAGTTCATTATAATGCAGACGATTATAAAAATGTAGAAGACATTTAACCGTTCCAATGTCTATCCTAAAAAAACATCAACCAAAACCATCGTAAATTTATTAAATAACCTTAACAAAACATTAAGGGATTTTTCTTTGACTAAAAACCAAAAACTGCTCAATAAAATTTAGAAACCTAAACATCTTTATAATATTCAAAAATAAGAGAGTTACAATCATAAAATCTTTAAAATAGACCAAAGAAGGAGATGCCCTTCTAAGATATCTGCTAAGAAAAATCTAAATTGAAATTTCATGAATTATCAGTTAAATCTACCCCAAGATTAAATCCTACAATTTCAAGATGTTTTCCAAGCGTAAATAAAATGAAAAATTACAGAAAAGTCAACTTATTGATGCGTTCCTTAAAGAAAATTAAATTACTTAACCTCACTATACCTTAGATTATGAAATAATAGATATTTCAGCGAACAGCATTCGCATCCTAGTATTCAAAGGAATTTATTTTTGCTGCAAAATAGAACAACATCAATTAAATTTAAAATTTGTTATAGACAAATCCATTTTTAGTGTTTCAATATGATTTTTACAATATGACAGCTCTTCATTGGGCCTGTAAAAATGGTCATTTGGAGATAGTTAAAATCTTACTGTAACATCATGCTGACTTTGATGCTCTTGAAGTCATGAATAGAACTCCATTAAGTATTGCAATACAAGAAAATTAACAAGAAATTGTTAAATTGCTTTTGACATATGGTGCCAATCCTTGGAGTACTATACTAACTGATTTGAAGATACTTCTTTAGCGAAATCCTGAAATGAAGAAAATTGTAAGCGAAGCTAGAAAAATCTAAATTTTGAATAAATGGAGTCGACTCCCTTAGTCTATGTTTAATATTTCCTGGTGAATATCATCTATATATAATAGTTAATTAACTTATTTTTAAAGTAAATTAATTCAATTTTGTAATTTAAACAACAATATCTTTATGTCGCAAAATTTTTTATTAGTTATTTAAACTAATTAAGAACTCTATTAATACAATAGAATAAATAAAATAGTGTGTAATTCTGTAATAAAATAGAGTATAAAGAGAAAAATTTTTGTTATTATTATCATTTATCAATTAGAATCTTCAATTATTCACCTTCTCTATTTCATACAGTTTTCAAGCATTTGGAAACTTTATCTTACCTAAAGATTATAAAAATATCCAATTTAACTTTTATTATTATTGTTTTTTTCGGTTAAATTAAATTAATATAGATTCCTCTATTTTAGGAATACTATGAGCCCGAAAAATTGTTTTAATTATTGACATAATCTATTATGAATGATAATAATCTTTTTTGCCTCTTTGATTCTAAATATTTTAGATCAGTATTTATTTTTTAAATCTTAGTGTTCATGCAAAATAGTCTTTGAAAAATTTAGCATTTATTAAGATTTTAGATTAACCAAAATAATTAATAATGAAAAAATGATAAAAATGATTTAATAATGAGTTTAAGAAAAATAAAGAGCAATTTAGGTCCAAAGAAGCTAATGAGATTTTAACAGCAGTTTAAAATAGGAAAGCTTAATTAATTATGAAATCCCATTTGAAAAATATTTATTAATTCTAAAGAACCTATCAGTAATCTAAAATTCTATTACTATTGGTTCAAAAAAAATCATGCAAATTCAAAGGAAATAATAAATGGATCTATATTCATTTCTATAGTCTTCTGAGATTGAATATATCAGAAATGAAAAGAATTAGAATTCCATATAGAAGTATTTAAATAGATTCCTTCAGGTCAATGACTTATTTAATTTAGAAATATTAATATTTTTATTAATTTATTAAATGTAAGAAAAAATTATTATTATAAAGAAAAATTAGGAAATTATTCATTAGGATTTTAATCTTAATGAAAAGGTGTATGAAACAATTAAAAAACAATGTAATGGAGATAATGATATTTTGATTCTTTGTTAACATTAAGCATGTTATTTTGATGAAACTTTCTACTAATTAAAGAACAGGGTTTCAATTAATGAAGATCTAATTATTGTTGTGGAATCTCTTTGTGAAACTGTGCAATAGTTTTAATATTTTTAAAAATAATAATTGGAATAAATTTACTAAACACCATAAGAATAAACGTAAGATATCTAATAGAGTGTCAATTAAACGAAGATTAATTCATAAATTTAAGAATAAAAACTCTAAAATAAAACAAATGAAAAATTATTAGGAATAGTAACTGAAATAAAGAAAACTTATTTTGTTTCGTAATCTAATATATGTGAATCAGAAATTCAATATGGTTCAAATAATCAGTCTAATGCAACTTCAATTGTAGAAACATGCTTTTTGTGCAATAATTTAGTTGAAAAATCAATATAGCTGGAATGCTGCCATAAATATCATGAAGAATGTTTGGAATCATTGTTTTATAGTTAATTACAAAATTAAAGTAAAGTTTTACATTGCTTATGCTCAAAATAATAATATGCTTCGGCTCTAAAGCTTATTAAAGACGAAGGAAGTTAAATGCTGTTAAAACATAAGTTATTATAAAATCAATTGAATGGAATTATCCAAAATTATAAACTAGCAAAATGTTAAAAACCAACTTGCTATTTCTATTATAATTGGAATAAAAAATTAAATCAGGAAACTTCTTTTTGTCCCCTTTGCTTAAATTGATTGAACATAAATTTATATATTGAATCATATTTATATTATGGTCTTTTTCATGTTTATTTTCTTGGTTTTTCAAATATGTCAAACAATAATTTATTTGATTTAACAATTGCACAACTATCTAAGAATCTATGATCAGTACAAAACTTCAATTAGAATGAAAGCGCAAATGCAATTTATCCATCCTTAAACTAGGTTTTGAATGAGTACTCCTTCAATTTATGCACTTCAAAGACCTTGAGATAGCCTTCTTCTGCCAGGTCTATAGCTGAAATGAGGGATAGAATATGTAACTTAATGCTTTGAAGACAGCCAGAGGATGAGAATGAGTATTACAAATGATGACAAGAAATATGAAGAGTAGTCAAATATCATAAAGGAATAAGTAGATTAGTACTTACGATATGAAAGCGTTGTTTACTATTGTCATGAAATAATTTAATTAATCTTAGAATTATATTTATATTATGGGAAACAGTATAATTCTTAAAATATTCAGATATATGTGGATTGGATGAAGAAAAGAAACATGTTTTATAGCCAGAATCCAAAATAATCACAACCAGAACCATCAAATAAACTACCATCTCAATTATCCAGGCGGACATAGCTGAAGATTTGTCAGATGTTGTTGGTACAAATTGCAATTCATTTTAGTGAATGCATCTCATGAACCAGCATGGTCTTATATAGCAAAGAGGTATTAGTTTGGCTATTTGAATTTATAGGGACAAGAACAACAATGCTAATGAACTCACACAATAAAGTAAATTTAAATCTGATAAGCAATAGTGAAAATAGGGGAATTGATTAAAACTAAAAGTGAAAATGTTAATTCGCTGGAAATCTATCATGTGCGTTTACCCTATTACTAAGTAAGATTAGGTCTTAATTTCTCAAGGACACAAAAGATCTACAATAAATATTTTAGAGCTATTTATCATGTTTGAGACAAAAGGGATCCAATTCCATCTCATTTACTGAGTAGAATTCCCCTAACTTTTCAATTCCGAAGCAATTTCACGCGGAGGTGCTTATAAGAGCGATCTTATAGTAATACAATCATGAATTTCTCTTAGATCAATAACAGATGAAGAGATAGCTTTTGAACAGATTAAATTTGTTAGTTTAGATCAGATTACTCTGAAGTACTTTGCATATGAATTAATGAAATTATTAGATGAGTTCAGAATACCAGACTTGTACAAATTTCGATAATAGTAATTTCTAAATTACCTATGTATTCAACTGCAATAATTAGAAAATACCGAAGAGTTAAAACATGAAGTATACTTATTAAGTACTGGTATCACTACAGAAATAGAATAGCCTGATGGATAATAATGAGTAATTTGTTATCATAATTATTATTTAATATATAATATATTTCTTTAAAGTAGGTTAAATATTATAGAGGATAAATCTATCTTATTAATCATACAAAATTATCAACCAATCTGAAATTTATAAATACCTATTTTTCATTACGACTTAAGCTTTTGGCTATCATTCCATTTCAAGTGTGCAAAATGCCATAAATGGAGATTGAACCTTTCACAAGACTATTATGTAAAGATCAGCAACTATAGCATGATTAATAAGATAAATGAATTGCTATAATGAAGTTAGATTTATATCATTTCCACGTTAATCAATGTTGAATTTAAAAATACAAGTTCAACAATCGTTTTAATCAAGTAGACCTTTGCTGATCTAATTATTTATCATAAGTTTTTTGTTTAACAATAAATTTATTAATAATCAAATTCATTATAAATGTTGTTCTTATTAAATAATATTATTTGAAATCCTTTATTTTATCCAATATATTAAAGTACAACTCTAAAGTAGTACTAATTAATGAAATAATGTATTACATTTTATTTATATCAGATTATTCAATATTCAATTTTAGATAACTTGCATTGCATCAGTATTCTATTTTCTAATTGATAATTAAGCATTAATATTATTAATTGAGTTAAATGAGATTAAATAATTTACCGGATGTTCTTTTTCCCAATCCAATTCAACATCCGAATTACAAAATCTCATTTTTGGAGAAGGTTAAGGAAGATATTCTGAATGTAAGCATATAAAAATGATTTTAGAATCAATTCATTAATGAACCAATGCGCAGGAGCAGATAAAACATGACAATACGTTCATTTTAGAGAGGGTCAATCAGAATTATCAGTGCTTCAATTGCAACTTCTCAAAACAACACACAGACTAATTTTAGATCTGGGTCTTCGAAGTTCAGGATAATCAAGGAACAGTCTCAGGTGGAAGAAATGGACGAAACATTTTCTCGAACAAGGACACCATCTCAATTAGGAAGAAGATTAAAAAGAGGATTAACAATGTTTGAAAAATAGTTTTGATTAGAGATTTTTAAGAGCATCTTTTATCAGTTCACCAAAAATGCAGAAGATTTGTCGAATTGCTTAAACCACTCGTACTCTTATTCATCTTGAAAGAATTACTATAGAGGTTTATAGATATCCGTTGGTTCTTTATTCAATCTTCGTTATCTCGTATTGGAAGTGCGTTGTTGTGTATTTATTGCATTGGTCTATGATATTTATACAATAGATCATTACCTTAATAACAAAATTGATGAGGAATGGATTGAATTTACTTTTGAACGATTTTTTTGAATAATTTCGTTTTAAGATACTATTTCGACATTCCACTATGTCATCTACTAATTCAATGCATTATTAATCATGCCATTTTTAAGCATGTAAATTAAACTGATTTTCAAACTAATCAGTCTTAAAAATAGGCAAATGATTTTTGAGCATGTATTGTAAATGAGTTTGATCTAATTTCATTTGCATAATCAATGTGCATATGCTTTAGTCTTCGTGATGAAATTGTAGCCAATTCAGAATACTCCTTACATTTCCTTTCATTTACAAAGTTATCATACTAATTTCTGACAGATCAAACTTAATATTTAACTCTTTAGTTGTAATTGTTGGTTTGATTAAGTAGAAATTATTATAAAAATCAACCAATTTGGCCCTGTCTTTCAAATTTTCATAAATGACTTTCTTTTTGAATTCACTGTTAATGGAATCCAATTGATCCCTATAATTGTATTCCATGATGAGGATCAAATAGAAATACTTCACAATATCATCATGCTAATATTGGAGTAACTCAAAACCATCAAACATTTCATGATTCTGGCATGAATCTATAATTAGAAGGTTAGGAATACCTGTAATCCAAATGAAGGGCACTCTTTGGATTTATAAGAACCTGGAATTGAGAAATTTGGGCAATGGTCCTCTGTGTATAATGATTTTCTTCTTAATTCCGAATTCAGTGTTTTATTGTTCTGGTTTGAATTTGATGTGTTGACTGGCAAACATCTCTTCGAATTCCTTCTTTTCTGTGTATTCATAGGTGAGTATGACTTCAATATTGTATGTTCTAGCAATTGCAACAATGGTGCTCATTTTACCACTAGAGCCATAGATGTTGAGCATTTGATAATTCCAATTTTGATTGCCGACTGAATTGGATTGGGAATCCCATGAATCAGAGTCCTCTACTTGGTCTTGTCTCAGTATTGAGAAGGAACTCTTGAGCCAATGTTTTAATATTTATGTGTTGTGTTGACTGAGTAACTAATTTAGATAGTCATTTACATCATCCACATGATCTGGAGTGTAGATGTCACTCCAATAATCTGAGACTCGAGTGACATTCAAATACAAAATGGAATTTAACATTCCTCCTATGGAGTCCAATTTCGATACCTCACTTATTTACTTTACCAAATCTCCATAATTAAACTCCTTCATTATTTCCTCTCTGTATTGTGACAATACTCTTCGTAATTGTGATCCAACTTATCCCAATTGTGGACACTTCTTAAATTGTTTTTGCATCTCTTTTATTTCCTTCTTTTGTTTCTTAGTCCTGTTACCGAAGAATTCCTTTATGCAATGACTATTATGAGTATTTCTCCTGGGTGGCATTTTTTTCCTGGTTGCCCGCTAATTTGCAATTTTAATATATAATTAACGTAACATGGAAGTAATTGAATCACTAAATAAACAAGCTCTTGCATAGACAGATTCTCACTAGGCTCTTGAAGATCCTGGAACGAGCTCTCAGTCTTCTACAATACTATGCTGATTGTGGCAAAATCATAGATCGCAATCTCATAGTCACTATAATCTACAACCTTGCTGGTGTCAATTAAGCGTACATATACATCAATCTATTTTCAGATTATGCAATCTGGACAAAGCTGCTCAGTACTTGGAAGGAACCGTTTTCAATTTGCAGGAGATGATTCAGCAAGAAAACAATTAAGTCTTTCTCATCAAACGAATGCATCTCCTAGCTGTTGTCCAATTATAATATTGTGGGATATTATCATAATTGAATTAACATTAAGTGGCATCTAATATTGCTCACTCTACCATCCTATTACTCAATAGACTTTTTGATATCAGTTACTAATATTAAAGCAGTTAATAGACAACCAATAAAAATGTACAAAAATATTAAAAGGGACAATACATCTTCGAAGAGTACGACTTTAAGAATCTCCTACTAAAGAGATCTGATGAATTACTCAAGTTCATTAAACAATTCATCACTAGTTAATTAATAGAATAGGAAGAACAACCAAAATTACAAGATATTGCAAACCATATCCTCACTTGGAAATTGAACTCCTTAAACAACGATAAACTGCCCAAACAATCCTTCTCTAAACTCTACCAAAGATCAATGATAGGTTTGCTAAATGAAAACGAGTGGCTCGTATCCTTCAATGTTAGCAACATCATGTTCATACGCTTGCTCTCTTATGAGGAGGTCTGTCTCAAAGGAGAAATCCTATATGAATTTAGTTAAAAAGTCTTAATTGAGAAACTCATCCTCTTATCTATGGCTTACTTTTCTCTTGCTTCTGAAACTAGGAACTTAAAGAATGAACAAAAGTCTCAACTCTACCATCTAAAGTCCATCTATATTGTTAGCAATGTCTTGCACGATAACTCTCCCTATTTGGATCACCTCATCCAATCATTCTGCACTCACTATCAACAACGATTGGAGACTATTGTAAATTATCCAATTGTATATTTTAGGTTGAAGAGCAGTCGTTTGTTGATCAGAGCACTAAGGTGAGTCTTAGGAGGAAGGAAAGCACATTGGCTAACAAGGAGAATTGCAATGATCATCTCAAACAATTGATTGAAAGTCTCTCTAAGGATAAAAAGCAGAAGTAGGAATCAATTCAGAAGACTTTGAATCAATTACAAAATTTAAAAGACAGTAAGATTTCATTAATCTTTTAGAGTTGAGTAAATCACGTTCTGAAACGATTTTGAAAAGATTCAAAACTGAGCCAAGTCTACATTTTGATAAAAGTGAGAAAAATTGTAAATAAATACTATAATAATTAATGAAATAATGATTTTTATGTCATTACTCAATCAAATGATTATTGTATTTTTTGTTTTTGAATTGTTCTTTGTTTCAGTTAGTTTAGTGTAAAATTTAAATTTGGAAACAGCTACTCCAATTCATTCAATAGTTACAATTATAAATTGAAGTCTCCTTGTTTTGGGAACCCCTCATTAAGCACACTAAATTAGCAACATTACATTTTACATCAAGATTTTATGCTGATCCAACCCAGCACACAACAATTTGATATTTGAATAGTAGATCTATAAATATTGTTCATAAATTAAGGAGTATTGATTATTGATTCCCTTCAATACATGCTCCATCTGGTTGTATTCAGCTGTGTTCTCGATCAAGGAAAGGAAATATAATTGGATCTCCTCCCAAGTGTATGCAGCAGCATTTTATCGAATCACAAAATTTGGGTTGTAAGGTTTGAGGGTACTCCAAAATTATTCGTAGGATTAGAGATGCTCCTAATTTAAATAGTGTCTTTTCAAGAACAAACAATCAAGGAACTTCCCTAATAATGCCAAACTTCTATGCTGAGCTCCAGATATCATCAAGATTTCATAGATCTTGTGGATATGCTCTTTGTCAAAGGCGAAATTTCCAATCTAACCTAATATAAGTTGCTTCAATTCATTATTCGATGTTCTAAGTAGGTCGAGTTTCTCAAAGATGATGGGACCAAACATAAGTTATTGTTCCACACTTAAATAGGCAAAGAGTATGTCAAGCTTTTCAATCATAAAGTTCAAAACCTAAGAGTTTATGGGAATGACATAATACTTCAGCATCAATATCTGGAATCATAGACGGCAACAAAAATTCTATAAAGTATTGAACCTTAAATGTTCCCAGAATGTAGGTCATTTAGAAGATGTTATTGAGTATTGAAACTTTGACTAGATTTGATAAATTTAATTTGTTGAAGTTAGTAAGCACAAAACTCAAGGATTTGTCATCCAAGGTTGAAATGCAATAAGCATCATCAGTGTAGTTGAGAATGGCAGCAGAATAGTCTTTTGATTCGCACAAATAATGTGTATCTTTCGTCATCATTATTGATCTTTCTTCCATTTGGTTGTCATCCTTGATCAATAGGACATTCATCAGATGTTGTCGAATAGCATTTCCACTGACCGAACATTGCTTAACAAATTTTTATTAGTCTTAGGAGATAACTTCCACGACATTAATTCCATTCTACTAAATGAATTCTTGTTTCCATCGTTGAATGTCCACAGCCTTGGAATGATAATGAATTAGTTCGAACAGATCATTGGTGGTGGCATTTGTCCATTTAAATTTCTCCAAGTATTGTTTGACAATTTCAATGAACTTATCGAAACCAATCAATGTTACCAAAGATGAAAGCACAGCTGAACCCTTGTTATAAGTAATGGAATCAAAGGCTTACAACCCCTGGTTTGCATCTTCGATCTTCATTTCAATTGGATGTGAATTAGTATTGATATCTAAGTTGACTCCATTCTATTTGTATAAGAGATAATGTATTTTTGGGTCATAAAACTTATAGGTAATGAAGGGTTCCTTCTTAGATACTAATTGTAATGCCTGGTATGAGATATATACAGCAAAGGCTTCATTGAGCCACAGGTCGTTCCACCATTTCATTGTAACTAAATTGCCAAACCACATGTGTGAGAGTTCGTGTAACAAGAGGAGGAACAGTTTTGTCAATAAGGTGGAGTCGAATTTGTTCTGGATCATATTTTTGGAAATCAGGACTGCTCCAGGGTGTTCCATTCCTGAGAAGTAGAAGGAACAGAATATCAGATCATATTTTTCAAATGGGAAGGGGATACCGAACAAGGATTCGTAATATTTGAAGCCTTCCTCTATGCATTGTTTGATCAGAGTGGTGGAACTTAGATAATGGGGATGTGTTACTTCAGACAGGCCATGTATTTTTCTTATTCTGAGTAGAGATTCATTTGGAGACCTGAATGCAACTCGTTGGAGATCTTCTTCCATTAGCCCATGTTGATGCTGAAGAGGTAGAGACTGATTTTGGGAGTGGTTGCGAAGTTCCATTGGTTTTGAGTTTCGGAGCATTGTTCAATCAAAATTGGATTCATGTTTGAAACAGCCAGCCATTCTTTGGGACATGTCAATTACAATTTGATCTTAGCCTTGATGTCTGGTTAATCAAAGCAGGGAAAACACTTATGATTAGAATGTTCATACCGAATGACAATAATTAGGACAAAACAAAGAGATGATATACGTAGCCTAATTTTAGGTGTATTTAATTAGTCCGAATTCGCTCTCTGAAAATCCGACAGTGAAAGTTATCATAATGCAGTTTTCACCTTTGATGGTATTGATGGATAATTAATGTTTCCTCCAATTCTGAGCAATTTCCTCCAAAGTCCATTCATTATTATTCACCTTTACACTTGTGAGTTATTACCCGCAAAAGTCAATCTGAATGTGATTACTCGAACAAGTGAAGTTTATCAAAATCATTCCCATTATTATGTCATTCTAGACTACCAAGTCCAAAGAATATTGACAATTATCCACGTCCATCCTTCTCTGTTCAGCCTGATCTCTACTAAGCAAGGCATATTTGATCTGTTTTTCATCATTCCGTATGCCATCCTACTCCAATTACATTTTAGTAATAAATTTATATTTAAATATCCTCTTCGATTATAATATTGCCCCCCAAGTCATATATATCATTACAACCATTTACTCTCATTATATTTTATATATTCAATATATTTTCTACAATGCAAGATCAGTAGAGCATGCTTTCAGTCTACAATAACCCTTGGAATAAGTTGAATACCACCTAGTAAAAAGGATACCTCCTGGCCAAATCAATTGATCAACACCCTGAATTCAAGACAGAAATCCTGGATGCTCTCGGCCAATAATAGACCAAAAACATCTTCAAAGATCCGATAAGTATGCAATTGTGCAAGTATGACTCAACCATTGGTCCGAAATTAGAGAACAATAAGATTGTTATCCGATCCATTGTAGGTAAACCAGACATTTTCAAAAGGAAATTGAGTTTATTGACTGGATAAGATCCGAAATCAAGTAGCAGGAGAACATTCGCTAAGGGAAACACCACCAACACTTTTAGGAACAACAACAACACAATTAAAACATAACATGTCTTTACAGGCGAAGAGTTATTGGCTAAAGTTAATTTGATAGAGAAACACTTGTTCGAATCCAGATTGAAGGAAGATCAGGAAATCATGAATATGCCTTTCCAAAAAAAATAGATTTTGTTGAAGGAAACTAGAGCCCTCGAAGAATACTTAAAATTGGAAAAGGAATAAAGCAATTTGTTGATGGGAGTGACCAAATAAGCCAACAAAGATCCGAGCAAATCTGTGATGATAGATTGCTACAGATTTCGTAGAAAATAGGAATACTCTATTACAAATGATTCTTTAAATAGAAATAACGATGATAGGACAATGAAGATATTGTAATTAACAATCTTTAATTAGGGAAATAGATGACGATAGTGGTTATCCCTTATTTTTGATGTCGCAGAATGATTAAGTAATACGAAAACCCAGTATCATCAATCAAGATGAAACTACACAGTCCATATTGAAGTAAATGAATGACGAGCCAGTCTATCGAAGTTTCTCGAGCAAAGATTACTTGAAATCTCGATCCAATAGATACACTAAGATAGCAACTGAGAAAATCAACATAAATATTGATAGTTTGCTCGTCTAAGGATAAAGCAAATTGGATCAAGAAGTCAAGTTCGATATCAATGGGAAATATATACTCCAGCCTATTGAAAAAGGGAATGAAGATGAAACGATTACTGAGAACTATTCAGGTTAGTATAAAATAAATTATAAATGAATTTGTTCAAACATTTGCACTTTTTTAATATCTTAAATTAAATTGAAAAATAAGTTAATTTATAAATAATCAATTAAACCATGCACGTTTCTTTTTTGACCTTCCACAATCCTCTCATTCGATCTTAAATCGTTCCCACACTTCTTATTCAAATGTTTCCTTGCTTCCACCAATTAAGAATTAGTGCTCCAATACTTAATCAATTGTCATTCTCTTTGCAGGATCTGGCTCCAACATCCCTTAGATAAGTAAGCGGAATTCAGCATTGCATCTGTTATTTTTGTCGACTGTCAACCAATATTTAGTCCATTAATTGCTGTTAATCAGTCTCCAATAAGGACAAGCTTTAGTGCTTGATCTGAAGGGAGGATGGGCAAAGGCCAACAAAAAGAGACACACTCCCAATGAAAACACTTCTGTGATAGGTAATGCCTCGGTGTTTATCAAACCTGGGTGTTACAACTCTGGAGCCAAATATCCAAGAGTGCCAGAGGATCTTTAAACAAATCCTCCTTGGATTGACTCAGCAAATCCGAAGTCGCAAACCTTGATTTCCAATTGTTTATCCAACAGTATGTTTTCTAATTTGATGTCTCTGTGTACAAAACCCAATTTATGAACACAGTGGATTGCTGCGGTTAATTTTTAAATAATGTATTTAATAGAAACAAATTAGAATGGTTTCTATCCTTTGGCCAAAATGTCAAAGAGATCCATTTTCTCTAAGAGCTCTGTTACCATAAACCTTTCTTAAGGATTTCCATCCACCAAGTGAACAATGTTGTTATGCTTGATTTAAGAAAGGATATGAATTTCTTTTTCGATTTGTTGAGTGGAGCACTATTTGTTGAACATTTTGATCGCATATTCCTGATCCTTGATCTACACCTTTCTAACTTCACAAGTTAATCCAAAACCTAAGATTTCTTTTGAGATGTTCATCACTTAAATTTATAGTATAAGTTTATTAATTTTAAATTTTTAAATAAAAATCCAATTTGCTTTGATCGGGAATTACTAAATTCTTTTATAAATCCTATCAGAAAATATATTTTATCAGAATAATTTAATAGAATTCATAACAATCAATGCATAAAATGCGCAAAAGTCTAAATTTCTAGGAACAAGTTGCCTTCTCTTCTATCACGGCCTAAGCCGTAGCCTTGTGTGTATTTCCTACATCTCTTGTATGTACTCCATTTCATTTACGTTCTCAATGCTATTAAGAACTTCATCCAAAGTCAATCTCTTCTTTGGGTCGATTTGAATCATTCCTTGGATTAATTCCATACAAAAAGGAGGTACCTTCTTGTTCTTGTTCTTTTATGAATAGTACCAAAACTCGCCCCATTTGTTTTATAATAACAATCTGTAATAAGGGCATGACTTATCAGTAGTCTTGAAGGGAAAGACTCCGAAAAGTAAAATGTAATACAGAACACCCAATGAAAAGATATCACATTCTTACAAATCTAATGCATCTATTGAACCTATTGAATTAATTTCAGGTGCCATGTAGATATCTGTTCCAATCATCTTTGAAACCTTTCCCTCATCCAAACTTTAACTTGCATTAAAGTCACAGATTTTGACTTGGAAATTCAATTCATCAACCAATACATTTTCTAGTTTAATATCTCTATGAGCAATTCTTAATTGATGCATGTACTTCAAAGCACCTGCCAATTATTTTAAAATGCAATTTGAAGCATTTACTGACATTGATCCTGCAGTTTAAACGAATTCGAACAAGTCGAACGGAATCATTAACTCTGTCACTATGAAGTTTTCATTTCCAATAATAAACTTCACTATGTTTGGATGGTTCAACATTCCATGAATTGTGTACTCTTTTTATCCAGCCTTCTTCTTGAATTGCTTTATGGCAAACATATTCTCTCCAATTTTGATTTACTTAACCACTGAAACAGCTCCCTCACCTAATTTTATATCCAAAACTTACATTTAGATTTATATATATAATAATTATCAATGCATTTTGTTTTATAAATAATAATGCAAAATTCTTTCATAAAAATTTTTCGGTTTCATTATTTTATTATTATATTTAATTTTAAATATGAAGCCATCAATTATTAAATCATTAATCTTTCTCCTAATCTTGGGCATACTCCTCTACTATCCCCTCTTCGTCCTCCTAATACACAACTTATGGCTGCTCCACTGGATGTTACTACTTCAACTGATTTCTAACTAGCATCCCCTTGGCACTTGCTTATATTTTAATTATTTTCTCCATGTCCTTCTCATCCTATAATAGATATCACTACATTCTTTACAAAGTGAGGCTAAAAAAATGCATTGTTAGCTTCGATCTTTCCAGTCTCGATATCCTCAATGTCTTATTCCACTTTTTAATAAAGTTCGTTAATATAATCCTTTGCTGCCTTCTTCTCTTCAGGATGACTAGCCTATGAGCCTGCTGACTATTGTCTCGTCCTGTGAGAGGAGCCAGAAGCCTGCTTCTATGGAGCTGAGGCCTTCCTTTCAATCTCATTCCTCTAATTGGAAGTCTCAACAACTTTCTTAGCTTGTTCAATTGAATTAATTGGCTTAGGAGGTAGATGTGATCTTCCTGGAGCCTATCCTTATGCAATATTGAATTTGCTCTCAAATTTAAATTCCTTCCCATCTCTCATACATTCGAAATAATCTACACCATATTTTATTATGTCTTCTGGTTAATCCCTCAAGACCTTTATTAAGTGATCAACTCTACTTCTCTTGTAAAATCATGTAAAATTTAGTTGAATCCCTCAGGAACTGGGTACTTTTGTAAATACTTAGAAGCCATTTCTTCTATTGTTTATAAGACTTTTCTTAAAAATATTTTATTTTATTATTAATCATCCCCTCTATCATAAAAGAAATGATACTATCTGGCATAAAACTAACTGATATGAGTATCCTCAATTTTTATTCATCAAGATTGACTTATAGATTGAATATTAATTCAACAAATGACAATTTCGTATATTAAGATTCACTATTATACCTTGGAATCTAACAATTTTCATAATAGCAATACAATATTATAATATAATAAACAAATAAGTTATTTGGTACTCAAGGCCAAAAATATTTTTAGTATATCTTATTGATATCTTATTATTAATATTGATAGATTACTCCCCCTTTTATGATTTCTTACATAAATTCTCTAGCTTCATTATGTTTACTCTCTAAATCATCTTAGTCATTCCTCGTTATATACAATTTGATACTCTTGATTTATATTATTTTAATATCAAATTATTTATAAAGTAAAATTTATAATGAATTTTTTAAGGTTAAGAATTATATTTCATGCTTACCTTGATTTCATAAAGCATTACAAATTGTGAAATGACGCTAAATTTATTTTTTTCAATTACTTATACTTAATTTGAAATTGTATTTGTTTGAATAATAATTATAGTTGTTCAAATAATAATAAATTTGAATTATATCTCAAATTTCTTATTTCATTTTACTTTACAATGTAGTTTAGGTCTGATTCATTTAGCTAGATTGATAATTTGATATGTTCATATCTCTTGAAATTTTGTTTTTAAATAGATTATCCATCCTAAAATTAGGGAACTTCTCTGACTCAAGCATTCATAAATTATTTGATAATTATAATAACTTAATAATGGGTGATTATTATTTAGAATTTCTGCAACAATACCTCCACAATGTGAATTTAAGGAAAAAGGTATGATGTGTGAGTATAGATAGGTGAAAGAACTATTGAAAGAAAAGGGTGAGATCTAATAAAAATTGGAGATGCTAGAAGTAATTTGAAGTGAGATTAAAATAGAAGGAGGGTAACAATCATTCTTTTGAGGAAAGAAAGAAAAGATTGAGGAGTTTGGCAAGTGAAATCTAACGCAATTTTGAATGTCCTATAACAAAGTGTGGTAAGAAATATGGGTATGATACAATTCCATTTGTGTAATAGAAGCGAAGGTTCCTTGAATTAGCATATCAAACTTAAGCATCCTGAATTAGTTAATAAGAGTTGATAATTAATATAATATATTAATGAATTAATAATTCTTGGTTGTGGAGGCTAGTCTAATCGATCGTTTATTTGATAAGGCTGAAATTTTGAGTAGAGGTAACGATTTGATTCATGGAATAAGTTCTATCATATACAGAATGACAACAAATAAAAAAAATAAATGGCTTAAACTTTTTGATAAAGGAGGCAATTATGCATTGCAAATATATGAGAACATTAACCGGCAAGTTTTTGAGACTAAAGTGCTTCAATTATAAAAGGCCATGACTCTCCATTTGAATCCTTATTCAACTAGAATTATTTTAATTGCAAAGGAACAGCTAAATTACACAAAATTTAATCTGCACGTTGTCTACGAACTTCAACACGTGGATCTGGACTCGAAGAGCATTAAAGAATAAAGAGAAGGCCTGAACTAAAAGGAAGCAGTAGCCTTATTGAGTCTTTTATGTCAAAATTACGTTTTGGGTGCTTAATATACTAATGAATTCTTAGATATAAGTCCATAAAATATTTTTAGAAATGGAAATTCTTATATCGTTTCTAATTTCGGAATCAATTTTGCTGGAACCAAATTTGATAGAATTTATTTGCCTAAAACTGATCCGATATACCAAGAGAAGGTGCCATCCTAAAAAAATATTTTGTATTCGTATGCCTTTAGAGCAGCCTTAGTGACTTTATGCCAGATGACCTAGATAGATCCTCTGGATTTATTTTATTTAGATGGATAATTTAAATCGGAATTATTAGACAATTTATTGTATCTTATAACAAAAAAGGAAGACAATGATAAAAAGAAAGACAAAAGATTTATTAGATCAATTGATAAATTTTTTAATGAGAAATTAATTCACACAAAAGGACAAGATTATAATGAATAATTAAAGAAAAACTTTGGAAAGTCTTTCGAATATGAAAGATCTGATAGAATTCTCAAGTACAAATACAATAAAGAATTCATCGACATTTTCAAGAAACTACTTAATGTTACACACATATAATCTAGAGCAATTTTTCCGCTTTTGGTCTCACAACCTGATAATAGATTAGGTGTCTAAAATTCCTATGATGAACAATTTTATTATTTAAACAACTATATGAATGGTACATTTGACAATAAAGTGTTGGATGGATGTGGAATTGTATCATCTGATCAAGAGGGGTAAGGTAAAAATAAAGGAAGGATTACTCAAAAATGCGGATAGTTTTCGAAAGGAAAAGAGTTTGGGGAATATAACATAATCAACATACACAAGAAATTCGAATGCACATTGTACAATTTGTAATGTGGCTTAACATTTCGTTATGTCAATTGGGAAATGCTATATTTGGTTGAGGATGTCGTAGCCCCCATAAATCCAATAGATAAGTCACCAAAGGAATCAATTTATATTTTCTAAGGAACAATTGAGAATGGAAATTTGAAGGAAGGACTCTCACATTAATTAGATAACACAATATTCAAGGGAAAATTTCAAAATAATTAACCATATGAGGGCAAAATGAATTATCAAAACTAAAACAATGATGTCTTTGAAGGGATTATGGAGGGCTTCAATAGAAAGAATGGATTATTTACAACTAAAGATTTTACTTTTGAAGGGCAATTTCAGAATGATTAATTTTTAAATGGTTTGTTAGAAGATAAGGATGGGGGAAAGTTTTATGGGCATTTTAACAACGGATTAAAAGGTAAACATTCTGATTGATTAATAGTTAAATCTGGAATCTATTATTATCCATAGTCCTCAATTTAATATTAGGGATTGTATGCTAATGATAAACGACATGGTTTAGGAAAGTTTATTGATAAATCTTAAGAAAATTGTATCCAAGAAGTTATATACAACAATGGGAAATGTGAATCCAAGCTCAATGAACATTTTTCAAAAGCCTTGAAAGAAAGGAAAACAACAAAGTTAAAAACAATAGGATGAGGCTGGTTTTCAATCTTTATTATACATATATAATTTGTATTAATGTTTTAATAATACGATTCCTTAGTAGTCGATGCAAGTTTCATTCATAGGAATTACACTTAAGTTAGTGTAATTGGAAAAGGGCATGATTTTTATCTAGGTATTAATTCGATCAGCTACTTGATGCATCACACAAAAGAAAATGGCAGATACATCTTATAAATTTACGAAAATCTAGGATATGATCTTTTCAGAACCAAGGTTTTGCATTTGCAGAAGGCCATGTTGGAATGTGTTAATGATGTCAACACTAGGATTATCTTGTTAGCTGAAAAATAATTAAATGATAAATAGTCTGATCTATATGTTCTTTATAGGTTGGATGAATTAACTGAGAGATTGGATCAATAGAAGTAATTGACACCAGAATAAGCTAACGATCTTTTGATTACTTTCTGTAAAAACCTCCTCATTACAGGTTCGTTTTCTTCATTTATTTTTAGGTCGTGTAACTTATGAATTTTTGGACATTGCCCCTTAGAATGTCTACGTTCATGATAACCGATTTATTATATCAAATATGGGAATTTCCTATAAAGGCTCTAAATTTCACAGACCCTATACTGCAATCACAGATAGTTTCTATAAAGAGAAAACACTAACAAATATGATCTATACATATTCATTTTAAGCTGGCTTAGTAGTTTTATGCGCTATTACTAAAATTAATTCAGCGGAATTCTTTTTCGAAGATGGCTAATTGAAAGCTAACTTACTACACGATGTTTTAAAAGCATTCAAAGAAAAATTGACAGAGCCATAAAAAGAAAAACTGAAGAAGAAGTTTACTTCATTGGCTAAAATAGATAAACCATTTGATGCTGATATCTCAAAAATCATACCCTTTCTATTCTAAATATTATCAATGGATCAATAGAAAAGATCCATATTTTCATTATTAATATGTCATCCAGAAAATCCACTTAAAGTAGAGAATCCATTTTTCCAGCAATCCCTTGAAGTTGAATAGCAATACGTTGGATTTGGAAAGTTGGAAGGAATGAAAATTATCCCTGAAGGATATGGATATGGAATGTTCGGGAATGAATATCATTATGGAATGTTCTAAAATGGTACTTTAACAGATGATGGTACTGTTGAGATTAAACAAAATAATAGAATTATTTATTTGCTCAAAAATTTAGTGATTTCTGAGAAATACTAATAGGCAATAGCTGAGGTTAATAAGTATATATTTTGGGGTGAATTTGATAATAAATAATATAAACCAAATGGAGATGGTGTTTTGGTTAGTGTTTATACGACTTAAAAGTACATACCAAAAAAGAAGCAGTCTATTTGTTTTATAGGAAATCTTAAAATGGGAATTAAGGACAATGGTCAAGAATATTATAAAAATAAAACTGAATTTGATGGAGATTTTGAAAATAATTAGCCTGTTAGTGGTAGAATAATTTATGGGCCAAAGCATAAATTTGAAGGAATCATTTAGGATTACCAAAGGAAAAAAGGTATTTTGGTTTACAATAATAAAATCTTTGAGGGAGATTTTGAAAATGATAGAGTCAAGGCGGGAAAGTTAAATTATGCAGATGGAAGTTCATATGATGGTTAATTTAAGAATGGATTAAAATGTATGAAATATAAATAGACTAGGTTGTTAGGATGGCAAGTTCATATTTTGGAATACCAAATTAGAGTATTCTGGAGGATTTGTAGATGATAAGATGCATGGAAAGGGTATCTTGACTATATTGGAGACAAATGAATAATTGGAAGTTGAATACTCTTAGGGGAAATGTTTAACAGAACTTCCAGAGGCTTTCAAGTTGCTAACGAAGAAGAAATAGCTGTTGGAAGTGAAAAAATAGGATGAAAATAAGCCAAAGAAGGGCAAGTAGAAACAAAATGATGATGAAGAAATAGAGGAGGATATCTAGGATGATCTTGGAGATGAAGGAAATGATTATAATGATGATGAAGGTTGAATTTATAAGATTAATTTTAATGATAAATAAGTAAACAGAATAAATATTCTCATAATTAAAAGGAGCATTTGTGTGGGTGGAGAGGATGAGGAAGAAGAAGCCAATCACTTGTAAATTAAGGAATTGCTATACTGTCTGAATATTGATGTTACTAATGAAGAGATTGAAGCTTTGAATGAATAGACCAATCCTGAAGGAGAACAAGACATTCAATATGAGAAATTATACAAATTGTTTAGGAATGATTAACAACAAGATTAACTGGAGGTATAGGAGGCATATAGTTTGTTATCAGGATGAAATAGAATAGAAGTAAGAGAATTAGCTATACATTTATGACAAAAAGTATAGAACCAATGTATACTGAATTTAATAACGAAGATTAAACAATTTATAACACAATTGAATAGTCTCCAAGCTATAAGCAAGGTTATTTGGATTTCGAGGAATATGTGAATTGAGGTTGATAGTTATAAATAAATTAAATGTAAAAAACAAATATAAAATCTGTTACGGCTCGAAATGAGTAGGCGAAAGCTAAACTCACGAAGTATGAATGAATTTGAATCATTAGAGAATAATTTCTTACTCTAGCTAAAATGTGTTAGAGTACGAGCACGCAATAATTGCTGAGTAAGAAATTGCCATCCTAATAAAAACCTGTTCTGGCAAGTTAATTGAATATTACTCCAAGAAACAATACTCCCAAAAGTTGTAGAACTGCATAGGAAGTACAATCATTAGTTTAATGATAGATGAAATATTTTCTTTATTAAAAGAATCTAGTTAAGGACCCAATTAACAAGCCCCAGAATCATTCTTAATTGCTTCCTAAGACCAAGAATAGTTTGCATCGAAATTTCTCTTAGTTGGAAAAATCATCAAACAGCCAACAAAACAACGGATAATCGACAGCACCAAACACAGTAAAAAAAAAATACAACTTGCTTTCAACTGACTCTGCAAATAAGTCGGATCAACGGTTCTCTTCTGTTCAATTTGCATAACAAATAGCCCAACAATTAAAGAAGAAGTATGAACCACTATAACCATAACAAAAGAAGGAAAATTTACATGTGAGCTTGGATGATTTCGTCACATAAATCAATCGACCTCAGTCCATAATATCTCCCTTCAAATAAACTAAGTCATTATCCCCTTCTACAAGGGTCAACATTGCTCCTTCTAAAAGTACTCATTCATTTTACCATTTAGAATCCCTTTATTACGTTTCATCCTTAGTCGAATCCTTCAGACACATTTTACCTTAAAATCAAGAACAATAACTATTTCGAGATCACGCTGTCTAGACATTCAATTGTATTTCGTTCTGTGTGAAATTGCAAGAACCAACAAAAATGATTTTGGAACAAAAACGAATGGAAATTCCAATGAAATCACATTATAAATGTAAAATCAATTCTCTAAACTTGTAGTCAAGAAAACCGTTGTATTCGATCTAGATGAAACCCTCATACATTGCAATGAGAATCAAAATCTTAAGGCAGACATCTATTTGCCAATCACATTCCCCTCTGGAGACACAGCCCAAGCTGGCATCAACATTCGTCCTTTTGCCAAATGGATCTTGCAAGAATTGAGCCAACTGTGCGAAGTGATAGTTTTCACAGCCTCTCACCAGTGCTATGCCAGTCAGGTTATTAAATACCTGGATCCACATTCCACTCTCCTATAGGGTTAATTGTTTAGGGATCGATGTGTGCTGTCCCCAGATGGAGTGCATATCAAGGACTTGAGAGTTTTGAATAGAGATCTCAAGGACATAGTTTTGATTGACAATGCTGCTTATAGTTTTGGAGTTCATTTGGAGAACGGAATCCCAATAATTCCATATTATGATAACAAGGAGGACAAAGAATTGAAGATGCTGTATGAATTCTTGGTTGACCAGGTGTTGCCGGCACCAGACTGTAGAATAGTGTTGCAATCGGTGTTCAGATTAAGAGAGTATTTCAACTACGGAGAACCAAAATAAGCAATAGAGAAATTATATTGATTTTATATATAGTTTAATGATTTACATTTAACAGGGAATTCGCGAATTGCGAATATCTGAGCATTTTTGGTATACAATAGTAGGAAATTAAAATAATTATTAATTTTTACCACAATTAATGACTCTTTCTATAACCATTTCTCAGTAAATCAAGGCTTACAATTTGGCAGCGTGTCCAACCTTGCCTGAATTCTTGGAAACAGCTTACAAAACTCAGAAGTCTTTGAAAAAGAATGAGCAATTTCGCAAGCGTATTGAGGTTATTCAAGGGTTCGAATTCAACACAGCTTCAACTCAAATCGAAGAGAGCAATGATCACCAGTACATCGTTGCGGCAGGACTCTATGCTCCTTCGATAAAGATTTTCGAAACATCGCAATTATCAATGAAATGTAGTCGAGGCCTAGATTCAGAAATAGTAAAATTTTGCATATTGGGAGATGATTACAAAAAAATTGCAATGGTTTGCGAGGATCGTAATATTGAGTTGCATGCCCAATATGGAAAGCATTTCAAACTGAGAGTTCCAAAATAGCCAACCGATATGGTATTATTTATTAGTTCTATTTAGATTTACAACCCTTACAATTGCAACTTGTTGGTGTCATCTTAGAATGAAGATATCACTCGGTTGAATCTAGAACTTGGATCATTTGTAGAATCTTATACTCTTTAATAAGAGACTGGTGTGAACTGCTTAAGTATGCATGACTAATTGCAATTGGGACTTGTGGGAGGCAATAAATAGCTAAGTATCATTGATTTTAGAAGTGATTAAATTGTTTAGCAATTGGGTGTGAGTGATGTCACTAGTATAGCCACTCAGAATCTTTAGGTAGCTTTGGGAACAGCGGAAGGATAAATTAAATTATTTGATTTACGAAAGCATATCCCAATCCATGTCTATCAACATCAATATCGATTGCCTATCAAGAAGATAGTTATGAATGAGGATATGATTGTATCATGTGATGCAAAGATATTAAAATTTTGGCAGGGAAATCGTTTATTCACTAACATAGAACCGTAAAGTGAAATTAATTCTTTTACTTGGGTGAAGAATTCAGGAATGTTTTTATTGGCTTTGGAATAACCAAGGATGGGTATTTATTTCATCCCATAATTGAATGCTGCTCCTAAATGGTGTCCATTTTTGGACAATTTGACTGAAGAGATGGAGGAGGAAGAGCAATAAACAGTGTATGATGAATATAAGTTTTTATCATATGAGGAATTGGAGAAATTGGATGCATTGCATTTATTGGAAACTGCCATGTTAAAGCCTTATTCGCATGGATATCTTATTCATTTGAAATTGTACTTGAAACTCAGATAGTAAAAGGGTCTCGACTTTGAAGATTACAAATAGAAGAGGATTTAATAAAATTATGAGAAATAATTGGAGGCTGAGAGGGTCAGCAAAGGGTATGTGATACCTGAAGAGCCAGAAATGGAGTAGCCTGTAAAAAAGATTGATCCAAGATTTGAGAAGATGATCAAGGATCATGATTACACAGTGGACAAGAAATCTGAGGCTTGGAAGAGAGCCCATCCTAGTGAAGTAAGAGTTAAGAAATAAATAAATAAAAACAAGAGATGAATTTTTGATGCAATTCTAACTTTTAGTTTGTTTATATAATTAATTAACATATGTATAAATTAATTAAATTTTTAAAATCGCGCCATGATAATTGAAGAAGTGTAAGGCAATAAAAAGAATAAAAATATTCCTTGGATTGAGAAATACAGACCCTCCACATTGGATGAAGTGATTTCTCATGAGGAGATAGTAGCAACAAGTAAGAAATTGAGCAAACTTAATCTTAGTTAAAAAGTTCAATGAAAAAAATCGATTACCAAATCTATTGCTCTATGGCCCTCCTGGGACAGGTAAGACATCTACCATAATTGCATTGGCCAAATAGATCTATTAGAATAAGTATAATTAGATGGTCTTAGAGGTAATACAGTGTTGTTGATATGAATAGCTTAATGCATCAGATGAGAGGGGTATCAATACTGTGAGAGAGACCATCAAGGGGTTTGCAGAATCTCAGTCATTCACATTCACAAAGGATAAGAACACATCGATAAAATTGGTGATTTTGGACGAAGCTGATGCCATGACAGCGGCAGCCTAATTTGCATTGCGTCGAAGTAATTATCAATTAAAATTATTCAAGTCATTGAAAAATATGCAAAGACCACAAGATTCTGCTTTATTTGCAATCACATATCTTAAATCATTCCAGCCATTCAAAGTAGATGCACGAGATTTAAGTTCAAATAAATTAGTTTAGACGTGGCTAGTTCAAGAATCAAATACATTTGTGAGAACGAGAGTATCCCATTGAATGAGTAGGCTATTAAGTCTGTGTTTGAATTGTGTTCAGGGGATATGAGAAGAGTTGTAAACATGTTGTAATCGTTGTCTTTGTCGACATCGAATTCAAATTTGGAAGTCATCAATTCTTAGTATGTCTATCAGTTTACGGGGATGGCACATCCTGATTTAATCAAATAGATTATGGAATATTTGATGAACCAATCTGAAATTCAGAAAACATACTTGAAAATAAAAACGATTTTGAATGAACAAGGAATATCCCTTTAATTGTTGCTTACGGAATTGAGTACATAATTATTGGGATTAAATGTGTTGAATGACAAATAGAAATGTAATGTTATTGAGAGAATGGCTGAACTTGAGTACCGACTTTCCATTTGTTGCAATGATTAGGTTTAATTACTTTCTTTGATTGGTATTTTCCATGAAGTTCTTTTGTGATACAAATTTTATTTTAAATTAAAATAAATCCTATTTAAATATGGCAGAAGAACAAGTTGTCACTGTGAAATTTGCCAACTAACCAAAACTTTTCGGAAAGTGGGACTACGATGAAGTCTTGGTGACAGACCCATGTTTCAAAGACTACATTGCAGTCCAAACTTCAAAGTCAAGAGTCTTCGTGCCACACACAGCTGGAAGGTACGGTTTCTGAATTATATCTATTAAGATATTAACGCAAGAAGTTTAGAAAGGCCTAATGTCCAATTGTGGAGAGATTGGCTGGTGCTCTTATGTTCCATGGTCGTAACACTGGTAAGAAGGTCAAGGCCGTGGCCATCATCAGACATGCCTTTGAAATTGTTCATTTGCTCACAGGCAAGAATCCTCTTGCAGTCTTGTCTTTGGCTGTTCAAAGAGGAGGAGCAAGAGAAGATTTCACCAAAGTTGGAACAGGCGGTGTTGCTAAACAATAGGCTGTTGATGTGGCTCCAATCAGAAGAGTCAATGAAGTACTCAGACATAATAATTTAAGGCTGTTCACAATTTGGCCAAGGGAGTCAGAGATTCAGTCTTCAAGAAGATGAAGACCATTGCAGAAGCACTTGCTGATGAACTTATTGCAGCTGCCAATGAGGATGGACAAAAATCATACACAATCAAGAAGAGAGACGAACTTGAAAAAGTAGCAAAAACAAATCGTTGATTTATATTTAGTATAATATATAATTTATATTGAATATACAGGTTAATTGTAAATTAATTGTATGATAATAAGACGATTTATATATAGAACCATTAAGTTAGAAAAACATCAACTTCACATTCAATCAAGCATTTTTAGTTCCATTTCTGTACTATTTTGTGAAATAACATATTTTTGATTGTTAAAGTATTTTGAATCCCGATAATATAACAAATAATTCATTGAAGCTCCCAAAAAGGTGATTAAAAGTAGAATGCCCAGCATGTTTGAATAAGAACTCTATGTTTCCTCTTAAACTACTTTCCCAATAAAAATAGAGGCAGAAGAAACTCCAAAGCTGACACTTGAATAAACTACTCCAAAGGCAGTTCCCGACAATTAATTCGAAACCACCATCTAAATGCATGGCCACAAGGTTACAACATAAGCAGCAAAGAATATTCCATTCAATAATTGACTTATAGCTGGAATGATCAAGCAGGTAGTCTCACAACTTGGCATGAGATAAACCATTGTAAAAACACTCAATTAGATCACACTTGTTATTTGTAATCCTTGCATTCTGTATCCATGTTTATCGACTAGATGACCTAAATAAGGAGCTATAAATATAGCCATGTAGCAAGGAAGTCCATAGAGAGTGGCTGCAGAATAAGATGATAAATGATACCTAAATATGAATAAATTTATTTTGTACATAGCTTTAAACATTTCTGCGTTGTTGTATGAGTATATGTTGTAACTTGTGTAACAGAAAATAGAACTCAAAGCAATAATGTAGAAGTCGATATTGAATTGAGTTAGTAAGGCGAATGAAAACTGTGGAATTGTCTCCTGTTTGGTTTCAACCGAATAGATCTTATCAATTGTAGTCACAGCATTAAGGCCGATAAAAGAAACTACGCACAATATTAGACATGCCAAAAGAGCCGTTTCTAGACTGTAATTGTTCACTAAGTAGGGCAATAGAATCGTAGATGCAATAGTACCACCACAAATGAAAGCTGTGTCAATGCTTATTATAGGGTTATTGTTACCTATAAGCAAATGATGCCTCTTTAAACCATTTCGATAAAATTTTGTATATCCCTACATAGCAACATTCCAAAAATAAGCCCATAAAAAATCTGCCGATGAGCATTAGTGTGAAATTATTCAGTACAATTGACAAGTAACAAAGAACTAATATAAATTGTTTTCTTAACATGTTCCAAAAATTATGAAGAGCATAAATCCGAATAGCCCTCTTCTTGTTCCATATCTATCCAATAACATCCCTCCTACGAAAGGCATTACAATATTGGGGAAGGATCTAAATGAAAACAGTAAGTTTATTTAGAATTGATCCACAATGAAATGATTCTTTATCTCAGTAGCCAATAAAGATGGGTAATCCACAAAGAATCGAAATGAGAATTAAGACAAGCTAGTTAGTAAGAGAATGACCCATTTAGTTGATGGTATCATTTATTAATTAATTAGTTTTAATACTACATTTACACAATGCCAAATTAGAATTGCGTTTTCCAACAAAATCATTTGCGACTTTCATCACATCATGAATTTTTTGGATTCCAAAAATCTCCATTCAATTCAAAACTCCCTTCAAATAAGACTATACACTATAATATGAAGTAAAAAGTAACTCATTTGCATAAAATTGAGTGCAATTGTACTCCTATTGCCATTCAGCTTAAGTAAACATATATAGAGAGAATATTAAAATATACTAATATTTCGAAATAGCATAATTTTATCATTTTAATTTTTTTTATATTGATTTCAGAAATTTTATTCTCCCTACGGATTTCATTAAAACTATTCGACGGCTATCCGCCCGAAAAAGGAATTCCAAATGTATTGAATTCTAAAATTTAAATCTTCTATTATATATTACAGTTTGTGTTTAGGATGATTGCCATTCCCCCAATATTAAATAAATCGAAGATAAATTATATTAAATGTTAAAAAGTTAATCAACAGAACTATTTGTCAGTCCTGAAGAATTATAAAGAATCACATTCTTTGCAACTCAGAATCAAAGGAACAGTCATAAACCAAACATCTCAACTGTGAAATAGGAAGAATACACCTTTAAGCCTTCAGTAAAAATACTATGATAATTATTCGTAGATCAATAAGAAATCTGCCAACATCCAAAGAACAGTCGATGATCTCTTAAGATGGAATGAAAGGAAATCATAAAGATTGTAACAGTGCTATGAAGATGCTGTAAATGTGCATTTCCAATTAGAAAGACATAAGAATTGCAATAAAATGCCAACCGCTTAACACATGAAGTTGACACCAATTAGCCTAGTGTTTTCGAAAGATTGTATGTTGTAAGAAAAAGCAATGAAACCATTTAATGTAAATGTTCCCTTGCAATTCATTTATAAATAGAAACCACTAAGCGAAATACATCTGACTCACATCCATACTTCACTAAGAATATGTCCAACACACTCTATTCTGAATACAAAAAACAAATGAGTGGCACCCCAGAATAATAAGAGAGCGAACATCAACAAGTCCTAGAATAAGAAGAGCCAACTCCTCAAAAAGCATGTCTGCCCAACAGATTCTATTTTGATCAATCAGAACATCAACAAAATACTGAACCTGAAGTATCATATTATATGCTATTCTAAAGCCTAAAGTCACTATACCATAGCATATGTTTGTAGATTTCAGATAACAAATCAAATAGATCAACGAAGAACCTGAACCAGTTCCTTCCAAAAAGCCAATGAATAAGAAGGAGATAGATCTCATGGTAGAGAGGTAAAGTATACTTAATTCTCATAATTAGAATGAATAATTGGCTATCAAAAAGAAATTATAAGATCTAAGAACAATAGGATAGACAAATGCAGAATGAATCCAACGAATGTACTTTCTATCCAAAACTTAGCTGCACAAAGCAAACTAAGGCATAGCAATCAATTCAAAATTCTCAAAGAGTTTCATAATAATCCTCATATTCCAATTTATTCAGAAGCAAGAACAATTGATAATTTATCTATTTCATTATATATATATATAAGTATTGTAAATAATCTGTTCATTCAAGATTCTTAAATTTCTATTTTTTTAGTACACAATCTATTTCCAATTATTACATCTTTAAATTTTCCTTTCTTAATTCATTAATAACCAATTTCTAAAATTACACTAATTTTTTCAATAGCAATCTTGTTATGTCGATAAAAGGAATATAGCAATTCTGTTCACTTGTTGACATTTCTCACTTGACTTAGGATTTAATTGAAATACTTTTAAGTTGTGATAATCAAATACTCTTCCCAAAATTTCAATAACCTAACATTATTCATCTATATAGGAAATTAATTCTAATTCAGAGGATTTACTAAATTCTTTATGCTTTTGTTTCTCTCTCGCTTTATTTTTCTAAACTTAAAATATTTCTATCTTCTTCATTTTATACTGTCTTTCTACAAGAATGGTAATTTCATCTTTGATATTTATTATTGTTTGATGTTTATTATTATTATTAGATTTTGATTAGATATTTATTTAATCTAATCTAATAAATTATAGGCTAAATAGGTTTTTAATAGACTGTTTTTGATCTATCATTTGAAATATCTCAATCATGCAAATATCTATCCACTGGTACAAAATTTGAAGTTCTCATCATTTCTCTCATCTACTTTTCAGAATATAAATTATTACTAAAAATACATCATCTGTTGTTAAAGCTTTGTACTTGATTAACTTATTAATTATTATTAACCTATAGTTTGCTTAGAAATTAACATCAATTTCTTCTATAAGTTCTTGTTCTTTTAATGGTAAATTTATCATTAATGTTATTTATTATTTTAATTTTCTTAGTCGACATTATCAAAGCAGAGGAATAATTCCTAATTATCATCAATACAAATCTGGGGATCCACGATGATTTTGTAAAAACTCATATTGAATTGGATTCAAAAGATATTAAAATCTTCTACACAGGAATAATTGATCAATATCCTGCTTCTGCTGCTAGATTTGATCATTTGACTTTTCGCGATCAAAATCAATACTAGCTCTACGAACACGAAGTTCATCAATAGAAACACCAATTAACATGTTTTGATTCAGAATATAAAGACACTTAGATCGAAAATGGAATAAATAGTTATTAAAAAGTTTTATCAAAAAATGAGAATATGTATTGAGATTCTTCATATCTTAGTACTTTAGTCTTAGATAACTCATAAATTCCATGTAATGGTTTTATTTACGAATCAATTGAACCATGGATTACTGTGTTAATGCAATTTGGAATAACAAAAACATATTTTTATTTTAAAATATTCTGTAAAATTGATTAATTTAATTAGTAATCATAACAATTTTGTTCTCCTTTATCATACTTACTTCTGCAATCATACTGACTTGGTGGGAAATAAAGAAATTGGAATAGAAGATGAGAAGAAGATCATCGTTCCCAAGAATATTATAAAAATTATAAATCAAATGATTATTAATATATTAAAAATACATAGCACAGTAACAAAAATCATTCTAAAATTGTGTTTAACTAATGACCCTAATTCACCATTACAACAAATAAATTAATTGAGATAATGATATACTTTCTAGACCCCATGAAAATGCTATAACTCAGAATCAGATTTTATGAATTAAATCGACTGCAATCCAATTTAGATTTATTTACTTTGAACTTTTAAGTCTAATCAAGAGGGTATGAATTTCGATTCTCAGTTTTAGTAATCTTTAAGAAATAGAAGAGAATGATCTTTGGAAATATATTCTTAAATCTATTCCATATAAATTAAAAATCTCTTAAATTAGAGAATAGAATTATTCCATTCCAGTACCATTTGAACACAAGTTATCCACTGAGATAACCCTATATCCGATATTTCAGAAATCCCTTCTAGAAAAATTGCATCCCTCAAAACTAAACGATTAGGAATACCAACAAATGAAGAAACTAAAAATATTTGCAGATGAATACCTATGTTTAAGATCTATTATTGTGAATTCTAGTTCAAAATTAGAATTAACTATTATGTTGAATTCTCTGAGTGCTAGTTTAAAGTAGAAATACTCAGATGCAATTCATTCTTTAATTTTGTACTATTTTATCAACTTTCACTTTGAATTTGAATTTATGCAATTATATATAGATAAGATGATTCATTTCAGAGAGAACTTGAAACATAAAAGAATTGCAATCATCGGATAAACTTGGAGGAATTACATACTCTATCAATACTGCAAGTAATTACACTTTCATGTAACTCTTTTCAGAAGTGTAGATGAACCGAAATATTTCTATTCTCCCACTTATTTGCAAAATAAATTGTGTTTAAAAATATTTCCAAAGGAACAAATAGAATTCCGTGATTATAAACCTCATTATGATTAATCGATGTTCCAAACTTTGGCCAACGTTTTAGAAAATCAGAATGAAGAATAAGCCTTCAAAATTATGAATTAAGAAGTAGCCTTGTTTTTAACATAAAATGCACTAACTGAATTCACAACGGTGAAATAACTAAAATAGCATCTAATCAGTAATCACTTAAATTAACCAATCATATTTAATAATGAATTTCAATGGAAAGAATTTGTAAGAGATATAAAATCCATTAAATCAATTAAAGTTAAGAACAAAATACAAGTTAAATGTGATAGTAAAATATTTGAATTTGACTTTCTGGTTTTTGGAGATTCTAATCAGTTTGTAAATTCCTTAATATCTTCCCAAAGCATCATTAAGGATAATCCTTCATTTGACCCAGAATTTATTCTGAAAATCAAGCCCTTATTTTAGGGATTGAAAATGATGTATATTACTAAAGCGATCTGCAAATTCACAAGTACATTTTGGCCCTAAAATTATGTTAGATAAGTGATGTATGATAATAGTTTGATGATTATCTATGATTTTTATTAAGATTCTCTACTCATCGAATTATAAAAGCCTTACAAGGAAGTAGTTAAGAAATTTGATTATCATAAAAGAGAGATTATAAAAATCCTTCAAGAAACCTTCAAAGATGAAATTAATCGTGATAACACACGTTCTATTGAATTATTCCCTTGCGACTACTTCGTATAAAGTGAATTTGAATTCAACAAGATCTTTAAAGAGTCCAACATCTATTTTAATCTACCAATTATACTCGGAAATGGCATCAACCTCCTAACTTAATCAATTTAGAATGCTCAAATGATAATACAAGATATCTATTTAGACTCAGAGAACCCAGATTATTCTAAAGTGAAAGTGCAAGAAGAAAGTATCATTTAGGGCACATTTGGATTGAATGTTAATTTAAGTGGCATAAAATTGCCTTACGAATTTAAGAAATACAATTATATATTGGATTAGGGGAACAGCAAAGGGATCCATTTTTAATGTTTGGTATTCTTCTAAAGTAAATTAACTGATGAATCGATTCACTATTTATTTACAATTATAGAGGACAATCTATCAAGAAAGATTTATGTTTTAGTTGCAGAGGATGATCAGAAAAATATTATTATGGAAAGATCACTCAATAAATTGTACTATTACTTATGTAATACAGACAATTAATAATAGGAGGAAATTAATTTATACCATTATGTCAATCCAAGGTTTAAGTTTCCAAATATATACCCAGAGCTATTATTGTAAGGAACTATAGATAATTATGCAACGAATGAGATGATTCACAAAATGGCAAAGTGTTGTATGGGTTCATTATTTATTGGTTTAGAACATCCATCAATAAAATTATTAAGCAGAGCTATGAAATACAAGCAAGCCAAATTCCCCTAATATTTTCTCAATCTAATTAACAAACCAATAATTGCTGGAAAATTTGAATTAAAGGTTCAATTTGATGGTGGTTTAAAGATCACGCGAAGGTATTACATATTTGATGTTTTTAGATTCTTGAGTACTCAGAAAAATGAATACTAGGTTTATCATATAGATATAAACTAAAATTATGATATATTTATTACGGAATTAGATATGATCGAAAAAAATGTGAAAGAAATATGGGATCACATGTATTATTGTTTTTTGGATAAATATAATATGTAATTTTAATACTCAATATGCAATTAGGAAATAGTTCTATTATGAGATGCTAGAATTCATTGAAGGAGAACAAAAGATAATAAATTAGTTTAAAGATTGGAATAAAATAATCCAGCCAACAGAATAATAGAGAACCTTCTAACCGTAAAGAATGTAAATTGCATAGTCTGATCTATTATACTCTACAATGAAATAGGATGATACATTTGAAATTGTAAATGGAAAATTATATTTTTGTTAAAATGGAAATCGTCTAATATCAAAAAGTAGAGATATAAGAAATAATGAATAGAATTTAATTAAATAATGACATTGTGCCACCATTATTGTATTATAATAAGAATCTTAAAAATCCAATAATATACTAGTCTTCATTAATATTCTCTTTCTTATAGACTCTTGTTAGAATGGTACTAAGAAGATAATCATAAAATAATACCATTTCACTAATTGATTTTTATGATCCCATTGATTTTGTTTACTTTTACATCATTTTGCCTGCTTTATCGTATTGATCAATAAATTCTTAATTTTCATTTTCATCCTCTGTCTCTGGTTCGATTAACTACGTTATTAATAATACTCTAAACCTCAGAAATATGAATCCTTCTATCTATAAATTCTTCATCCGGCAAGACTTCTTTAAAAATTCTCTTTCTATCTTCTAAATCCATTCCGTAGAGATTCTCTGCCTTAACGATATCTTCAGGAGGAACTTACACTCCGTCTAGATTTCTTAACCCAGGCAATTTATATAAGACTTGCCATCTATAATATCGTCTGTTTTATATTGGGTTGTAACAGAGATCAAGTACACTGAGGAAGACTAGATTTTCCAAATACGATAATTCTTTGATTCTTGAGATTTTATTATTTGCCATTCTCAATTCTCTAACTGAGATTAGATCTATGATTCCATTCAAGCTCTTAATCTAGTTTTGAGAGAGTTCCAGTTTTCTCAATTTCGGTAATTAAGTCAAACCATCTAAGATTGTAATTTCATTCCCAAATAAATCCAATTCTGTCAAATTCATGCCATCTAAATTTTCAATATGATCGATGTGATTGTTAGCCAATTTCAAAACCTATAAGTACTTATTTTTTTGAACTCCTTCAATTTGTCTTATCTTATTGTTAGAGAGATTCAAATAGCGAAGAAAACGATGACAGCTGAGATCTGGAATAACTTCAATCTCATTGTTACTGCAATCCACATCCATTATTTACAATGGAATATGTCTGATTTATATATGTAATCAAATACTTTAAGTCTAATAATTTTGTCAATCTATTATTGCTCGCCTTTAATGTAATTATGTATTTTAATCCATTCAATGGTTTGAGTGACTTAATAGAGTTATTGCTCACATCAACGTGCTGAAGATGCTTAAATTTCTCTATCCCCTAATCAGAATAGATATGTTTGTAATACATGTAGATTAGTTAAGTCTAAATTATTAGCCATGAAACTCAAATAAGCATAATGTTATCCTTCAGCAGTTTTACCATATGTGGTGAGTGCCTTCTTTAATACATCCTCTGATATAGGTTGCTTGGCTTCTTTTTGTTTTCCTGCCTGCTCTTAGGCAAAGGAAAAAGAGGAAAGGGATACCTAATAAAGCTTTTCCTTGTAAAAGGTGTCCTTAATTAAATGTGTCATTTTATAATATTAATTAAAAATATAAGAAATAAAAAATTTACTTAAAATGATTACTCTCTGAATTGGTTGGAAGTAGAATGGTGTTGGATTTCACAATAAACCCTTGGGAAAAAAGGGCTAGAACAATTATTATAGAGCATTTTATTCATAAAATTTAATGTTTTATAAACAAAATTGGTTTCATTCTATTCTTTCAGTTGTATATTTGCTAAGGTTCTTTTTGTATCTATCAGAATGAGAATATGCTCGTTATTAGGCAGTGTTATTTGATTATGATTATGTGTTTAATGAAAATAAGGATTCTTAATTTTAAGTTTGGTTTTATTAAAATAAATTGGGTGTGTTTTGAACTGATTGGGCTGAGAATAAATCTACTACACTTGATCTTTAATCATTATTTCCAAATAAATTTGTTGCTTGTTAATTGGGTTATTGAAATAATTGATTTTATGGCTGTGAAGCGAATAAATTACTTGATGGCTACTACTAGAAGAATGATTGTGTTGAAGATTACTATTAAAATAATGGCTATTGCTAAAATAAATTTTATGTCGATGATTATTATTAAAAAAATGATTCGGATGATGGCTATTACTAAAACAATGGTTATTATGATTGCTATTGCTAAAATAAGGGTTATTACTAAAATTGATTAGTTTAACTAAATAGATTAAAATTCTACTGAGGTTATTAATTATTTTAAAATAGATTGGGTTATTGATTGAATAAATTTTGGCTAGAGAAAACATTCTGCGATTATTATTGGTTTTAAAAAGGAAATAAGTTTTGTGTTTATTATTATTACATTGGATTCTAAAATTATATTGGCTGCATTATTGGTTGTTGCATTTAAGGCTATTATTAGATCAACGGCTATTGAAATAAATTGAATGAAACTTGACTCTATTATTATTATGATATGGGATTATCAAGCCAAGGAGGAGTAAATAGTTGATTCTAAACGCTTTATGTGAAAGGGTTCACATCAGGAGCAATCTATACCTAATCTGATATCAAGGGGGTTATTTTTTATTCTACTTAAGGTTCAACTGCTTATGGTTACTTATTTTCTACAACTTCATTTTTTTGAATTTCAGTTGTAGGATTTGTTGGGTACTCTTATGGTACCTATCGCTCTGGTAGTTTTTCTTATACATCATATTTTTAAACAGTTGGTTTTTTGGATGTTTAAATATCATCAGCATTTTGAGTTTCTTTTTTTCCAGATATTTGTTTTGGATCCTTATTCAACTCTTAAGGTGGGGGATTAAGCTTTCTAAATTTTGGTTCTGACTTTTTATCAATAATAACGATAGAGTCTGATTCACTTTAATTGTCCTCCTCCTGAGCCTTTTATTTATTGGATTTGAGAATATTTTCGACAGTTTGTTTTTCCTTCTCAAAGTTGTATTCTCCATATGAATCTGAATTTCTCAATGAAACCTATGATTTTTTGGCTGTTTATTTGGATTGACTTGGCTATGGATTTTCATCTTTGGTGTAAGAGGCATGGAAGAAAAAGCTTTTCCTGTCATCTTCAGGTTTGATGTTGATAATTTCTTGAGAGGATTCTTCCTTTTTCCATCTTGGTTTAGTCACTATGTTTTCATGAATCCTCTTCTTGAAATATAATAGTTCAATTGTACTTCTTCTTTATTAAATTTGTATGAAATTATGGGACATTTCAATAGATCATTTGCTCGCAGCATGGTTAAGTTGTATTCTTTGAGTCTCTCTAAGGCGTATTTATAGGGGTTTAATTTATCTTCCTTCTTCTGAATAATAACAAATTTGTTTTTGAAAATTTAATCCGATGTACGCAATACCTGTTGCGGTTGGCTTTGTTTGGATACTTGAGAAGGCTATTCATTCTAAGGATTGCTTTAAATGCCCAACAAGCTTTAAAGGCTTTTCCTCATTCTGTCAAGAGACATTGAAATCAAATTTTAAATTATTCATTTTTAATATAATTGTTGTCCGTATTATTATTTATTGAACTTTGATTTTTGTTAATATAAAATTCAATCTTTTTTTTCATTTTGTTAACTCTTGGATTTAAATAATCTGTAGCCAGCATACAAGATGGCTGAACCAGCCAAAGCTGCAAATAGCCCTTCCTTTGATTTAACTCCATTCTTCATTATAAATTAAGAAGCACCAGCAGCTGCAGCAACAGACAAGCCTAACATACCAACTTCTTGGGGCACTTGCTGAATGATCTTTGATGAAGAGGGGTGATTTTCGGATTGAGACCTATTTAAAAATTACTACTCTGCATCATTTTGCGGTTACAAAGGTTCTGAATCTTTGACTTGTTGAGTTGGAGATTAAACAAATTGAGGAACCTACTTTTATTATTTTTATTGATTGTTCTTCTGATCTACATGATATCCTTCAATTCTAACAGAATCATTGTGACTAACTTCAACAGGATTAGAGTTTTATTCAGTGTGTAACTGTGGTTTATGTTCAATAACTTCCCTCTTCTCTACATTGATGATTTCATGGGATGGTTAAACTTCAATATGAGTCTGATCATCCTATTAAACATGGACTTTCTCTTCCTCTTGAATCAATTGAGTTTATTACTGATTGGATTCCACCTTTAATTATTACTATGGCTCAGAGTTAACTTAAGTGTAAGTAACCTAGACTTCTGTTTTGGGTGCTTAGACAGAAAATAAAGCATATCCTTTTTATTCAACAGATGGATTAGGCTATTGTTCTATCGAGTTGAATTATTCAGTCTGTATTGATTAGACATGAGGACTGGGATGTACTTGATGAATATTGTGATTAACCTCAAGATTGACAATAGGATGTTCATGAAGAGATGTGGATTGTGCATTGAGTGGGATTTCAATTTGAGGACACTTCTCAATTTGAGTATCTAGGTTCCTTGATTCCAAATTGATTCGAGGTTGTTACTCAATTGAAACCTCCTGATGATTCTCTAATTGAACAACTGGTATTTATTGTAAGTAAACACCATCATTAGAGTTTTATGTTTACACTTTGGACTTCTCTTCAGTCACAATTTCACTTTTATTTTTTTATACTTCTACTTAAACCTAACTTTGTGTTTCTGTTCTCTCTACAACTACTTATTGCTAAATCTATGGTTACTTCTCTAATTCTATTTATTAATGAGATTCTATGTGTGTTTTAGGCTGCACTTCGATATTGGTGTATTCAACTTTGACTTCCATTTTTTATTATTAGACTCTCTCCAAAACGACTTCATCATTCTATTTCCTCAATTAGGTTTATGGGGCACCTTCTAACATCACTTAGTCATTCGCTTTCTCCACAAACAGAGGAGCCTAAGCATTTAAAACAACTTCATGTTATTAAATCTAAACAATGGCTACTTCCTTCAAGGGTCTCTAAGTTGGAGTTTCTATAGAATGTTCAACCTCACTATCGTGCAATGAAAGTGAGACATTAGGTTTTGAGGAAGGTTTAATATTTTCATCATGTGCAGAATCAGGTGAAGGTTGACCTAGAAATTATGGTTCTTAGGGCTTATGGGTCTCTTCATTCAAAGTTGCAGAGATCCTTTTAGAAGTCTCTTTCTAATCAAACTATTAGGATGGAGATTAAATATCATTTTCACCATTTTTAGTCTGTTGTTGTACATCTGATACTAAATCTTGCTGTTTTTGTTTCTGAGCATCATTAAACTACTCAAACTAATCATTCTCTTGGGTATTTTGTATATCCTCTATTTGATTCTTTTACTCATGTTTCTAATTATCTTAATCTTAGTTCGGTGTTTATTTGTCATTTGCATTTTGCTAATTTTAAGGTACAGCCTACTCAGTAGTAACCTCTTAATTATCTAATTATATAATCAAATCGACTACTTTATTCAACATTCAATATCTGCTCTTCTTCTTTTTTATCTATATCTGGGGCAGATTCTATTTGTTCTGCCTGATCGTTTTAATCTGTGTTATTGTCTTACTTGTTTTTGGTATTCTATCTTTTATTTTTCCTAGGCATTGAAATTAAATTTATTTAATAATCACTTTAATCTCATTGTTAAAATTTACATTAATATTTGATATCATTAATGTTATGTTATCGGTACTACATTATAAAGTTTAAGAGTAATATTTTTATTATAATAACTATAAATATTTTAAATGCAGCTGAGTAAATTATTATAACTATATTAAGTATTTATTTATATATATATTTTAATATATAGATTGTTAATAATGGAAATATATATAATATCTGAATGCGTATTCTAAATGATATTTGTTCATAATTTCGACCACTTTAGAAAATCGATTGGCTCCTTGTCTTATCTTACTCTGCTGATGAATCCTCCTGAACATTCATAGATTGCACCATTTTCTTGACAATCATCACTGCACAAATAGGCAACTAGTGGAGCCACATTGTTCGGATTGATGCCTTCAAGCATGTCTTAAGGCAAAATAGTCTCAGTCATTCTAGATGCAGCCACTGGGGATAATATATTAGTTCTTATGTTAAACTCCTCTCCCTCCTTAGCAAGACTAAATGAAAATCCAATGATGGCAGATTTCGCAGTTGCATAATTGGCCTACCCAACTTAACCATACAAACCAGAGCCACTAATAGTGTTGACTATTTTTCCATATCTTTATTTAGCCATATATGGCCAGGCAGCTTTACAACATTTATATGTCCCATTTAAATGAACATCAACAACATCCTCATAGTCTTCCTTAGTCATCTTGGCGAAAACATTGTCCTTGATAATGCCAGCATTGTTTATCAAAATGTCGATCCGACCGTAATTATCAATTGCTTATTTGATTATGTGATCCCCATCCAAAATATCATCGTAATTGGCGATGGCTATGCCTCCTTTCAAGTTGATATTCCTTACAATCTAAGAATTTATAACTTAATCACCTCATTTACTAATAGATAATTCTCACTATCCTTTTTACATCTATTATTAACAACAACTTTAGCTCCCCTTTCAGCAAAGTAATTACAGTATTCTTTACCAATTCCTCTTGCTGCTCCAGTCACAATAACAACTTTGCCTCTAAAATCTAATGCCATATTAAATTTTTTATCTAAACCATTTGCGAATCCCGTTACATAAAAAGAGTAGCAATGATAACAATACAACAATTTTTAATATATTAATGCATTCTCATTCCTATAGAGCCTTAGCTAAAACAACTGTCGAAAATGAGACTTCATTGGGATCTCTTTCAAAGAACTTTTGGATGACTTTGGAAACATCAGCCAAAAATGTTTCTGGGGTCGACTTGCCATGATTGATTGGGAATTACTATTAAATTATGGATCTCAACTTACTTTGCACCCATCCAATTCATAGATGTCACCTTCCTTAAGGACAAAGGCTACGAAATGACGATCAACCTCATCACAACAAGCACTTTCCCCTTATTACACAGCCTCCTTGTGAACCTGTTTCAATTCCTTAGCCTACTTGAAGGCCTCTCCGATCTATTAAGGAGTCTTCCCTTAAACACTCTTTCTAAACTCTGCCAAATAACTTCCCTCTTGAATTATAGCAGGGTCAGCATTGAGAGCAACGTGAACCATTGCAATTGTGCCACAAGCATTCTTGGCTAATTATTTCATATAGAACACATTTGGAGATACATGTTAACTACATAAGTCTATATCTGATACCCTTTTTCTTGAATTTGAGCTGCCTCTTGCTCTACAAATTGATCTGTGTTCTCTTTGATTGGAAAATTAAACACCACACCATAAATAGGTGCAGGTATCATCTCAAAAGCCCAATCTTCGAATCCCAATAAATCATGGAATTATGCTACATCAACATTAATACCTCAATATAGTAAGTCTATGATACCAAATTTGATTGCTTATTCATTCATCACTTGAGGATTGGATTCGAGAGGCATCCAATTGTCGTCCTATTATTCGATGTCCATTTAAATTGTATAATTAATTTATTGTATTATTTATTCGATAATTCAATGTAACTATTTGAAATATGTATTCAAGTTTGATCAATTTAATTTTTTAAACGAATCTAATTTTGTTTAACTCTTAGTCTGATCGATTCTCCCCAAGACCCCAAGAGTAACATAATCTTATTTGTTGGACATCCAACCTGCAGTCATTATGGACATCTTGTTGATATGTTTCAAGACATTCTTAGTCTTCCCCTAAGAAGAGAAAGAATCCCGCTCATCAATAGATTGTTCTTGTGTAGGATGAATCACAGTAATCTAATTAGAATTCAAAGGAATTTCAGTTGGACTAGTTTGAATGCTGCATATTTGAGATTGCAATTCATCCATTATCATATTCTACTTTGATAATTTATCTTAATAATCCTGATTAAGACAGTCTATTTCTCTAGCTTTACTTTCTTCAACGTCGATCAATTTTTATTTACATTATTTAATTTAGATGATCAACTCTTCCTGTTCCTCGCTCAATTGTTTCTTCGCTTCAATTGCCTCATCCAGAACTCTTTTCAATTCTTGGATCTCTTCACTTTATTTCAACATAAGCGATGTTAACTAATCCTCATCATTGTCAGATTGTCTATTCAACTCATCGACTTTCCAATGTTCGCTCGATAGATTTAAATCCTATTAGCCATTATCTTGTTCAATGTCACTCTCCTTACTAAATATCTGATAAAAGTCATTTAACTATTATTGTAGATCAGCAATAGTACGTGTCTTAGTTTCCAACATCTCGTCTCTTAATTGTAATTCTACTTAGAAACAAAGACGTACCTTATTCCAAGAAAGTTATTTGATCATTACTATTAAGTTGGTTATTTTAATCTTTTCGGCTAGCTGACGTCAGACACCTATTTTTTGTTCTGGTATTCTTTGTGCATTAATCTTGCAAAATTATACTTATTTAATTGTTAGATTAATTAAATTAGCATCCAAAATCATTTTAAGGCGCCAACTTAATTTCTTGATTGTTTTGACAAATTTATTTAATTTACTAATTTTCAATCAATTAATTAAGTTTGATTTCAGTATTAAATTAACATGAAAAGTCTTGTTTGATATGCTATCCTGTCTCCAATTAAAGACCCAATTGAATCTGCTTATTATGAGTATTCCATTGAACATGTTTAGTGTTTAATATTTTAATTTCCTCACCTACAGAGTTGCTAGATTAATTATTATCTTAAATTGATCCATTCGCACTTTAAACATCTACCTACTCTTTTTGTGATTCAGTTTAGCATTCTTAATTGACTTATGCACTTTGCAACTTGGATCGCTGTAATTATTGCATGTATTGTGATAATCCCACTCCTATCAATTATTGTTCTTTGTCGTCGTTTTCCGTGGACTCCCTTGGAAGACTCATCTTACTTGAATAGGCTGTTTGACTATCATTCAATTTTTGCTGCAATTTAGCCATATTTGTATTTTGAATGGATTGTGCAAGGGAACTATTATTTTCCTCTTACAATTATTTTCTTTCTAAAATCATATACGTTAATACATTAGTACTTTTCCAAATACCGCTCCAACTTGTTTTTGCTAGTACTGGGATCGAGCTTGGCCTTAATCGCAGAAGGAGGTTTCTTTTGCTTGTGGGAATGCTTTAAATTGTTCAATTGATGACTCCTTTACAAGAAGACATCTTGGAGAGTTCCTAAAACATCTTATTTGGAAACATGATATTGCATTATTGAAATCACAAATTATAAAATTAATATCAAAATAATTCTTAAGCGTATTGAACTTGTATTGAGGTTATTTAAAACATGATTGTGTTATAGAATTAATTCATTATGAAAATTATGACGATTCCAGTATAACTTTATTAAAGATATTTTAATATAATTTATCTCTTGAATCCAAATTTCGTATCCTCAAACTGAAATTAAAAGTGTATTTCCCTTCCTAGTTCATCAATCCTTCCTATTCCGTATTTGCTATATTAATTTTCAACCTTAATCCGTTCTTTGCGGTCTCTTTGAATCATTATTCAAACAAATTCAAAATCAAATATTCTCATATCAAAATAGCTGCTGATTTCTTACTAAAAACCTACCTATCTTTTGTCTGAGTATTGCAGAATGCCACAGAGGAGGAGTAGAAATGCTAGATTGTTTGAACTTGCTAGTTCAATCATAAATTTATATTTATAAACGACTTTTATAACAAAGACACGAGAAATATGTAGTTCTAAGAAAGGAACAATTATATTTCTATCATTTATAATAATGTTCTTTTAATTCCTAAATCTGTATGCGCTTTATCATATCCAATTATTTTTTGATGAAAGCTTGTTTCTAAGTGTTCTTCGAATTGTAAGGTGACTGTAGGAGCTAGAGAAGTTTTTTTGTTTGTAGAGGTTTCAACTTGGAAGGACTTCCTGAACTGTTTTGATTTGTCGCTCTCTTTTGCACTTGAATTCGACCAACTCTTGGACTGCCTGGCCGAGTAGATAGAGGAGTCACATACATAAAACCCTTTTTTACATCCGGCAGCGTGTCTCTGCTGGGCTTGCTTGTCTCCTAGAATGTAGAGATTCCAATTATACTTGAGTCGAACCTGACATAAGTAAAGAAACCTTCTTCTTCTTATCCTCGCCATAAAATTGAAGACTTAATTCCTTATAGAATTGGTCGATTTCATTTTCAATATTCTTTTCTTAATCTGGGTCAAAGCTATGAAGAGAAAATTGATCATCGTCTGACATTTTTTATATAAAAAATATTATAATCACTATGCTAGTTTGTTTAACTAATACAAAACTGCTTTGTCTAAATGACTTAGAACAGCAGCACTCTCTTATGGAAACTACTGTAATGAATAGAGCATAATGCTTTTGATCTCGTTCAGTAATTACTTTTATCCTTTTATGGATTTCAATACCTCTATCCAAAATTTCATGTGTTCCTCATTATTTTATACACTCATTTGCAATCTTTCAATAGTGCCCAGCATTGAAAAGTAAGTACTTTTACAATCATCGGCTAAATCCCTGTATTCAGGAGCATAGGTTCTCCAGAATTCAATTTTTTAATCCTGAATGAATTCATACAATCTTTCATCTTGGAGTTCAGAATTTAATTTGGAGATAATTTTAAAAATTTCGTTTAAACTTCTGAGCAATTTTCTTTAATATTCTAGAAAATCGATGCTTAAAAACTAATAAGCATCATTAAGTTTCTCAATCTCCAAGTTAAGTTGGTTTTCTTCCTCCTCCAATTTCTTAATGGAGGTTTTGAGGAAATTGGGATCGATCTTCTTGGTATCGAAATGCTTCTAAATAAAGGAGTTGGTTTCATAGAGTTGCCATTTTTCCAATTTTTCATTTTATAGTTATAAACAATATTTTTAGTTGTCATATTTGGATGAATTGATTTTGAGTTTCAAAGCCTGGGTGTTTGAGTCTCTCTTTTAGCCAACCAATAGGTAATTGTTGATAAGTCTCTGAATAACTGAAATGATGGAGATTACTAATTAAGACCATTGTTTGATATCTTAGAAACTCAATTGAGGATCCAAAATTTGATTCATGAGTGTAATGAGCGTAATAAACAATTTGTTAAAGATAGGATGGGTGGATTTATAGAAGAGTAAGGTATCCATTAATGTTAGAATGGCATGTTATTTTAAACTTGTATTCTCAAGAACTTGAAATTATTGAAACAAAAGCAGGCTTTGTTCTTGTATATGATCTAAATTCTGATTGGTTAACTTCAATTGTTCTGACAACTTTTAAGGTACAAAGATAGTGCTTGACAAATTATTTTGCATAATTGATTAAATCAATTAATGAATTAAAATAGATGTAAATTTATAAAAGTAGTTATCTACATAAATTATAGATCACAATTTGTCTAAATAGTCATTGAGATCTGGCAATTAGACTTTGATTCCCTTTCTCTTTCTAATGCTCAGCACCAATTCATTAAGTTTGGACCCAGCTTCGAAAGGATCACTATTGAGTACAGCCCAATGATCGAACACGCACTACGGGAAGGCTTAACCTTGAGTAAGACCTCTGAGATGGGCTGTGAATCCGAAAGACTCAGCGACAGGCAAATATGATCTAATCTAAAAATATTAAAATGTATAATTACTATTGATAGAGGGGTTCCTGCAACTTGTTCTTCCTCAATAATTGTTCCTCTTCTCATATTTAAACAGTTGTACACACCCCCAGCTGAATCAATAGGGACAGTGATTTCTGCTAGAAAGACAGGCTCTTATAGTCTGGGCTGTGCAGTCAGTTCACAAGCATAGAACAGTCTTCTGGCTGCAGGCATTATCTGTCTTGCTCCTCTGTGGACCGAATCAGAGTGCAAGACACAATCTAGGATATTCACTCTAATTCCCCTTTGATTCTCTTCACAAAGAGCTCCCGCTTTGGTTGCAATCTACCAAGCGGATTCCATTGAATCTCTGATTTCATTCATATATTAGACTCCGGATGTTTTTTCCAACAGAATGTTTGGACCAACATTGTCTGGTCCAAATGACCATATTTTAAGAGCATCATCCTTATCCCATTCATATTAAGCTGACAGTAATTAAGCTCTTTCTTTATAATCATCCTTTGCTGTTATCTCTCCTTTTTCAATTGCATTTTGAAGACCTTCCTGTAGTGGCTCAGCCTAAGCATAGAGTCTATTATGATTATTAGCCGATTTAGCCAAACATACAATCTTGGATGTTGATTAAACGGTCTCCTTATATGATACAATTGGTTCCGATCTTATTATCTCGATATTAGCAAAGTCCTTCTCTAAATCATTCAAACATATTTCAACATGCAGTTCACCACATCCTGCTACTATATTCTATCCTGTTTCCTCCTATGTGCAGAGTACCAGTGGATCAGATTTGGCTAACCTCTTCAAACCCTCCACTAATTTTGGGAGATCTGCTGGATTTTTAGGTTGAACAGCCACTCTGACAACAGGTGATACTGAATATTTCATCGATCTGATTAAATGGCATTCTGGATGATCTGAGATTGTACCGGTCTTTAACAATACATCATCCACACCAACTAAACCAACAGTATTACCACAAGGGACATCCGCAAAGTATTCAACCTTGCTGGCCATCATCAATACTGTTCTTTGAATTGTCTTTTCGAATAAGTCTTCTTTTTTTCCAGGCTTATAATTTGGACCCATAATTCTAACCTTTTATCCTGTTCCTATGGTACCTGAGAACACTCTACCAAAGGCGAAGAATCTACTTCTGTCAGAAGTTGGCACCATCTTTGATACATACATAACCAAGGGTCCTTTAGGATTGCACTCTCTCATTGATTAAGCTATGATATCATCTTACGGTCCTTCATAAAGATAAGCTGTTCTGTATTTCTATGCCTCTTTAGGCGAAGGCAAATGACAAATAATCATTTCAATCAAAGTGTCAGCAGCATTAATCCACTTGGACATGACAGCCTTTAACAAAACTTTACCACTTAATTTCTACTCCTCCTATGTAAGTTTCAACCCTAAGACATTAAACATGTTGTTGGCCATTTCCATATTACCTTCCATGACTGCAGTGGCCAATTTACATATGGGATCCATAATGAAAGCAACGAAAGCTCTGTTCAATTTCTTTCCTGAAGCTCCTTCATTATCCTTCCTCCAACATTTGGTCTCATCATCGAAATAATTATCACCCCACAATCTTTCTTGCAGTTTCTTTGGTTCCACTTTGAATTTGGCAGAATAGATCATGGCGAACTTTGTACATGAAAATGCCCAGCATTCCTTACCTGATCCAAAGGATACTGATCCAAGTTGTGGTTGTACTTGTAGATCTCCCATATCCTCTTATTGATAAGTGGAGATGATCACATTCACATTATCAATGACCTTTACAAAGTTCTGATACATAGTCTCACCATCATGTTTTTATTCCAGTATTGCTCTATCAATCTTATTTATCATCACAACTGGTTTGATCTTCTCTTACATAGCTTGTCTGAGCACTGTTTCTGTCTATACACAGACTCCTTCCACGCAATCTACTACAACCAAGGCTCCATCAGTTACTCTGAGAGCTGCTGTGACTTCAGAACTAAAATCTACGTGTCCTGGAGAGTCGATTAAATTGATCAAAAACTATTCCTTTGTGTTATTGTAGTTAATGTCATATTCATAATACAATGATATTCCAGTAGATTTGATTGTAATTCCTCTCAATTATTCGTCCTATCTGGTGTCAGTCATCCTTTTTTCTCCACTCTCCTTAGCTGACAATATTCCAGCTTTACAGAGCAAAGAATCAGTGAGTGTAGATTTTCCATGATCAACATGAGCGATGACTGACATGTTTCTGATGTTTTTTTGCTTATTCATAATCTCTCTTATTTAATCTACAGTGAAGTTAACCATTATTTATTATTTTTTATTTTAATTATTGAAAATCAAATGATCCTAAAATGCGCTATTTAAGCCAGAAATTTCTGATAAAATCTGATAAAAAAATGAATTCTTTATTAAATATACATTGTAGATTATTAAAGAAAGAATTAAAAATATTTAAATTGCAAATTATAATCAACTACATAATTCAGAGATCAATTTATCTAGATTTTCCAAATTCTCATCCTTCACTCTACTGTTCAGAACTTTGGAATCTTGCAAAATGATCTGAGTATTCACTAAAGTAACCGGCTGGAAATTCTCTCCTCTATCTACAACTAATGGTATTTTGTTTCTCTCCGTCTGCTATTTCAATTTAGAAGACACTAAAGTTTATTCTGGATTCTTAGATTCATTGCCAACCATTCCCTAAATTTCTTCCAACAAATCATCGATTTAGAGATCGATCTTATCTTCCTTCATCTATTCTTGCTTATTAAACTCAATGTGATGGATTGGCTCATATTACTATTCCAATCGTAATGGTTCATTCCTTTATAACTCTCTAGTAAACGAAACCGATGCTGATTATCCTTCAGTCTTATAGGGTTTAGGCTTAATCGATTCCATCTCAGAAACTCTATCGTGACCAGTCTGCACTCGTCTAGGATAATCCAGATCATTCATTATGTTGATAATGCTTTGGGAGTGCATATTGTTCTCCTCCTGGAAATAGATTTATGATTCATCTTGTAATCCTTTTGAATTTTTGACTATCACAGTCTACACGCTGGGTTCCTTCTTTTTTTCGTGCACTTTAATGGTAGTGTATGGCAGTTCTTATTAAAAATAGTGTGAAGATTCTTAATTTAACGATTAGGTCTCATAGCCGGTTATTGCATATTTGGCTGTTTTAAACAATGTGTTATTCTCCTGGGTTATTGGATAATCGTTAGTTGAAGTGAAGTTACGACTTATTAATTGAATCCTCTTTGTTGCTTCTTGTTTTTCTCTCTCCGATTTATTTAACATCAATTGCATTGCATCTAAATCTCGAGTGAATTAGCCTTAGGATTCCGAATAATATTATTTGAGAATGTCTATTTCTATCCTCTGCTTGGCTGATTTATTGTAATTATTCATAATAAATAAAAAATAATGAAGAAAGCAATCAAGCAAAAAGTGAAGATGTTGGGAGCTTTGGAATTGGATCGTCAAATGAAACGAAAATTGGAATCCACTAATTACTCAATACTATAGAATTTTGATGTATTTCAACACCCATATTGCAGTACTTTCGATCACTTTTAGCAAGACCTCATAAACACTATTCGGATGTTGAGTAATTGAAGAAATTCTTATAGCACATACCATATCTTAAGGAAATCACTGAAGGCATGTCAATGAGGTTGGTTGAGAAGATCATTCATCAATTATCATTAAAATTCCTACCTGCTAATTGTTAATGTGATTCTTAATTTCAGATCATGTTGAGTGGAGAAATCCAAATCGGCCAAAGAACCTTTGTGTAGACTGACACCATAAATGAAGTTGGTTCCGTTTTAAGAGATTCTTGGGTTCTCATTTTAAGTAATGAGGGATATAATGACCTTATCAGGGAATACCATGAAAATCTGATGGCTCACAAATTGCATCTCATACAACAATACTCAGTTTTCAACAAAATAAGCATTCAAAGACTAAAAAATCAATTGGATTAATTTAAACAAGAATAAGCAACCAACAATACAATTCTATATCAGGAGAAACAACCAGTCGATTCATTCTACTTAGTAGTGTAGGGGGAAGTCAAATTGGTACAAGAAGAAATTGAATTGTAATTATTGGGACCAAAAAGTGTGTTTGGAGAAATGGAATTGGTGGAGGGAAATGAATTTAGATATCATAAGGCTGTGGTTACATAACAAATTTCCTATTACAGAATAGGTTATCATCAATTGAAGATTCTCTTAAATTCCAGTGGTCTGTATGAAACATTTTGTTAGAATTATCACATCAAAGCGTAGTTTTGGAAGGCAAGAAAGTAGTAATGCAAAAAAGAAGTGATTATCCCTATTGATTACTCTGAATTCAAGTATGACATTCCTAAGACATATCACAATTATCTCTCGGCTTCCAAATTGTTGAAATATGCAAAGTAGAACACTTCTAATCCTGAAGATGATTACAAAGAAACCAAAGAAGATAAATTGCTTGAATCATACAAAAAATTCAATCATCAAATCAAATTGAATTTTAAGCAAAATCATTTATTGAGAAAGGTTTTGATTTAAGCTAAACAAACTAATCATGACTTGCCCATCATGAAAGGATTGCAATTAGAAAGGTATCTTCCCAAAAATCATTTTACACATAAAAAGTCTTTGAAAATTATTAGTCAATTCAACGAGACTGCCTATCAAAGATTTGTTTCAGATATAGAATCATATCCTTCAACAACCACCTTTGTTAAAGGATCTCGATTATTCAGTGCAGCAAGCAGATTACAATCACCTGCAAGTAGATTATAATCAGCAGCTCCAAAATTATTTACAAGTCCTTCAAAATTACAATAATTTAGACCAATAACGGCAATTAAAAGATCTATTAGCAATGGACCTTAATGACTCAGATATATGTAAAATTGTAAATACTTTTTTACAAACATCTATATATACATTATCATTTTCTTTGTTTTTTTGAATTAACTACCTTGGGAATCTTTTTTATTTTTTTTGACTTTTGTCTAATTAGTCTTAATTTGTTTCTATGGGTATTCCTTACTTGATTTTAATCTGAAATCTAAAATATTCATAGACAACTAAATTTACTATTCAATTTTGGAGTCACATCAAACCCAAAGGATTTACACAATCTCATGGGATTCAATTTTAATACCTCATAATTATTTTGATCTAATTTATGTTGATATGCCTATTTTCAATTGTATATAGTACAGAAATGAAATCCTTATATGCTTTTTCAGCTAAACAATTCAGATTATAATTGCTAGACACTAATTTCATAACTTCTTAAGTTGCAAATTATTCTAATTTATTTTTTCCTAATTTGCTCTCAGCACAATTAGGTACCTTCTCTTCAGGAAGAACAAATATTAAGCCACTCTTAACTTCTTGCATAGGAGGATCATAATAAATTTATAATGTTTAATTAGCAGGTTGTTACTATGTTCTGAAATTTGTTTTTATGCCCATCAAAATAAACAACTCTTGCAAAAACTAAATAGTGGAATGGAGTTACATTAATTTAATTTTCAGAGAAGACTACAACAGTATTAGATTTAATTCTCTTCACAATAGTTATCAATAATTAAAGTCTTTCATCTTGTTCCACTAAAATGTAATTCATAAATTAAATTATAATTAAAATGTCTCTAATACTCAGTCAAATCAATAAGGATAATGTGAAAGTAGGCAAAGGCTGTTGTATAGCTTTGGGAGTGCAAATAATATCAGAAATTGGTGAAATCATCATTGGCGATTACACCATCATAGAAGAAGGATGCATAATTCGAAATAATCAGTTTAAGAAAATGGTAATTGGATCTTATAATGTTTTCGAAATTGGATGCAAAGTTGAAAATGCTAATATCGGAGATTGTAATGTATTTGAGATGAGATGTACGACTGTTCGATAACATAAGGCATAATTGAAAGTGGATGTACAATTGAGAATAATTGCCGATTTGGCATCAATTCAAGAATTCCCCCTAAATAGAACTTCCCTAATTTCTCTAGAGTATATTACCCATTTAATTGTTTAAAAGTGCCTCCGTATGATTCATCTTAGCATAAAGAAGAAATTTCAGAATTATGTGCTGCTCTGTTTTAGATGGGATCAAAGAAATGACATATTTACACTATGTTTGATTTAATGTAATTAAAACACAAATAAAAACACCAACCATTTGAATCAATTCAATAAGAATACTTCCATTTCTAATATCAGAGGTGATCCATCCATAATGGACTCGCCCTTCTCTTAAGCAAATTCATAAGTGTACCCAATATTACTTGAACATTGATCAAATGTTGATCCCTATAAGCTTAGATCAGGGCCTTATCCAAATTGTGGTCCCACCAGATGTTTAGAATATAATGTAAATCTATGATCTCTTAGTTGATAAATGTGATTCTTTGTATAAGAGAATAGGAATGACTTTTTGGCAACATCAACCATATAGTCTCCATAAAGTGATGGGATATAAGGAGGCAATGTGAGTGCCCCAACTATTTCGTTGTTATGAAATTTGGCGATTAATAAAGTAGAACCATACTTCTTCAGGCTTTACCAGAATGCATTTATCGAAAGCCCATCTCTTTTACTCTTGTAAATTAATTCAGCTTTAGTGAATTTCAATTACTATCCGATAATAAGACGATTGATAATGTAATCCATTTCCAGAATTTCTGATTACTCATTAAATATGATTGGCTCTACATTAGTTTTCATATCCAGAGTCAATTTTTATGGATTCTTAGATATTAAGTCTTATAGAATATTTTTAGTTTTATTAAATTCTTCATCTGTTTTCTTCTATAATTGTATTACTTTAAGTGCTAATTTAGAATCATTGTTTATCAAGATTTCCTTAAGATCATTGCCACTTTAAAGTGATTCATGAGATTACTTAAGCAGTGTTTCTGTTTGTTTATTTTATTCTTTCTATAATTCTTTAACTTCCGAAACTAACAATTTTTACAATTCTAAAATAGATAAGGATTGTTAGTCTAACTTCATTTGGAGTCTACAATAGATTACAGATGTTACTTTAACAGTTAATTGTCAAGTTGTTGAGTAGTATAAATTAAATATAGCACTGGAATGATGATGATAAGAGTAGTTATTTTTGTAGGAAGGTAATCTGATTTGGGCATTGTCTTCACTCCTTCTAAATCAGCAATTTTTTTCTATAATTATTGGATTGTCTTCTTCCTGTATTCACTATCACATTTACTTAATTGTTTGAGAATCCTGTAATTCTATTGAAGCAATATAAGTTTCAATATTCCTCTTGATCTCTTCATATACTTGTTTTAGGGAATCTTCAAATTTTGTATCATTCGATAAGTACTGCTCTATATGAAATTGAAGTTTCTCTTTCTGAAATTGCAATCCTTATCTAATCAATGAGACCAAGGCATTCAATTGTTTCGGGCCTTCCTCAACTTATAATTCAATCTTCTTGAATACTTGATTCTGAAACTCAGAACTCTTGCTAGAAAATGATTCTAATTTAAGTTTGTTAATATTTACTTAAAGTGCACAACTCTTTGAATTTGTCTTTTTTGAATTGATGCGCATCAATTATCATCTGATTATACAGTTCTAGCTTCTTGTTATTCCTCCTTATCAAATCATTGACAATAGAATCAAAAGTCACAAATTCCTCATAATGTTTGATGCTATTCTTATCTGTCTTATGTAATTTCACTAAACACTCATGGCAATGCAATTGCTTCTTCTTCGATGTATAACATTCCTTATTCAGGCAAAGATATTTCTCCTAATTCTAAGTGTCTTAGCATATACTAAATTATCTTTATTCCATTTTAATTCAATTCAAAAATACAAGTTTTATTTTCTTATATTCATTAAAATTTTCACAACTCCCCTTAAATTAGGCAAGTAATTTTTAAAATGAGTACCAGCAAATAGCAATTACGAAGAAATTCCGCTGTAAAACAACTAAATCAGAGTATGGCACTTATTTAAGAGTTGTATATAAAAACATTTCATTATTTCTTTTATTCTCTCAAAAACCACATTCAAATATTATGTTCAATATTAGTTTTAATGATTAATAAAATTTAAGAGAGTTACTTTTAGACTTTTTTAGAAAAAGAGCCCTCAATCTAAAAAGTCAAATCTATATAGATGTAGGTCAACAAATATACAATTTAAAAGAAAACCAATTAATTTGAATCAGAAAGTCTTGATAGTAGCAGGAGTGTCTTCAACTCAGATTATGACCCAAAGCCTATTTTTGAAACACAACCTCGTTACTATACTACCATTTCAGTCTCCAAGAAAAATAAGATGTTTGAGAGATCATCCAATGCTCAAAATGTCAATTAAAAATTAGCTCAACGAAAAAGAATTCAGTCATTTCAATTAGATGAAGATGCTTACAGCTTTGAGGAAGAAGAAAGCCTTCCTGAAAAATTGATGGATGTCGATCTCTACTTCAGATAAGATGCTATTGTTTCAGTCCAAAAGATTCTTTCAACCTAAAGAAAACTATCATGATTCAACTTTCGTAATTTATTTCTATACAATATTATTCTAATCATTCAAATTTAACGAAGAAATGTATAGAAACTCTAAATTTTATTTGTTATTGTCGATAATTCTAACCTTCATACTGAACCAATTATTTCTTGTTTTTAATCACAATTCTTTTATCGCCTTAATATTTAGAGCAACAGATTTTTATGAATTAGATGAGTATTTTTCTACAAAAATCTAAGGCGTATTAAAATTATTAGAAATCTTTAAAAATTGAGCTTCTTATGTTTTTATAATTTTTGATTTATATAATAAAATTAAAAATTTTAATAAAAACAAGTATTTCTAAAAACCTATAAAATTAGCTATTATTTTTATCCTGAGATATCTTCTTCCGTCTTAATTACTTAATTTGAACATTTATTCTAATTAAAATGAATCATATAAAATATTTAATTTTAGATATGGTTTATAATTAATTTGAAATCAATCAATTTTATATATCTCCAAACTGATCATCATTGAGGGATATCAATTACATACAAAATTGGTATCTACGTTATGGAAAATTATAGTAAATTTTGAATTCTCTTAAATGTGTTATTTTGGCTTAACGGAATTTTATTAGAGAAAAATAATATCTTTATTTATTTTTGAAACTCTCTTAATAATCATAGCAATTCATATTCCTTTAAATTAATAAATGCTAAATATCCTATTTGTTTCAACTCTTGCAGAAATAAGCTACTTAGATTTGCATGTTTTAAAACTCTTTTAAAATCCATTACAATTTAAAGTCTCACTTTTTGCTTGTCTTTCTCGTAAAAATTATTCATTAAATCTAGTGAATCGATCAATTTTTGGTAGCTTAATATTCAGTGTTTATTCCTAATTTAAACAAAATGGGAAATTAATGTCTCTTATCCAGATTTTAAATTTATAGTTTGTTTTTCTGTAAATCATTAACCATAAATATTTGTGAGCGCATTCTTGAGTATTCTTTCCATCTAACTCGAATTCTTAGATTCATTGAGAGCTCGGTATTTATATCTGAAAAAAACCATGATGTTCTTTTTTATGTACATTTATATGTTTACGTTTCAATCTCTGAATTATTGATGAATTAGATTAATGGAGATTGAAAGACTTTAATTTATATCAATTTTGCTAAAGATAATATTGCATTATGATTGGTAAAACTATAATTACATCATTTAATATTTGAACTCAAATTAAATATTAGTTGTGTTTTTAGAATTGAAAGAATAAATATATATTTTAAAAAGAATTTTTGATTATTTTAATTTTCTCTTTAATTTAAAATCATTCCTTAAAGTATATTTGAAATCTTGAATGACAACTTCTTTTCTAATAATTTAATTAAGATATGCTTTTACAGATCCATTTTGAAAATGAATTGAGACACTAATTAGATAATAATGACAGATTACTTTGCTTAAAATTAATCTATAGATTTAACCAAATAATATTACATATACATTTTTATATTCAGCTATTATCAATAGACTTTTTAATTTACAAAAGTTTATTATTAAAATATATTATATTGAGTAGTTATTTAAATAAACTAATATTATGCTTGTGTAGCCTCAAATTAATGCTTAATAGGGTTCTTCCTCAAGATCTATGTCAATTTCAATGGATGATTCAATCTATACTTAAATACAGCCAATAGTTTAAAAAATGACTGTCGTCAATTAACATTAACTTTAAGTGAGAAAGCCATCTGATGCTGCTCAAGAATTGCTCCGATCACCTCCAACAACGAGTGTAACACCATAGATTGCATCAGACAGACCGCCTTAAAGTGAAATGTAGGATTTGCTTCTAATTAAGGAGGAACCTAGTAACATAGAGTAGTCTGTGCAAATTAGTGACCGTTGTAAGGGAGCTCATTAAGGTCAAAAAAATAATTTAAGTTAATAAAGCATATTAATTGATGAAAAACCTTAGCATTCTTATAGTGATGTTCAATGGAGTAGGTTAATGTCACTAAAAACCGTAAATACTCATCCATCGTTTCAACTAAACATTTTAGGTGATAAGGCTGCTGTTTTTGATCAGAGCAATTCTCTTAAAAAGTGTTTCCATCCAAAGAAATAAAATCTATATTATCATACTAGTGATATTATATATTGTCTGTATTTATGTTTCTTTATTACTTAATTGTTGATTAATTTACAAGATAGCTTTAAAGGATAGCATATTTATTAGATTTTATTAATTATCTTTTAAGTAATACATGCACTCAATCAAATTATATTTGAATAATACGAAAATGGTGAAATAATTAATAGCATTCAATAATTAATACAAAATTATTTAAAAAAATAATCAATTTTTGATATAATCACCTCAATTCCTGTAATTTTTGCCTTATCATTCGAGGAGATGCATTTCATATAGCTTTTGCACATAATTAGACTATGGAAACTAAGATAGTAAGTGATAGGTTTCGAATTAATATATGGCAAACTAGTCTAATATACATATTATATATTGGAATTTCACTTTGTCTAATTTATCGCACTGACTATTCTTTAATTTAATCATAATAGACAATTAAACTTTTATGATGAATTCATTGTGTTGTTCTACAAGTCCAATGAAAGCAATGCAATAACTTACCTTATAAGATTGCTCATTCTAATATATTATTGCTATTGTATTTTTAGATTCACTCTCAAAGAAAGTCTAGATGTACATAAACTATCATTATCCTATGATACAAAGCAATAAATAAAGGCTTACATTAATAAATTGAACTCACAATAATCTGAGGATATGAATTTTTTATCTCATTTGCCATAGAAATATGTAGACGATGTAAAATTTTAGCGTTACTTTCATTTGCTCTAAAAAATGCCTATATTTAAATGTTCCTTCTCAGAAAGCACTTTGAGATAGATTTGCAGTTTGATTCAAGAGTACACTTATATACCAAATCAAATAGTGTTGATGTAATAAACATCTAACTAGCATTTGTTCATGATCTTGTCAGGGGAAGTGCAAATATCTTAGAAGAAGGAAGGATCTTCTAATTCTGACTTCAAAATTAAGATAATTGGGAAGGATTCAATCTTTAATAATTAGGCATTTTTCAAAAATACTTACTCCAATATTAATGCAACTTCTATAGGATATTCTTAAATTGCTCAATTGGATTTAGAATCATTTTTAGATTGTATTAAATCTCATTATTAGGAGAGATAAAAATACAAGATGATGGTTGATTAAATAGTACTTTATGAGGTTTATAGTTTATGTTAGTTGTGTTGCTATGTATGTGGTAAGTTTCATGATATCGATGAATGTGATCATGTACATTATGTTCCAAAAAAACAAATATTGGTTTAATACATCTAATCAAACGATTAATAAATTCGTAGAAATTATTTCAGACCTAAAACTAGACAAAAATAAAATCGGTTAAAATCTTACATCCTTAAAATTGAAGAGGCGGCACTTCAATATTAACAATAAAATTTTGAGTCAGATAACACTGATGAAAACAAAAAATACTAAGATGAGGTCATCAGTATCCAATAACCTTATTTAGGAGAAATGAGTCATCCATATTCAGAAAGATAGAGTTCTCTATAATAATCATAATAGACTCCAAAGAGAGGATCGTAAAATTCAATGCGAGACTCATTGCACTCTCTGTAATAACAATAATAATAATAATAACATTAATTGATGGATATTCCAAACATTAGTCCAGTTCAGTATATTCAATAACCACCAAGTGGAATATCTCACAGCTCGTATGGTTAATTATTTAAGGATGTTTCAATTAACAGAAAGAATTTTAATGGGTCTTCAGATAAAAATTCTAGTGGTAATGTGTTTTCTTTACCTTACAGCAGCAATGGCAGCAAAAATACTCCTAATAACATGATTTCAAAATAAGAGAAAGATGAATTGATCAGTATTTAAATGAAAAAAGCCAAGCTGCAAGACAGTGTATATTATCACTAGAAGAGAATACAGAATCAAATGGATAATTGCAGTTAAAATACTCATTCTAAATACTAAAAATATCACACGACTCAACCACAATAGTAATAGACCAAAACTATTCGTTCTGATAGGAAATCGAATTCTTGCATTTCTGAATCTGAGAAAGGGGAATATCAAGTACAATAGCAACAGGAAGTGCAACCGTCCAGATATGGTATTCAATCATCCAAGTTTACAGGAGAAACAGCTAAATAATTTATGAGAAACCCTTTGGAAATGCCTAATCTTGAATTTTACCAGTCTTTTGAGAAGAGTAATCAATTCAGCGATTACTTCCCTCAGCATAATATAGATCAAGCAATCGAGAGCTACAAACAATATTAACAATCTAGATCGAGTGCACATAAATGAATATATTTATATATGTATAGATGTCAATCTTTATTTAATATCTTTTATACGATTCGAAATGTGATATCCTGGAATATTATACTTTTTATGTAATTATTAAAAAGTAACAATATAAGGTTTAATTATATTATTATTCTAGTTTTTAATTTTATTTGAATAAAACAAAATGAGCGCCCTTAAGGCTAAAGGTAGGAAAGTCTTTGAAATTCCAATTTGTACAATTTGCTTAGATCCGATGATAAAAGACCTTTGCGTTTTTACAGTTTGTGGCCATGTGTTTCACTACAATTGTGGTGTAAATTGCCATTAAAATTCAAGAAAATGCCCTAATTGTCGTATGAGATCCACAGAATTATAGTCATTACATTACGCCGTTGAGGAAATAACAGGAATAGACGAATAAATGAGTTAACTATTAACTGATTTGACCGTCGATTAAAAATAACATATGGCAAAATTATTGGCGGATCACGAAGAATTATTGCATGAGAATTAAAGAATTAAACAAAGAAATAAATTTGTTGAAGAAAAAAATGAATCTATCCAGACTGAAGTTTAGCATATACAAGCAGAGCTTAAACGCTGTTTAGAAAAGAATAAGGAATTGGAAAATAAGGAGAGACTATAACAATCAAAATTAAAGACGCTCGAAGTTTGCTTCTAATCATTAGAGGAGGAAAATAAAAAATTAAAGCAAGAAATTGAAAAGAGTGAAGCACTTTTGAAAGGTTATGACTATTTGGAAAGTCTAGCTAAAGTAATCAATAATCCGAATGAGGATATGTACTTAAAATTAATAAGATAAAAAAGTCCTATTGAATAGGCCAAATAGATTTATGATTTATATATCATAAAAATGGGGTAATTCAAAAATGTACAAAAAGAAGTGACTCAATTATAAGAATAAAAGGATTAGCAATAAAAAAAATATGAATAGTTATAATAAAAGTATGAAAGAATGAAAGATTTATATGACGAAATTCAGAAGGAGAATCTATCCATCAAAGAGCTTTCAAGAAATCAGAATCAAAATCCTATATAGAAAATTATAGAGCATTATGAGGATAAATAGGAGAATGAATTCAAACGGAAACCTGTGATGATGTTAAAACCAGCCACATTTGGATCCTCTTAATTAAGAAAACAACCACTGAGTTAAAGTTTATTGAAAAAATGATATTAATTAATTTATGTCTTAATTACCTGAATTCAAGATTCCAAATGTCGTGGATCCTAAATTGTGGCCAAATCCTCGTACAATGACTCCACAGTAATTGCAAACATTCACATCGTTGGACATGGTCAAATTGAACTACACATTCAAAACTTTGAAGAAATCAGCCCCATACATCGTTGGTGTGTTAGCAGGATGCTTTTTTACAAGTCTTATTGTTGATAAAGTTGTGAAAGTACACATTTTTTGGTGAGAATGGTATTCTTTTTATGTTATCTGTAGGAAATGGTGGAACACTCTTGCAAATGAAGACATACAACAGCATTGGTGATTATACTTACAATAGATAATTTTAGAGAATGAGATATCTAACTGAAATGCCTGCAGGTACACTTTAGTTGTTCTATATATATTTCTATAGGCGATGATCCTCTTGTGAAGACCAGCGATTATTTATTACATGACTTAGGTGTAACAACTCAATAAGTTGGTGTTTAACATGGTATTGTCAAGAAAGTGCCACATGATAAGTATCTATTGTGAGTAATAGGGCAAATATAATATACAATAAATTAATTCAAAATATACTACAATTTATACATGTTTCAGAAGATTTCTCTTTTATTTCATTTGTTATTTCTTTCAAAACATTATTCCTTTGTTGTTCACATAATTCATATGTCTGTGATTTGCTTCTAGTAAAATGCTCTATAAATAATTTTAATCAGGAATACTTTCATTTGTTGATGAGTTCCTTGAGTTTTCAAAATTCGTTGATTAGGATTCGAATTCATCATATTAAACGAGTTTTTATTTCAAATTTTCAAGCGCCTCGATCATTTGATTCAAATTTTAAAACTAAACTATTGAAGTACTATTACATATCGAACGATGATGAAGATATTCTCATCAAGAAGCATATCTTAGTACGATTGATTTAAAATATCTAAGGACTAATTATTTGAATTATTTGGATTTTTTTCGACCCTATTGAAATATTCATTCACATATTCCATCTCACTTTGATAGATTTGTACTAGTCTCATAATATCAAGTTGATTAAATAGATCATCCTCCTAGTCTTCCAAATTTTAATTCTATATCAATTGAAATTTTGGATGCAATTCTTAATGCAGCTTGAATCCTTCTCTGATTGATGATTCAATCTTAATTATGGAGGTCTTCAAAAGCTAAAGATCAAGTTGTTTGTCAAAAATGATTCGACTTTTTTTGATCTTGCTCTATTACCTCTTAGGACTATGAACGACCTCGTCACTGCATAACATGTCGTTAATAATTTAAGAAACAAGTCGAAGCTAAATCTATTGTAATAAACTTACTTCCTTAATCTTCTTTATCAAATAAGCATTATGATCTTAATTTGATTTCATTTGATCAAATGTTACAACCAACCCTTGGATGCACTTGATTTTCTCTCCACTATCTAAAATATCGAGCACTGATTCGATTGGTAAATTTGATTACATCTGCAATTTCAACAGTACGATTAATTATAAAATAAAAAAATCTTTGCTTCTGAGGGCAAACAATATTTGAATATAATTGGGTATTTGAAACAATTAGTTCATTTAAACTAGTGATGTATTTTATAATTAAAAATTAAATATGTTTATATGTTGTAAAAGTAACAAAAAGCCAAAAGTTGTGCAAACTTAAACATAAACTCCTCCCTAATAAACTCAACCAAAATAATCTAAATACCAAATTAGAACCTCTAATGATCAAGATCAACACTCCACTAATCTAACCAACATGGAAGGAACTAATGATAAAATCAATCTGAGCCTACAAGAAATAGAAAAGTTCATTTTGTATGACAAGAAAACCATAGAGCAAGAGCGTGAATTAGTTACAAAATTGATTGAATTGCCTGATAAAACTCATCTCATCGAATTTAACTGGGCCATTGCATACACCAATTATATCAAGGATGCGGGAATACAACCTGGAGAGATTAAGAACAAAATCTTATATGATAAAATTAAAGCGAAAGAAGAATTAGTGTTAGATAAGGATTACGTATTGGTTAATGATTAAGTCTGGAATGTGCTGGTAAATATCTATAAAGGAGGACCCATGCTCACAATCAATGATTTAGATAGAAAAAGTGAAAATAATCTCTTAGACTAGTCGCTTAAGGTATTTGCATCACCCTCAATGAATGATCTTGATAAAAAATAAGCTAAAATTAGAAACTTAAAATAAATGCCAATCAAAGAACTTTAAATAATTGGATTAGAAAATGAAATCTACTTTTGCTATTTAAATAGCGTTCTATAATGTCTGATGGGCATCCCTTAACTAAATTATCATTTCCTACATTAATACTCAACTGATTGCAGACCTTTTAGTTATGCCTATGCAATTCTGTTAAAAAAGGCATCTAAAGTGCACTATAAAGCTCGTTTGCTGGCTAAAGAATTAATCAAAGTTCTATAAAAGCATTTCTCTATCTATGAAATGCATGATAGCTCTGAATTACTGCTCTTTATACTAGATAAATTTAAAGAAGAAATCTATATAAATAATGCTCCCTAATTCATTTAACCTGAGTAATGTTAGTTTAAGTAATCTCTTACCTTCATTGATGAAATATTCTATGGACAACTTACGTCTTACATCAAATGCTCGAGTTGCGATAAGATAAGCCAGCATTAAGATCAATTCTATGATTTAAGTCTACCACTTGTGAGTAAGAATTTTATGTAAAGAAAACTGAATATATCGGAATGTCTTAACAACTATTTCAAAGAAGAAATGATTGAAGGAGAATGGACTTGCTCATTTTGCAATGAAAAATTAAGAAATATCAAACGGCGTGTTAAAATTACATTCACACCCAATATTTTAGTTTTGCAATTAAAAAGATTCCAAAGTTTTCCTTAAAAAAAAAAAATAAAAGAACCTGTCACTGCTAATATGGAATTGAATGTTAAAAAGTAATATCTAATTTAATGATATAGTTTCTGCATTCCTGAGGTAGTCGAAACTAAATATGAATTATAAGGTATGATTGTTCATTCAGGATCAATCGATTAAGGTCATTATGTGGCTGTGGTCAAGCGTAATCAGAATGTATGTTTATCTTAATGATTTGTGAAGTTTTATCTTTTCAATGATGATGAAATCGAGCGTCTCTCCCCTAACCAAATCAATCAAATCGATTCTGCTTACCTATTCATGTATCGTAGGAAAAGTGATTGATTAATTAACTTTTTTTATTATATTTTCTGTTGAAATTTGAATGAGTTCAAACACTCTCCTAACCTACCTCTAAAGCTAAATCACCTAAATAACACTCAACATAGAGCATATACAAAAAGACATCTCTCTACTTCACAACTAATTCGAACAGAAAATATTCACAGCAAAAAGAGAATGTACTATCATTAAACATAAATCATAGTAAATAGTAGAGATGACTCAACATAAATATAGATAGAATAATTGAAATAATAATTTGATTGCACGATCAAAGTTTTAGAATAGAAAATGTTACATATTGATGAAAACAAAATGGATCAAAATGAAGCTTATTAAATGATGGAATCTAACAGAAAAAACATTCAAGAAGATGTGGATTTACTCAAAAATGAAATGGCCTATTAAAAAAAATACTTTGATGATTTACTCAATGAAAAAATCCGACGTCTAGAAATTTCTAATTTGACTGAAACAGTAAACTAATTCAAGGATCAACTCAAGCAATACTATTAAGAGGAATAGAAATAATTAAATGAACACCAAACACTTACTAAATCTCTACTTAATGCAAATAAAAAAGCATTTTTTTAAGAATTAGAAAGAATAGTTCAATAAGTTGATTCTATGAAAACAGAAATTAATGATTAACAATAATTATTTGTCAAAAAACCAGAATTAGAAACTCGGATTAATTAGATTCATTTATTATTAGAATAAAAATCAGATTTAATCGAAGTACAAAACGCATTAAATACCCAATAAATTGATATTGCCTAGCGATTTTAAGAGTTTAAAGACGAAGTACGCACTGTTTTGGAATTATAAGGGAATGAATTTTACTAATTGATTAATAAAAAAGTATACATTTTACCTTAATTCGAAATAGGCAAATCATAGTGAAGTTATGTAGTTATTGTAAGGGAAAATTGATATGGAAACCCTTTTATCGCATTCGGAAGACAAAGTTCCTCTCAAAGATTTTCATCAACATATGTCGTTAATTGAAAACATTGCACTTGATTTAGCAAAGAAATAAGATGCAAACACATTTTTAGAATATAAAGATGCCAATAACTTGTAAATTGCTGAAATTTAAAAGGAAGTTCAAAAAAAAATGTCTAAGAGAGAATTTAAAGAAGTACTTGAAAAAAAAGCAAATCATGAAGATGTTTCTAAGGCATTCAACGAAATCTAATCTATTTTATCATCAAAATTTAATTATGAAGACTTCAATAGGTTCTAATTAAATCAAAACACTCTGAACGAATAATTATGTAGTTAAAATATAATTGGCAGATGGCTTTATAAAGGGAATTTTCTGAGTCCTGGAAGTCTAATACCTTGGAATTTATAAGCAATTAATACATTAACTGAAAATTACTTATGGGATAAAGATAAACCAAATATCATTGTTGTTGCTCCTGGTATTTACGAAATCACTCTTGGATTCTTTGCCAAAAAAAAACCCAAAATTGATATAATGGTCAATGGAGAAACAATTATCAATGCAGTTAATAATAGTAGGTATAAAACTATCTTAAATTAGTTATGTGGTACATCATTCTTCAGGAAAATTAAAGGATACTAAAACATCTGTCACTGGGTTGACAATGATTGATTTTATCTCTTTGCCTGCTCGAGCAAGAATTAATATTGCTTATCAAGGAGATTTAGGAGAAGGCTTTTTATGTTTACGAAAAGTATGAATTAAAAAAATAGCATGATCTTAATCACCTTTATCATCATTTCAATAAATTATAAGAAACATTTTCTTAATTCAATTTATTCTTAAAAAAAATTAGTTAAAAATAAAAAATAAAACAATTAATAATCAGATTTTCTATTTTTTCATAATTCTTTGTTTTCAAAGTATTAGTAATAATGGATATGGTTTAATCCATAAATAACAAATACTCTTTTCAAATCTATTCAATAAAACCATCGCAACAAGAATATTAGAGCACTTCCAGAATTAATTTGTGTTTTTTTTCAAAATAATTAATTGTTTCATTCTCCTGTTGAAGTGCTATAATTGATTCTTTGAAAATCATTCTAAGTTTAAGGAAAATAAATATTGTCTTCTCATGATTCTAATGAAAGGTAAAAATTATTAATTTTTTAGATAATATAAATTTACTTATATTGCTCATAATGTAATAAACTAGCCAGAGTCGTCTACCATTCAATCCTCCTGGAAAGAAACTTGGGGTCTATCGCTTTCATAACGAGATAGGCAGAGGTAATTATGGAGTGGTAAATTTATATATCTAATACAATGTAGGTGTATTTAGCAAGTGATGATAAAGGAAACAAATATGCAATAAAATCAATAAAGAAAGAAATTTTCAAAGAAAATGGAGGTATCATTGGAGATCTCATTCGAAATGAAAAGAATGCACTGCTCTAAATCAAAAATAACCACGTCGTGAGAATATATGAATACATTGAGTCTGTCAATTAAGCTTATATGATTCTTGAACTTTGTGATGGTAATAAACTTAATTCTATAAAGGTGGGAACTTTGAGGGTTATCTGGCTTGTAAGAAATTTTAAATCACAGTTTATGAAGCTGTTTAATATATCAAATAAATTATATAAGGAGTTAATGCTTTACATGAAAAAAGGATTATTCATAGAGATTTAAAATTGAGTAATATTCTGATGAAAGACAATTCTGCTCTATTAAAGATTGCTGATTTAGGATTCTGTCATATACTCTCTGACTATGTATTTTAAATATATTACCTTAGGAATCTCTTGCTAAATTAAATTTAGGAACCATAGGAACCAAGGCACCAGAGATTATCCTAAATAAACCTTATGATTGTGCTGTTGATATTTTTTCCACTGGAGTGATGTTTTATTAATTGCTTTGTGGTGGAAACTATCCCTTCCATCCAACCACTGAGGAAGAATACCTAGACTAAATATTAAAAGGACGTAAATCATTTAAAGTATCATAGCGGATAATATAACCTTTTAATCATAAAATGAAGCTCCGCCGTAAGAACTTTAGCAATTAATTAGAAGAATGCTTCATTATAATCCTGAACAAAGATTAAAATGGAGCGAAATGTTCGATTGTTCCATTTTCAAAACAAGTTCATCATTATAATATTTAAAAAGCTCTTTAATTAGAAACTCATTTAGGATTTAATTCTAGAGTTTAGGACGTTAAAAAAATTTAGGATTTCTACATTCAAAATTAGGAGAAAATAGTTTCAATGGTTTCCCCTAAATTTGCAGATATTGGCCATTTCACCTTCCCAGATGAAGTTGTAAATAGATCCTTAACAGAAAAAGAACAAAACTAATAAATTGTTGCTAATGATATTTAATATGTTAGTACTGTAAGTTTTCAAGATAAGGATGAAATTCAATAAATTCAACAAGACAGTTGCAAAATAAATGAACTTTTTGAAAAGTATTTATCCAAATATAGATATTTAACACTCCACTAAATTGTTTATGATCTTATTCACAAAACTAATCACTTAAACGTAAAGTAAATACTTTTTCCAATCCTTATAATATCTAAAAGGATATTTAAACTATAAAAGGAACTAATTAAAATCATTGATAAAGATGGAAATATATTTGATTCACCTTATTATAATAGCTTAATCATTACTGATTAATGGAAGGTTTTAATTGAAGAAATGCTGAATAGCAAGAATTGGATTTATGAATAAGTATAACATAACATCAAAACTTTCTATTTAAATATAAATCAAAGACCAGATGATTATAAAAAAAAATATGTATAAAGTGAATGGCTTGAAGAGGCAGATGTATATTTTTCAAAAGAAAACTTTGATAATATTTTTTAATAATGCATAAATCGATATATCGGTTATTTAATTCAAGATATATACTAAGTAGAGAAGGATTAAATAAAAAAAAAGATTATTATAGTCTATTTAGTAAAGATTTTGACAGTTAATGAAATAGAGGTCGATGATATACCTATATATTAATTAGAACCATTGCTTTAAAGTAAAAATGTAGATAAACTCTTTTAAGAATCATACTCAATTTATATGTAAAAATAATGATAATATTCATAAAATAAATAATAGAATATTTTTTTTTTGAATAATTATGAATTAATATAACATATGGATAGTTTAAATCATTAGCCTCCTCTCAATCTTAAAACCAAGTGAAGTGTGGATTCCTTTTAAATGTTATAGTCTGAAAGTGTTCTTCCGTCTTCTAATTACTTTCCAGCGAAGATAAGTCTTTGTTAATCGGGTGGGATTCCTTCCTTATCTTAGATTTTAGCCTTAACAGCATCAATAGTGTCAGATGGTTCAACATCAAGAGTGATTGTTTTTCCTGTAAGTGTCTTGACGAAGATTTACATTCCTCCTCTCAATCTTAAGACCAAGTGAAGGGTTGATTCCTTTTAAATGTTATAGTCTGAAAGTGTTCTTCCGTCTTCTAATTATTTACCAGCGAAGATAAGTCTTTATTAATCGGGTGGGATTCCTTCCTTATCTTAGATTTTAGCCTTAACAGCATCAATAGTGTCAGATGGTTCAACATCAAGAGTGATTGTTTTTCCTGTAAGTGTCTTGACGAAGATTTACATTCCTCCTCTCAATCTCAAGACCAAGTGAAGGGTTGATTCCTTTTAAATGTTATAGTCTGAAAGTGTTCTTCCATCTTCTAATTACTTTCCAGCAAAGATAAGTCTTTATTAATCAGGGGGGATTCCTTCCTTGTCTTGGATTTTAGCCTTGACAGCATCAATTGTGTCAGATGGTTCAACATCAAGAGTGATAGTCTTTCCTGTGAGTGTCTTGACGAAGATTTACATTCCTCCTCTTAATCTTAAAACCAAGTGAAGGGTTGATTCCTCTTTAGATTGTTATAATCTGAGAGTGTTCTTCCGTCTTCTAATTATTTACCAGCGAAGATAAGTCTTTATTAATCGGGGGGGATTCCTTCCTTGTCTTGGATCTTAGCCTTAACAGCATCAATGGTGTCAGATGGTTCAACATCAAGAGTGATGGTCTTTCCAGTGAGTGTCTTGACGAAGATTTACATTCCTCCTCTCAATCTTAAGACTAAGTGAAGAGTGGATTCCTTTTAAATGTTATAGTCTGAAAGTGTTCTTCCGTCTTCTAATTATTTACCAGCGAAGATAAGTCTTTGTTAATCGGGTGGGATTCCTTCCTTGTCTTGGATTTTAGCCTTGACAGCATCAATTGTGTCAGATGGTTCAACATCAAGAGTGATTGTTTTTCCTGTGAGTGTCTTTACGAAAATTTACATTGTTTATTAATATTACTTTCTATTAACACTCAAGCTGTTTTTAAGGAGAAATAATTTTGTTTAATTCTGATTACTTAATGTTGTCGTTCTGATAAATACTATTTCTATTTATAGAATAATTATGGCAGTATTAGTCATTTTTTCTTAATATAATTTAAGCAGGTACTTTCAAGGGTTAGTTTATTCATTATCCTTAAATTTTGAATTGTTGAAATTCAATTGTTTTTGAAATATTTCGACAGATCTAATATAAACTTACTTACAAACTATACAAAGAATTTATAGAATACTAAAAAAGTTTTCATTAAAAATCGATTTTCATTTGGAAGACCTTTCAAAAACTCAAAAATTACTAATTGGGAATTATTAAAAGCTAAAGATAATATTTTTTAGAAAATTCTAATTTCTTATATACAATATGATAAAAATGTCAGTATCCAAAATTCTTTAAATCAAACCAAAAGATGAACAAATAATTATCTAAAGGGAAATCTTTTCCAAACAAAGCTTGATTTGATAATTTTCAAATATTTTAAGAAAATGGAATATTAATAAAAATTGCTTAAGTTAATTAATAAGTTAAAAGGAATTAATTCTATAAATTAAAGCATTAAAAAATTTTCGTTCCAAACCTAATATATAATTCATGATTTGAAAATTTAGTTTTTATAACCTACTTTGATTAGAGACATTCATCAAATCCTAAGAAGGAATCACAGATTACCAATAATTATAAATTAGATATATTAATTATTCTCTAAAATTTTATATATACTATATTATTCTCCAATCGATAAACTAAATCAAAATGATTTTAAGAGTTTAATCTTTCCATATCCTATAATTCAATGATTTCAATTATTTTTTATGGCCTTTCGGCTCATCATATCAATTTTCGAGGCTTTTAAGAGAAATGAAATATTTAATATTAAACTATCTTAAATTTTGAAAAATATTTATATAATGCACTTCATTTAAAGAATTAAAATATCTATATTAATTTCAATCTTATATCATTTATAAATTATTTTGGATAAAACCATTTGACAACTCTAAGATTTATCTTTATTCTAGATTAATGGTAATCTGTTTCTATTATTGTTTAATCTAGATATTATATTGAAAAAATGAAACTATTAAATAATGAGATATTTATTATATAAATGAAGAATTCTAAGCTAATAGTTAATAATTCAAGGCTTAATATCTAAATTACAAGTCTTTGAGAAGTTATAGAATTCATTAAGCAAAGATAGTCAAGTTTAAATAATATTTTAATTGATGATGGTGTTAAACATTGAAAAGTAGGAGTAGATTAATGCTGTGAGTGATTAATTATATAATTTAAATATACTTTTTGGTTAATTCTGATGTCTCAAGTAATGCTAGTCTTAGGCCCAAATAGAGTTGGTAAAAGCAGTTTAATTGATGCTCTCACTTATGGGCAATTCCATAGGGAATTTTATCCATAAGATATACATTTCTAAGTTAAATTAGCAAAGGTAGCATAACACAGAGTTTATGAAGTATAATCAATAGAATGGGATGGAAAACCTTTGGGATTAGTTTAATTCTACTCAAATGTTGCTGATTTAATCTTGATAGTTGTTAACATTTGCGGCTGTTACGATTAAATGGACTAAGTTCATGATATATACTAGGCTTTACCAATTACAAATAATAAATAATAAATAGTATTAATCGGTAATTTGAATGGATAAAATAAAAGAAATCAAAAGTTGTGTTAGAGCCTGAGTTAGTTTGCAAAATTAAATTGAATCTTAAACTTTATGAATTAGATAGCACAAATATTATGAGTGTTTAAATGGAATTCCATTATATAACCGAACCATACTCATTGTTTGATGATATTTGGAGTAGAAATTAAAATTATGTGTCACAATTTGTGTCATAAGCTGTATCCTTATTACATTGATAACTTATAATTTATCCAAAAATAATAAAAACAAGTAAATTTCTATTATTGATTCTTTTTGAATGAATAGAATCACCATGCATCTTTAATTTTTAAATTTCACTTTTTAAATTTTAAACTTTTCGCTTAGGTAAATAATGATGAAGATTTTCAGTTTCTTACGACAGCAATGGTCATTCTTTAGATTCTTATTCTAATATACTATATAATAATTTTATATAAGAAATAAATTTTACAGCAATTGAATTAATTCAAGTATTTATAATATTTATTCTAACATCGATTTAAATTCTAATTACCCATTAATATTGCTAACTTTACAAAAAGCACAGAAAACCCTTTAAATGTGCCTCGTAAATTTAACTAAATTAAACGATAATTTAATTTATCTTGCAACTTACTAGTTGATCATAAAATAGAAACTAAGGTTTAAGTAATTGTATATAATTTGAAGTAATTTATATAGAAACACATAAAGGTTAAATTAGTTAAAGAAAGATCAACTAATCACAGCCAAATTTTCAAGTTTAGTTCTTTGTCTTTTCTTATTTCTTGAAATTAACTTGATTTCTTTTTAGGAAACTTGACCATCAATGTCCTTAACCGTGACTACATTGTTGAAATGAACAGATTTTTTTAGATTAAATTCATTTTACAAGTAATCATTCTTTTGACATCTTAATCTCTCAGTGTTTAGATTATATAAATGATCTTCAAATTTATCCTTAAACCTTTTTTCTGTTTTTATATGTTCTGTATAGTTTCCTTTTCTTGATGTATATGCTACGTCAGGGAAAAACCCCCATTACTTAAGTATTTATTCCCCCATTTTACTTAATTAAGGCGATTTCTCTTTGACTGGACTAAGTTGCTATGGCAGTAATGACGGTAAACTTGGTGTGCGTGTATGATTAACATTCAATTTACAATCAGATTGCTTGATATGAGATTTAAGGTCATAGTGATATCTCATATACATGTTGAATTATTATAATAATAAATGATTCACAAATTACACTTGTTTGTTATATATTAAAATAAGGTAAAAGATATTACATAATACAAGTAAAAAGATTGAAAAAATAATGATTAGAAACTACTTAAATGTTTGATTTACAATATTAGGAAATGCAATTCAATATTTTCTGGGTGCATCTGCCATTCACTTTTGGATATTCTAATACATGAGAATAATTTTTCAAAATAGTATTTGTGTTTTATTTTTTTATTTTTTATAAATATTTATTTTATAATTCTTTGCTTCAAAAGATGAGTGAAAAAAAATTTTTAGAATTAACAGATAAAAGGCAAAGCCTTGAAAATGAGCTAAAGATTTTAGAAAAGCAGATTTTTGATTTGGAAACCAAATATTTGGAAGAAACAGCTGCCACAGGAAATGTAATAAAAGGATGGGAAGGCTATACGACTATAAAAAGTGGAAAACTAAATGGGAATGTTCAAAGAAAGTCTAAAGCAAATGTCAACGATCGTATTTTTTCATAAAGCAGCAAAACATCTCCATTTGTAAAATTTATATAAATGTGAGTACTAAATTACGGAAACTGTGGCAGAAGAGCCAAAAAGTCCCAAAAGCCCATAATTTAGACCAAGAAGAATGAAGAAAAAGAAGCATTATGGATACAAAAAGGAGTACTATTAAGAATTATGTTAGTGACATTGTTGAGAATTCTTAAGTTAGTTCTTCTGAGGATTTTTAATAGGATTAAATAAAAAAAGTAAAAGGATCCAAGAAAATATGAAGTAATATTTATTATTTGTGTTATTTTTACATAATAGATTGCAAATAAATCTAAATCATAAAAATATAATGGAAAACTATAGTATTAGATAATCTCTGCTGTAGATCTAATAAATTTTGGTCTTTTTCTTCTAATAAACTCATATTGTTATAAGCCTTAGAACTTTTATTTGTTTTCAAGAAATTAAATACAAAATTAATATTAAATATTCTTTGGAATTTTTATTACCATGAATAAAGTAGTATCAATATGGAATATTAGAATCAATAATGATTCATTTATTCAGTAAATTAATGTTTTAGATTGCAATTTAAGAAATATTATGTATTAGTTTGTTTTGATTTCAATAATTATTTCATTTACTTTAGCTTGCTAACTGAAATAATTAATATGTGAAGACTTAATTGATAAAATTTCGTGTGACTCTGTAGAATCCCATGTGGCAAAATGTAATTGGAATTAAAAAACAAATTAGTGCTAATCATAGAATACAAATTTAAATTAACACTAGAATTATGGGCAATATAATGAGTGTGGTTGGTATTAAAAATGTGACTAAAAAAAGCTAATGTAAGTTATCAAAACATTTAATTAAAGTGAAGAAGAGATATAGAGATGTGACAGTATTGATTCTTTTCAGTAGTGCATCTCATTTAATAACAATGGTATAGGATGCACATGGAAACATAATAAATGCTATTAAATTTCACAATGTAGCGAAATCAATGATTTTATGTAATGCAGAATATCTAGAATAAAAGAGAAGTAATACATTTGATATAGTATTAGATGCTAATTGGTTATTAATGGCAAGTCATCACGTATGGAAAGATAGTATTTTTATTTAGGTGATTTGTTTGATGAATATGAATGCAGGGCAAAGGATTGCAAATTTAATCTATTTTCTTAATGTTAAAATTTTGTGAATGGGAGAAGATGCTTTTAATATTATGGGGAATGTAGCTAATGTTCATATTTCACAACGCTATAATCTTGCTCAGATACAAATCAATGCACTTGGTAAAATGATGTTTGCAGGAACATATTGTATTACAATTTAAAAATTTAGATGTTCTGACTTGAAAGGGAAAAACCACTGTGAAAGTAAACCATTTTGTTTGTTCAATCAATCGAATTTATAATGTGAAACAAGAACTGACAACCAACTTTATTGTTATGCCTATGATATACCATCTGATCCAATAAAATCAAAAAAAAAAGTAGAAATTTGATTGTTAGAAATGTTGTATTTATCTAAAGATTTTTATTAAAAATTGAGAATTGTAGTTATAATCTGTACGATTAATATTTTTAAGTATTTAAGCTTAAGAGTTCATAAATATTTTCTATATGAAATTTAGTTATTCATTTAATGCTTATATCAAATAGCTTTCAGATATTTTGCAATTTATTTATTCAATATTGACACCAATTTGTATAATTTTTGATTTAATAATAACCTTTTGTAAGTTCTCTTATACCATTTATACAAAATGGATTTCTTCTTAACTTTTTGGATCTAAAATATTTTATATAAAGTAAATATAAGTCTTTAATTATTTCTATAAATTTTCACTAAAGCATTCCATACTTTTTTTGTTGTTAAGGTTGGCTATTTTTTTGCCGTAGAAGATATCTTAAATTCACTAACAGAATATTTTGAAGATTTAAAATTGTTACTAAAAGTAGGGGAAGAAATTAACGACTAACTTAATTTGTTAGATTTATATTATCTACTCCATTTAGAGAATGTTTTCATTAAGATTTTCTAATTAGTACGTTCTTGAATAATCTTCGTTTTCTCATTGTCAATTTAAAGTTTTTGACGAATTTGCTTAAATGAGTATTATAGTAATTGCTAGCTTATTTTATGAAAAGCTGCTTCTAATTTAGAGAAATATTCTTTTTTTAGATGGCTTCGCCTTTATTCTTTAACTTTGAAATATGAAACATGGCAGGTTCTTGGAATTTGACGAACAGGTGACTTTGATCTTGAACGAATAATTTGATTAAAATTCATATATACATATAAATTTTGTTTCTGAACATATGTCACCTTGTCATTCAAAATCCTTATTGTTCTCATATTTATAACTTAAATCTACTGAAAACAAGCTTCTTAGAGTTTATATAGATTTCCTAAAAATCATTAGTAATAATAAAGTTAATTAGCTATTTTGTAATAAAGATAAATTCATTGATTGTATGTCTATAATGTATAGTATTTAATTGAAAAAGAAAACTTCAATTCTTAATCTTTTATTTATTTATTAGTTTAGTTTAGTTTATTAAAAATAGTATTTTATAATAATTCTAAAATTAACTTAAAAAAGGAGATAACTCAATTAAAGCATTTATTAAATTATAATAATATATTTATTTTTATCAGGAAGAATATTCATTTTTTGTCTCTTTCTGAAAGCATAATTATATAGTATTCTTATTTATATCTATAATTAATAAATACTTTTAAGTAATAAAACATAATGGCTAATGATTCCTTTGACTCAATTATCGATATTTTCTAGGTCGAGTATGAATGCAAATTTTTCAAAAAGTCGACGAAACTAGAATGGTTATGTCTCGTTTGACTGGAATATATCATTTATATTCAATTCTGATTTGGTAAAGAGTGAATAAAGACACATTCAATTTAAAAACGTAAACTTTTTTGATTTTAATCTCTTATTAATTTTAATTTTTCAATTATGCTTTTCATTCCTTTTGTTTTACTAATTCCAAGCTGCGTTGGTTTCCGTGATTTTGCAGGAAATTTTACTAAAGCAAACTCTAATTTTAGTTGTCCCGAATATCATTATTACTAACCAGACTTAATTCCTCATACATGTGTTGGTATATATCTTTTATAAAGAAGGGTATGTGAATATTTGCAAAGGAGTTACTGAAGTAACTGTAAAAATATACAATTTTTAAGAAGTGCTTTGCCATCCTAGATTTTAAGCTTTTAATCTATAGCCTCTTACTACTAATAATTATATTCTTATATGCGTTCCCCCTTACTCAACAACTTACCAATACAATTCGAATGGTGAAGTAGTTCACACATGCGAATGTAAATTAGAATCAATTATTTTTTAGTAACCAATAATGTTTTTTGTGTTTTAGCTTAAAAATATGGTTCAACAATAAAATGTGAATATTGTTTTGGATATTTAATGAAGACTCCTTGTGATTATATAAAATCTGGTATAATGGTATTAAGTGTATATCCTCCAATTGTTAAATGTATTAAAGCTTGATTTATAATTAGAATGTCCTTTAAATTGCAAGCGTTGTGATGTCGTAACATTATATTGCTCAGAATGTTTGGATGGTTATACAATAAATGGTCCGGGTGATTATAAATGCAGTTATAGTAATACTATCATTAAAAAGCAGAATGCAAGACTGAAGATATGAAGTGTACGTATACTCCTTCGACTTAAACTTATTTGACTGTTTATTGTGCAGTTGGATATGAAATGGTATTGGTTAATGGTTTATATGTTTGTTAATGTAAAATAATTATCAATATAATTAGTTTGCTCTGCTTATTGTACATTGTGTGCTAATAAAGTATGTCAAACCTGTGACACAGGTTATAAATTAGTAAGTGGCAAATGTTTTGGAGATCCCAATTGTGCAGCAATTTCGTATGGAATATATTATTATCATAGAATTATTTATAATTCAAATAACTCTCCTATTGGATATACCTGTTTATAGTGTGATTTTGGATACTTTCAAAATGGTCCACTTTGCCAATGTAATTCATTAAAGTTTGAATAATAGTGTGTTCCTCAATGCCTGGTTTAGAGACTTGTTTTTTGTGCAATTCAGGAACAGTATGCAAGACATGTTAATCAGGATATTACTTGAACGATCAAAAGTAATGTATACCTTTTGATGGGTGTGATGGAAGATGCAATACTTGTTTGACGAATGATCCATTTTATTGTACAACTTGTGATTACACAAATCTTAAAAGAGTTACAGTAAATGGCCAGTGTGTTTGTGCACAAGCATAAAATTATGCTGAAAGATTTGGGACCTGTGTTTTATGCACAGAAGGATTCTGTAAGACTTGTACTCTTGACTTTTTTTAATGCACATCATGTGATCCAGCAAGGAATAGAGTTCTTGTTGGCACGAATTGTCCATGTCTATAAGGATATTACGAAACTTATTTGGATGATATGAAGTGTTAAAGTATTAAACTATATTAATTTAGAATGTCATGAAACTTGCTATAATTGCGACGATCCAACAAAGAATGATTGTACTGAATGTGATAGTCTCAAGAACAGATATTTGTTCCAAGGATAATGTATATGCAAAAGAGGATATGTGGAAGCCTTATCAGGTGGAGCTTTGCTTTGTTTAGGTTCTTATATCAGTTTAATAGAATATAGCATGTCATCCTAGATGTGAAAAATGCTCGAAACCAAAAGACGCTACTACCAATAAATACTGCACTCTTTGTATTGCAGGTCAAAATAGGATGTTGACAAGCAAATAATCATGTGATTGTATGAACACATACGGAGATTTAAATGGGGTTTAGGATGTTTGTTTCTGTAACCCTTTATTATATCATAGAATGCTATTATACTTGTGGTGGTTGTATTAACAATCAACCTACTGGTTGCAATATGTGTCTTGCATCTTCAAATAGGTATTTGACATCGACGAAGGAATGCTTATGCAAAGACAATTATTTTGAAGATGGTGTCAATAATAGAGATTGCAAAAGTATTATTTCTATTTGAAAATAGGATGTCATTATTCTTGTTATAATTGTAATAACAATTCTGGCATAGATCAATGCACCTAGTGTCCTACTACGAGAGTAGCTGATGGAACTGGATCTACTTTTAAGTGTTTATGTTCGGATCCTCATTCCTTTGATGATGGCTAAAGTCTACTTTGTGGTTAATGTCATTATTCATGCTTGACTTGCAATGGATATGATAAGTCTAATTGTTTGACTTGCGATTTGGCTTATAGAGTATTTGGATTTTCAAAATGTTAATGTCCAACTGGATACTATGAGGTGGGATAACTTTAATGCTAAAGTAAAATTTAAAATCATTATGAGAATGTCATTTTACTTGCCAGAATTGTTATGATAAGAATTCAGACAATTGCATCACTTGTTCAGCTAATATGAATCGGACTATGATGGGAAACACTTGTATATGCAAGAGTGGCACATCAGATTACAATGGTTCGCAAGCATTGTGTGAGAGTAATAATATAAATTTGAAATAAAAGATTGTTCATATCGCTGTGCTAATTGTACTTAACTTGATACTAGCCAATGCACAAGTTGTCCAGAATTTTCATTTAGAGAACTAGGAGCTAATAAATCTTGTTCGTGTCCATCTAATTTAATTGATATTCCCGTAAATCCAACTTGTCAAGGTAAACATTTACAATACTCGATTAGTTTGTCACTATACCTGTTATTCATGTTCAGGATTTAAATCGACACAATGTACAAATTGCAGCGATCTATAATTAAGACAATTAAATAGTAAAGGAGAATGTGAATGCAAAAGCCATTATTATGATATTGGAAGTGCATAATGTCAAAGTTTATTCTCTCAATATTCTTAGTTTGCAGTAAATTTTGTGTGGATTGTTATCAAACATCTACTAATTGTACTTCATGCCCTTCAGATAGATATTTGACTACTACGAGTACATGTCTTTGTAAGACAAAACTATAAGGACTGTTGATTAGTACATTCTAATTCTCTACTCAAACGACTTGTTCTAAATGTCATTACTCCTGTTTGACCTGCGATGGATTTTCATCCTTAAATTGCATAACATGTTCAGATACTGAAAATAGAATTCAGACTGGAACTGCCTGTTTATGTAAGCCTAACTATTTTGATTATGGTTCTTCTTTATGCAAAAGTATGGATTGATTAATGAACCTCATAGAATGCAGTTACAGATGTAAAACCTGTTCTTAAAGAGAGGAGTAGTGTCTAAGTTGTCCTCCTTTTAGTCTAAGAGAATATAATTCTTTAATGATGCTATGTAATTGTCCTAATGGCTATTATGATGACGGAACCAATCCATTGTGCTAATGTATTTAATTCATCGAAAATAGAATGCCATTACACTTGCTTAAAATGCACTGGCTTAGCAACCAATTGTGAATTATGCTCAGGCATTTCCTAAAGAATCTTAGATCAAATCTTGTTAACATGTAATTGTTAGCAAGGATATTATGATGATGGAGTTGAAATTTGTAAATAGTGTCATTATACTTGTTTTTCCTGTAATGGAGCAGGACCTAACTCCTGTAATTCATGTCCATCTGTGGCTACTTCGTATAGAGTATTCTATAATAAAACATGCAATTGTTTAAATGGATACTACGATGATGGGTCATCAAGCAATTGTAAGAAATGCTAGAATTAATGTTTAACTTGTCAAACCTATTCGTATCAATGTTTATTATGTCCATCTACCAGACACTTAGATGGATCGAGTTGTATTTGTGATTTAGGATATTATGATACTGGGGCATAGAAGTGCAGTCAATGTGTTTCTAATTGCTTAAATTGTTAAACCTCATCCACTAATTGCGTTTCATGTGATTCTACTAAAAAGAGAATTTTAAATACAACAACAAAAACTTGTGTTTGTCAAAGTGGCACAATAGAAATCAACGGCATTTGTTAGGATTGCGATATTTAATGTAAAACTTGTTCCAATTCTACATCCTATTGCACATCATGTGAATCCATAAGATTGTTAGACAATAATTAATGCATCTGTCTAGATGGTACTTATGAATCCAGCATTGACCATTAATGCTATTTTTGTCATAAGTCATGTTTAACTTGTGTCTATCAAGCTACTTAATGTTTGACATGTTCTGAACCAGATTTTAGAATTATTAAACCTGGAAATGGTTGTGCATGTTTTGATGGATATTATGAAAACTCAATAACACTATCTTGTGAAAAATGTGATAGTCCTTGTAAAACATGTGATCTATACGCAACCAATTGTACCTCTTGCTTTGAAGCACTTCATTACAATAAATAATAAAATTATTGTGTGTGTCAATCTGGCTATTTTTACAATGCTACTACTAAATTATGTGAAGGTATATTAACATTATTATCCATCATAGCCTGCAATTTCACATGTAAGGAATGTAGCACTTAGCTAAAATGTACGCAATGTGATTTAAGTACTAGATATTTTGATGATCAACACTTTAAGTGTCTTTGCTAAGATGGCTATTACGAGGCAAATCTGAGTTAATGTCAAAGTATATTGATTTGTTATTCTTTTTAGTATGCCATATCTCATGCTAAACTTGCATCACTTCTTCTAATAATTGTCTAACATGTGAAACACTACTATACTATAGAAATTTTAATAATAATTAATGCATTTGCTAAGATGGATATTATGATATTGGAATATCAATGTGTTAGAAATGTAATGATGTTTGCAAAACATGCTAAGTAACAGCATACAAATGTTATTCATGTTATCAAAGTGAACACATTCGAACACTTGTTAGTAACTAATGTATCTGCCAAACTGGTTATTATGATAATGGAACTTTAGTTTGTTAGAGTAATAAAATAGAATTATGATTAGAATGTTCAAATGAATGTCTTACTTGTAGTGGATCAGAGAATCATTGTACTAGTTGCGATATCAATCAAAAGAGAATCGATTAATCAGTTATCTATAGATGTCCATGCATGACAGGTTTTTATTCCGATGAAAATAAGATTTGCTAAAGTAATTATTGAACTTAACTGTTAGAATGTCATATCAAATGCACTTCTTGTCTAAATCAAAGTGATCATTGTCTCAGCTGTAAACTTGTAACTGGCAGCAATAGATACACATTGTCATAGAATTGTGATTGTAAAGCTGGCTACTTTGATGACGGGATTTAATTACAGTGCTAACAATGCAATCAGAGATGTAAAACATGTGTAAATACTTCAACCAATTGTTTAACATGTTTCGATAGTTTGAGATTCAACCCTCCTAATTGCAATTGCATTGATGGCAATTATGAAGATGCGTAAAAATATTGCTAACGTATTTAAATTTATTAATCTATTAGCATGTAATCATGAATGTAGTACATGTATCAACAAACCAGAAAATTGTTTAACTTGTAAACCTGGTAGAATGACAGCCTAATGTGTATGCCAAGATGGTTATTTCGAAGCTGGAGTATAAGAATGCTTAAGTAATCAATTAAATCATTTCCATAGAATGTAATATTTAATGTAACACCTGTAATCAAACAGCCTCAAACTGTTTATCATGTAAAGGTGATCGTATTAATTCGCCAGGCTGTTCATGTCCATTAGGTTACTTTGATGATCTCATAAATCAAAATTGCCAACTATGTGACTCATTATGCTAAACATGCGATCGACTTGGTTGCTCCACTTGTGCAGGAAATAGAATTATATCAAAAGAATACACTTGTGATCCCCCTAACAATTCCATATGTAATAATATCACTCCTTGGTGTTCAAGTAAATTGTTACACTATTTTTAGCTTGTGATGTTGCAGTGTTGAATATTCAAATATCTGATGATTTAAAATCTGTCATTGTTAAATTTGATTTCCCCTTGAATCCTAAAAGTTTCTCTAGTTAAGTTTAAAAAAACCTTTGCTATCAAATTTTATCCAACACTACTTTAAGTAAATTTGGATTCAATCCTCAATGTCAAATTGATGATATTGATCAAAAAATTCTATATCTTAATTTCGGCAATAATCCAACTATAATTGAAGGAGATTCCATTGAATTCCTGCCAAATACCTTATAACAATTAGATTGCAATAGTAAATTATCAGTGTTCGTATTAACCGATGTAAAGGCGCCAGGAAATCCAGTTATTCCTATTTTAGAATTCAATGTACCTGAAATTTAATTGAATCCTTGTGACAGTAATATTATTAGTGTAAAATCAAAATCAAATGATGGTTTTAGAGGATTAAAAAATATAATATGGTCTTATGCTGTTTAAGGATCCTCTGGCCATGGAGATCTCGAAAATTTTATCCAATTATAGTCAAGTCTCCAGTTATTAGATTTAAATATGGATGCCTTAATACTACCAATTTAATCTAACATTACATTTACAGTAGTATTTTCCAACTTTATTGGACAATAATCTTCATAAGTCATTAAGATATCAACCCATTCGGGTGCTGCTCCTTCAGTTAATTTTAATGTCAAAAAACAGTTTTATTCATTTTCAGTCATCAATATCATTTTTACAATATAAAAGATCAATTGCACTACAAAATTGATTGAAAATCCTAATTATCAGATAAGTTTAAAGGAGAAGGCAAAAACATTTGGATCATCTTCAGAAGTTGATTACCAAACAGTATCAAGTCAGATTGATTTTAAAATTAAAATCCCCTCTTATAAATTAACTCCAAGAGCTTTCTATACATTTGAATTGAATGTCTCAGATTCATCAATAAAGTACTTTTCCTCATAATAAACCACTATTGAAATTCTGCCAGCAGGATTTTTATGTAAGTTCTAGGGAGTCCAATAAGTATAAGATTACAAAAAGGATCTTAGCATGTCAATTGAATGCATAGATTTAGACACCAACTACTTAGCTAATCAAGATCCTGATCTAACTGTCAATGTCAATTGTACTGACTTATCTACAAATGATTTTTGTTTGGATGTTAAATCTCAAAAGATTAAAGTAAACTAAACTGATTTTAGACAAAAGATATCGAAATATCAAGTATAACCATATACAGTTTAATCATGGAAAGTGACTGCATTAAAAAATGGATCAAATTAAACTTTTGAGTAAATCATCGTATTCTTAGACGATAACTTTAAGGAATTACAGATGAATTATAGCAAGGGTTATAATATGAGACCAATAAATAATTATGAAAACCTGAATTTCACTTTTGTTATACCTATTATAGATTAACCACTGATTCTAGAATATAGTATTGCAATAATATATGATTATGAAGTGTTGGTTATATTGCAACCTAGTTGTTATTCCTATTAATTTAGGTTGTTCGACTATTATCAAAAGTTTACTAAAGGAAATCAAATTAATCTTAAATTTTTGGTCTAATTTACTAATGATATCATGCCAGGATAGCATAATCTTAAAGTTAATTTAAATTAACCTCCTCAATGCATCAGTTAGGTTGATTCAAATTCTAATAAAGCTTTAAGTGTTGTAAAGGTGATCGCCAATTGTCTATTTTCAACTGACACCCCATACAAATATCAACTTAGAGTCTTAATCAATGAACAAGATTATATGGATTACAAATAAAGAAAAACCGATTATTCGTTAATATTATACTCATTTTAGAGTTCAAATAAATTCCAAATTCTACTACCTTCCTCGAAAATATATATCATTTTATAAATTATGGATGCAGATGGTTCGATAGAGAATAATTACTAAGAAATAATAATGAATAAAATTGACTTAAATTGTACAACTCTTTCATATTAAAATTCCACTTTCAGATATCAAATTGCATTAGCATTAGAATTGCTTCTCAATAATTATTAGAATTCAGCTTGCTTAAATGTTGCCAACCAAATCTTATCCAATATTAAATAATTGTCTTCCACCTATAAATTTGAAGATTAGCAATTAGCCTATAAATTTATTAAAATTTACACTCATTACTACTTAAATATGAGCTCCTCTAAATCTACTAATAAAACTAAAAGAATATTAATAGAATCTTCGAGTGATAGATGCTATGACAAAGTCAATTAGAAATTCATTTTTACAAATAAAAATGTGTCAAATGAACTTTAATATAACTACACGTATTTAAATACTTAATTCAATAAATTGAAAAATGATGTAGACCAATTAATTAAAAATAGATATGAAATAGAATAAGAATTAAGTGAAGACACTTTGGTTTTACAAGAGCCCCTTTATTAGCAAAGAGAATTAATAATAGATGCATTGCAGAATTAATTACTATTCATTGATGATGCATTTTACGTATTATCAAAGACAAAAATAACTATGAATAGTGAGAAATTGCTGATATTGAATATTGGAGAAGAACTTCTACAACTAATCTAAATAATTTCTGATTAAATCAATAGCCAAGCCTAAGTAAATGGCAACCAACTAGATATTGAGGGATAATAGTTATCGTGGAAATTATTAAGATAATCAAAAAGTGATTTCAATAAGTTAATTAATATTGAATCTGATTTCACTGACAGTTTCGTTGCCTTTGTTGAAAAATCTTAATTGAGTATCTCTTATAATTTCTATAATTTGTCAACTGAATATTAGGCTCGATTGCAATAACAATTGAACTATACCAACCTATAGATAGATTCAAATAATTTGTTGAGATTGAGTCTCAGAAACTATAGAACTATGTAATATTATGTCAACTATGATAATTTGACTTAGAAATATAATGCAATATTACAACAAATATCATATTGTGAGGAAGACCATTAATATAATTACGATGATATTTATGAACCCTCTTGTATTTAAATGTCAAATAGCAATTTGTTTAATGTTTGTGATCGAATAGATAAGGAAGAGAATTCCACTGTTAATGTTATTTGTAGTTGCAATCAATTTGGAAATGTGTTTATAATTCAAAGTCCCCTAAATTAGACTAAATTTATTAACGACTCTGGAATTTAAATTGAATCTTTAGAAACAGATCAGAAAACTCTAGAAATTTTTGAATAACCATTCATCTTATTATAAAGCATATTGACTTGCTTTTCAATTTTAGTTTATTATTAATTGTACACTTTGGAAAATACACCTCAAGAATAGATGAGTTAATAGTATCAAAATATAGAGAGTTCGGATGATTTAAGTAAATTAGAAAGGAAAGATCAATTGAAATGCTACCCAGGTGATGTCTTTATTATTAAGGAGAATTATAAAGTATATTATTTTATTTATTTTAGTACATTCATCAATTTTTTTCGATATTCTATTGCGATGATGTAGTTGTAAAGAAGAGTTATAGATTCCTACAATTTTTCACTGAACTTAGTTTTCTGAATCCAATGGCAATTCTCCTATTAACTACATTTTCAGACGAATTGCTATTAAAAATGGTATTCTTCATCAATTTTTCGATGATCTTATTAATGAGATTTATATTTAAGTTGTTTTAGGCAATATATAGATTTGGTGGAAAACTTGCTATGCTAATAGTCTGTATTTAGATTTTGTTGCAAATATTGTCTTACATTTTGTTCATTTATGCGCTTATGAATAAGTAAGATAAACAATCTTTAATATTTTAGCACCTAGAACTCTGCCTACATCAATTATATGATAGGCGTGATAATAGGAGGAACAATGGTTTTGACCTATTTGATATACGACCCATTGATTATTTTTGTCAGAATACAGATCTATAAACTAATAATCTAGAGTATTAAAAGCCAGCAACTGAATCCACTATTCCATTTTGTCTATTTCTTTATTCAACATTACAAGTTGGATTAAATATTTGACAAATATGTGGTTTTTTGATTTAGAGTTAAATGAATAAAATGATAATATTTGTATTCGTAGCAAATATTAATTATATATACAACAATTCTCCCATTAATATTAGATGTATAATAATATCAAATCAATTTATATTAAGATAATTCGCTTTCTAAGTTTTCATGGAATATAAAGAAGTATAACAAGTGGTGCATAGGATTCAGTTAATTGGATTTTATACTTGGCAGTATCAAATTATACAAAAATATTCGTATAAAAACAAGTATTGGCTCTAATATAACAAAGATTACTATCAAACAACTTAAGAAGACAACGATCAAAGTCACTATATCCCATTCTACTTGCTAACTAAAATGATTTATATATATCTTATTACCTAAAACCAACCATGTATTCTATTGAAGGAGAGAAGAGCAATACTACTTAAACTATTGCACACATGATAGTTATTATTTTACCAAATCGAGACAATACCCTCAATATCTTCAAGATTCCTCTAGCCATTTCAAAAAGAACGCAATTTATAAACATAAAAATTACATATATCCAAATCTTTTGAATTTCTAAATTTGAAAATTCAAGCAAAAATAGCAAGAATGCAAAGCTGATTAAAGAAAATGTGCTTAGTATACCTTTACTTAATTTAGTATGATTAATTTCATGATAATAAAGTGCTGTTATTTGATGCAAGTACTAAATAGATATTAAGATACATGTACCTTCAATTCCTTCTTAAAAATCTATAAATTTCCAGGATATAGATGTATAGATTATCTAAAGGAGCTGATTTCGCATTACTGTTTTATTCTGCCTTATTTCTGAATTTTTAGTTCCTAATAAATGTAATAAGAATAGGCGATTAAAGTAATAAAACAATAGATATTAATAATAATGAATAGAGGGTCACCTATAATAAAACCAATTTAAATCTATGATTTTTAGTTAATTGTTGGTATATCAATATATTCTATAGTATTATCCTTTATGATTGATTTTAATAAGAAAACTTCTCCTGAATAATTGCATTGACAGGCTACTAAAGTCTAATTTAAGGATTCATCAAATTGTTATATGAGAGTGCATTTTTTAATTTCTTAGTTGGTTGTTTTGACGATACAAATCAGATCAAATTCTTGGATAATATTGTAATCACTTTTACAAATTGTGTAATTATTAAAACTAATAATGTAATTTTATAGTTAATCGATTAATATGAAGGGTTTTTTTTTGAAATAGTTCTTTAAAGAGACCCGTTTCAATGGTTGATCAGCAATCTAAATTTCGGAATCATTTGAATGATCTAATGAATTAAATGAAAAATTGGAGGAAAATAGATATGGATTAAATGCTAAACTCAATTATTCTAGCTAGCAGAATGAAACTAAAAAATCAAATGCATTGGTGTCTATATTAAGTAACTAATTTAAATGTTTTTTGCTAATTCTTTTTAATGAAAGATTAAATGAAGCTCCTTCAAAATCTTAATATATGCCATCAACTATCGCTTTTTCTTAGATGATTGATACTATTGTATTGATTTAATCAAGCAAAAACATGCTTTGGTTTAACATCATTTCATCAGATTAATTGATTTATTAAATATCTTAAAAGATGTCATCAATTAAAATTAAAGAGGATTTTAAAGAGTCTATTGAAAATTCTTTGTTTTATTCTAATTATTGATCCCAGAACAATTAATTAGTATTTAATTTTAGAACAATAGATTAGAGATTAAGTAATGAAGAAGATATTAGACTTTTGATTAAAACTACATTGTTGGTAATTTTATTTTTTAATTTAATTTAGCTTTCATTTTACTGTTATGGTATTCCATAAACAATAAAATGTTTTTTAAGATTATCAAAACATTTGTCAGTTCCTTCTTGTAGTTTTTCTTCAAATAATCTAATTTATCCTTTATCCATTTAATTTGAAGTTTAGATTAATTTAAATAATTTAATTGAGGATAATATGAGTTATTTATCTTGGTTTTTGGCTGTAAATAATATCTATTTTAAGTTATCTAATACAGTAATTGATAGATTTGAACATTCATTATTATAGGTTTCGAATAGTAAACTAATTTTGATTTACAGACTTAATGATTAATTAAAATTAAGAGTACAATTCAATTTACTCTTTTAAATGTTAAACTTTTAATAAATGTTAGTAATTGATCCGCCTAAATGAATAACTTAGACCAAAATATTGATATTCGATGAGTTCATTGAGGATGGTAGTGATAATTCAAATTTATTGGAAGTTTAATACTATTAAAATGTAATGGAGTAATCAGATTAAAACTTCAAGTATTGATAATAATCAGATTCCCTGTAGAAATACTTTAACTAATAGGAGTATGGGAAGTTGTTTGAATAGTCACATATAGCAGCAATTGAATAGTAGTTCAGATTATTTTGCAGGTCCATTTAGTTAATTTATAATTGTTAACATGGAACAGGCTAATTGAGATTTAGATTTAGATTGTAGAGATTAGGCATAATATTGTCAGTAAATTATGCATTAAATCGTAAATTAATTTAATTGCCTCTATTCATTTGAGTGATATAATCAAAAAGTCTAAATTGAAATGTGGTGAAAGTTGGTGAAATTATATTTAGAATCTAATAGTCATAGACAATTCCAACTGAATAGTCTATCAAACTTAATTATTAATCTTCAGTAAAAGCAAAGGTGAAATTCAGTAATTCGAAATTATTGATATCCCTCATTAGATAGCCACTATTAAAATTTATCTTCTGAACTTTAAATTCATTCTCTAAGAACACAATTACCTCTCTAAAATGATATTCAGCTGCTTTCTTAGTAACTTTAAGAGACCATTCCTGAATTGTGAGTGGTTCAACACTAAATTTCTTTATGTGTTATAATTTCTCTGTTTTATTTACAAGTATGATATTCTTATGGATGTCAATACATTTTTGATTTCTCGTTAATTCAAAACATTCTATTTCTGTAAACATATCTGGATCAGCATTCCAATTGAATTGTGTATCTAAATCTTTGCATTGTATAAGTAAATTCATATCCTTTGCAAATGATTACACATTTAAGATGCCATCAAACTGGCACAAAATACCTGCTGAAATAATTTGGATTTTAAAAGTCTACAATTAATTATGACCTGAAATTTTATTGGTCACATTTATTTAAAAAGTATAATTAGAGTTTGGGGATAATTTATATTCTTGTATTGCAATAGAATGATCCTTTTAGGAGGAGGTAATATCATAATTAATATTTGATTCTGATGCTTCTTTTGGAGTCTTTTCTATTTGAAATAATTAAACTGCATAAGTATAAAGTTGAGATGTCAAGATGACCTTTTTGTAACATTAAATGGTCTCGATATTAAAATTAAGTAGAATTTATTGGAATGTGAAATATCTCCTCTTTATATTTAAGAAAATGGTTGGTGAATCTCCATCATGAGTTGAAATCATAAAATGCTATACTTAAGAGGTAGACAAAAAGTTTGAGAATTGAACAAAGAAGGTGATATTGGAATTGATCGGTAGAGTAGCTGCAGGTATTATTAAATTGAAATCCTTTAGGGTATTTTGATTTTCAATGAAGTCATCTAATTGTTTATTAGTTCGACTTGAAGATGTATAATACCAATAAGGATTTATCAGAGCTCTTTTTCCATCATACATGCGATTCATTTAATAGATCTATGTTTCCACACAAGGATTGATTAAATAATCAGGTACATCAAATTCTAATAAAGGTTATAGCAATATTATTGGAGGTTTAACTTGATTGTGAACAAAAACTGATAACGGTTATTCACAAGATAGATGAGAAAGAGACTTATTATTGAAAAGCAATTAATCACCTACATTTATATTAGGATAATCTCCTAATTAAATGAGTAATTTGTGGTTGTCAGTTGGACTTACTGAACAAAGTGGATTCCTTCCTAGTTTATCGATTGAAGTCATCTCAAATATTTAGAAGCATTTATTTGATAAAGAGTAGGATTGGAATAGTTTATCATCCAAAGGAAAATCAAATACTATTATTAGACGATCGAGTTCATCTGAGAAATAAATATTTAACACTGCTACAACGCAACCTAAAGTTATAGAGATTGTATATATATACTAGAGCACCATGGAGTATCTTAATAGCAGACAGAGCCTGGCGGAGAATCACAAGTCATTTCTTAAGATAAGATTCTGTTTCCATTGCAAGTAATACATCTATTTGCATCACAGGTATCACATGTGTAATGACATTGTAGACAACTCTCATTAACAAAGTCATCAAAGAATCCATTAGGGCATTTGCATATTGGTACTGAAATTCTGTTACCCTTACATGAGGTGCAGTTATTTGAATCTTGAGCACAAGTCAAACATTAGAATCCACATTCTAAATTTAGTATAAGAGTAATTACACACACAATTATTCAAACCTGCTTCAAAATAACCATCAGAACATTCACAAGTAGGTCCAATTCTATCTGGTTTACAAGATAAACAATAAGCTGGGTTAGTAATACAAGTACCACATTAATATTCACAAGCTGGAGGTAATATAATAATTTATACGTTAGCATGTTTATTATTAATCTTCAAAATATCCATCGATGCAATTACAAAGAGGAGGATTTGATCTGAAACTGTTACTGCAAGTTGAGCAATTAGTAGAGGCATTTAAGCACATTTTACATTGATAACTGCATTTCTAACATTAAATTTATGTTCCATCATCATAATACCCATCTTTACAATTACATTGATATGATAAAGAATGACGATGTGAGTTGACTTGATAATTACAGCTGATACAAGTTTCACTGGAATTGATGCAATCATAACATTTTATGTGGCATTCTTAACATGATTAATTAGAATACTTTGACAATTCTGATTTTAGTCTTCAAAGAATCCTGTGATGCAAGGACACTTCTTCTAAATTGATTTGTCTATTCTCTTTTAATTTAAATCACAACTTGTACAAAAATGAGATTGAATATCACAAGTCTTACAAGAGTTTGAGCATTCTTAAATCAAATTAAATCTTACTTTAACAAATTACAGATCCAGAATTGAAATATCCACTTTAACAAGTACATTAGTCTCCTTATTAAATTCTATGTTATTCTGAGTCATAGCATGATGTGCATTTAGTGGAAGAACTCTAACAGGTTTTGCATACTTCAGAGCATTTCTAACACATTGACACACCAACATCGTAGTAACCTTAAAGACATTAGCATTAATTATTATTAAGTAGTCGAAAGTAGGATTGACTACAAGTTTGGCAGTTGGTTGAAGAACTCAGACAAGTGGAGCATGAATAATGGCATTCTGAATATATAAAATTGATATACATTGACAAAGCTCAGTATTTGTTTCAAAGTATCCATTCCTGCATATGCATTTCAACGAAATATTGTCAAATTCTCGAGTAAGTGTATTACATGTAGTACATTCATATTGACTCTGACATTGTAAACAACTAAAATGACACTCTAATGGTATGATAATTAAAATACATTAACACGATTTGGTAGTAACATCATAATAGTATTTAGACATACACACACATTAATTAGATTGAATATCATAATGAAGACTGGTATCACAGGATGTACAATGATTAGCATTATATTTGCATGTTAAACAAGTCTGATTGCATGGCATACAATTTTGATTGGTTAGATTTTCATAATAGCCATCTATACATTCACATTTAGATCCCCATTTTAAAATTCTGAAGTCTCCACTTATACAAGATAGACATTGTGTTGCTGTGTAGATACAAGTCAAACATGAGGAATGACAAAGATAGCATTGTTTATCATTATAATCCTCATAAAAACCATCATTGCATTTACAAACTGATCCAATTTATATTCTATCCATAGGACAGGATGTACAATTATCCTATTGATCAATACAAGTATAACAAGTCAAATTGCATTATTAACAAACTCCATTCAATTCAAAATATCCAAATTTGCATACACAATTACTCATTTACTTATTTAACATCCGATTTTATTAACCATTACATTCTATACATTAAGTTGGAGATTTAGAACATCTGAAACAATTGGCATCACATTTTGAACATTAAGCATACCCAACTTCATAATAACCATTTAAACAGTCACAATTTTATTGTAAATTTCTGGTTTATGGACAGGAAGTGCATTAATAAGATTATGATATACAAGTTAAACACTAGTAATCGCATTTTTTACAATTTGCTGAAAATCCATCATCATAATATCCAGGTAAGCAAATACACGAATTTAAATATAGTACTCTATTTGAAACCGACTAGTTTATGCAACTCAAGCAATTCTAGAATGAATTACAACTGAGACAAGAATAATGACACTTTTGACATTCTTAAACACCTGAATCAAAGTATCCCTGATTGCAAGGACAAGTTAAGATCAAGTCGTTAAGTTGTCGATGTGATGATGCTTTACATTCACTACATAATGTGCTCATTTTAGAACATGTATAACAAGAATAATGGCATTCTAAAATGAACTAACAATTATTACATTAGCATAAACTGTTTTATCCATCATCATAATATCCATCAGGACAAACACACTTCTTTAACATCTAGTTTAACACTCTCAGACTATTCTCCAAACATTCCAAACATGTGTCATCCTTTGAAATGCACAATTTACATTATATACTGCATTCTTAAAAGTCATAGATTAATTTAAAATACTTTAACACACTGCCCTACCGACTTCAAAATATCCATCTTTGCAAATACACGTAGATCCAATTTATACTCTGTTTTCACTATCAAGACATGTTATACATTGATTTGGTGCAGAACTCTTCTAACATGTTAAGCATGTATAATGGCAATCTGGATGATAGACTATTATTATACTTTAGCATTATAGGACTCCCTTCAATTCATAGGTGCTTATCTGATATCCCTGAACTTTTGTCTTACAAAGACATTTATTGCCGTTGAGATATCTATCTTTCGAACAAGCTGTACAATTATCATATTAATCTACACACTCTTAACAATATGAACTGCATTCTATAAATTACTATTTATCAATTCATACTTTAACACTCTTATACTTCCTACTCGAAATAGCCTTACATGCAAACACATTCATTATTTATTAACTTTCTGAATTTATTTTTATTACAAGAGTTACATGATTATTCAGTGGCATCAGTGCAAGATTAACATTTAAAATGGCACACTATAATTTCAATTTTTAAATACTTTTGCATATAGGAATTTAAATTTCATCATAGAACTCTTCAGTGCATGAACATGAATTGTCAGATCCTAATTGTCGACCTGAATTAGGAGGACAACTTAAACAATAATAGCTAGTATCCTTGCAGAGTTAGCATTTATAAGAGCACTCTAAATATGAATTACAAATATATCACTTCCACAAATTGGTTCTCCAGTTATATCATAATAACCTTCCATACAAGTACAAGTGTTTCCAATCTGAACTCTGTATTATACTTCTTCTGAACATTCTATACAATTATCTAAATTGACGTTGTCACAAGATTTACAACTGTAATGACATCCTAAATTATGAGTGGAAATGAAAGTTACCTTAGCATAAGAGATTACCGATATCATAGGAAGCAATAGGACAATTACATTAAACTGAGTCAAATTCACGATAAGTCGTATCGCAACTTAGACAATTATACAATTCTGGTCCATCACAAGATAGACATGAATAATGGCAAGGTTGGCATTCCATAGTTCCATCCAAGTCATAGTAGCCAATTTCCTAACAAGTGCAAATGAAAGTAGATCCAGCAACAATTGAAATCCTTGATGAAGGACACTGAGTGCATTTGTCAATCCCAGAGTCAAACAGACAATTTTAACATGAATAATGACATTCTATTAAATTATTAAATTTAAAATACATTAGCATTCCATATTCACATTGTCGTCATAATACTGATCTTAACATAAACATTCTTTCTTTTATGACAAATACCTATGTGAACTGTCTGAACACTTGACACAACTTTTAGACAACACTCCATAGCAAGATGCACATGCATAATAACACTCTTGGAAATATACATATGAGATAAGTTACTATAGCAAATTTCATAGATTCCATCATCACTATAATTCTCTTGACATACGCAATCTAAATCATCTGATATTTCTCTGTTTTATCCATCAATACATTTTATACAATATTCCAGCGAAGTACCAGGTCGAGATTGAATACACTCAGCGCATTTTTTATGACATTCTAAACCTTATATGAATCATATACTAGCGCATGTAAGATCTGGAACTAATTTGTTTTCTTAAGTAGAGAATGATAATACATTTCCATACCCCTCAATACAAGCACATTCTCCTTTAACTGTTAAATAACGATGATAGATATTCGGATCTCCACAATCTACACAATCACTCATAGTGGTTCCCTTGCATGCATAACATGTTTTATGGCATCCTTGAATAAAAGAAAATCTAAACTTTTGCATACTAACGGTCTGCCATCCGTTCTAGTTTTGTCAAAAAACTCAAAGAACAAGGTTTGACAAACGCAAGAAGTCCCTACCAATTCTCTTCCATAAAAGCTATCGCAATGAGTACAAGAAAACGGAGTAGGATCGCAAAGTTAACAATACAATGTAGTACAACTTTTACAGGTTCCATAATAATCCCCTTAGCTTCCTTTAATGTTGCATTCACATTCACCTGCACTTGTTAGATATTTCCCCATCCCATCATTGCAGACAGTACAAATGTTTGGGTCATCTAATTAACAATATAAGCAGTGCTTTTTAACACAAGTCAAAACTACACATGCAGAATTCACCAAAACATATCCAGGACGACAATATAAGCATCCCGATTCATTGCATATTGGACAGTTCTTTCTTTTATTGCAACCTTGGTTTATCATTCAATCTATTACTTGAGCATTAATTAAACATGGTATCCCAAAAATAACCAAACAGACATTCCAAACATTTAGTACCTGTGAGAGTTCCTGCCCATCATATACCAGTTCTTAGTTATTACAATTCTTCTCCCCCAAGCATTAGTTTTTTATTAAGACATAAGGGTAGAGACACACCAAGCATGTTTCAGTTTATGTAGTCGAATCTATATCGCATTTTGAACAATATGTTATTTTACAAACTTAAATTTCATGAATTTTTACAAACGCAGATTGTACCCAATTAAAAAGCTCCATCTTCCATGCATGGAAGCTCATAAACAACATTAGTTGTGAGGTCCATATAGCATGAACTATAAGGTATACAACCTAAATTACTCAGGACAAATTACTTTGAGAGCAAGTTTAATCATATTCACTTTTCTTTCCATATCCTGGATAACAGAGTGCGCAAGTACCATCAAGATTTTGCTATTAACATTCTAAGTAATAATTATTTAATTACTTGATGTTAGTTTAGTAGATGTAGTATTGTATTTTTCACAATTCTCCCCATAGTAATTGTCCTGGCAATATAAGCATTTATAAATTCCACTCTTAATTAAAGCCAAATAACAACGAATTTTATCTTCAGTAGTTTCGTCTAATTTATCATCTTAAATTATTTTACATTGACATTAAAAAAAATATTTCCCTTCTTCATTAATTGACATGACCAATTAACCTAAAGGACTGCCGCAGGTCATATAAGTTAAATATATGCTTATTTATTTTGCAATTGCGGAGGCTCCGACTTAAACATCTGGATGACAAAATAAATCGTAATAATAATTCTTCGATGTTCGCTTTATGATCGGCGTTGTAACTCCAATACATTCAGGAGATATGCCTCTTGATAAGGAAAATTTTACTTATGCAATAATATGGATAAATCGGAAAAAAGAAATGTTATGCCTAACCTTGATTACAAATAACTCCATCATAAATGTCACCTAATTCAATTTACATTCGGAATGCTATTACGAAATTCATGAATCCTAATATAACAGTCCCTTTAATGAATTAGTTAACCATAGATTTTATAATTTAATTAAACATCTTTTATATTCACAATAATATGATTTCCGACTCTCCAATATTTTTGCCAGGTCTAATATATCAATAAATTAATAGAATCATAGACAAACACTTTTTGCATTTTCTATAGTTAATTTAAATTGTCATTAAATCATTACTTAGCCAATTTTAAGGGTCCCACCATTTTTAATCAAAATTTATAGTTTTAAACATTATAATTTTATAGATTTACAATAAACATTTTATATTTCTAAAAATAATTATTTGTTTATTTAAAATTTAAAATTTAAAAACACATTTTTATTTATAGTAACTATTGCAGATTTATTTCAAACTTAAAGCAAATTTAATACTATTTCCAAAAATCAACTTAACTTATTTCTATAATTTCTACAAATAAGTTTAGATTACATTCTTTGCAAAAAGAAACTTAATTTATTCACATAATAGATTTAAATGATCGGATTTTTTAACTAATTTCTATAAAATAGAATTTTATTGTCATCATATCCTATCCAAGAACCTTAATAGAAATTCTAAGATCCATTTAATTGATCTATTCAATTCATTTACAATTTTGATATGATAACCTTCACATTTTATTACTAATTTGAATTCATTTTCAAAATGGAGGGTAATGTGGTAGAATTGTTGAATTTATGATTGATTTTAATTTTTTTTCAAATGCACTTTTAGATAAAAGCGCACAAATGCAGTAGTATTTGTATTTAAATATTAAATTAAGCAAAGAATGCAGGTTGTCAATGTGTCGAATAAACAAATCAAGAACTTTAACTTGGAAACAATTGTAATGAATGTATGATTATGATTTAGAATGCTGTCTATGATACACACCTAAATTATGCAAAAACTAGATCAATCAATTGCAGTCACAATTTATTGGGATCAACAGATGGGTTTTCTTAATTTCAATGTCTCTACAACTTGGATATGAGTCATAATCGTATTAATTAGTTCTTCCAATTGACTTCATCTTTGGTCGAAATAAATTTGGCTCACAATCTGTTGGGGAGTGTGTTTGATGATTTTCAGAAATCTCTAAAGTCACAAGGTACTCGTTTATACGTAGGGTCATTCTTATCAAATTTGAAGAACTTGAAAATCATTGATCTCAGTTATAATAACATTTCATCGATCAGTTCCAACATATTTGATAACAACACTCAACTTCGTAAAATAAACCTCAGCAACAATCAACTGGCATGTGCCTTGTGGTGTTTTACCAAACTGGAAAATCTGGAGATGTAATATACTAAATATCATAATAGAATTGATGTCGGACATAATTAATTAAATATTAACGATTTAAAGCCATTAGAGAAAATAAGATTGGAGAGTTTGAATCTTAGATTCAATCCATTAGAGAACACGGACAAATGTGAAGAGAAATTGATGAAGCATCTACTCTACACTCGAAGGATCGAATTGTCATACACTCAATTGGAACAATAGATAATTATGAATTCCAAACAGAGTTCCAAGTTGGATCAAAGCGTCAATAGCAATGACTCTATACAATAACAAGCAACTGAGAGATCAACTATGAGTCGTTTAAGCAAAGTCAGCAACAGACTTGCAAGACCCAAAACACCTTAGAATACCAAGAATGAGACATACTAAATAAATAGAACTCCAGTCAAGGCATAGAATCTGCAGGAAGTGAAGAAATCTAAGGGGGAGTTGAAAAAGAATATAAGCATTACTCCAAAGAAAAACAATCAAACACCTAAGTAATAACGATAGGTCTGTATGAAAACAGTGGATCAACACGATGAATAGATTAAGCAAAGAGATTCATATTAGTAATAGAAATCAACAACAAAAATACCGGCTTTGAATTTACAAATGCTAAAAGTGACTCCATTTTAATTAAGTGAAGTTGGTTCTGAAAGGGAAGATTTTCCTATGTTATTTGAAGAAGATGACGAGAAGTAACTACTTGAAGAATTGAGACTTTTGGGGGAAGTTGTGAAGTAGAAGAAGCAACATGAAGTTAGTATTGAAAGACAAATAACAATGAACAAAAATATAATTTCATTGATGAAGATTATGATCAAAGGAAGTATCTGAATTTGTATATTCATAAGTTTATTTGTATGATGTTAACGAGTACAACAAGGGATTCGATGAAATGATGACAGAATTGTAAAAGGAATTAGAATCGAAGAATCCATAATTCTAAGATCTGAAACTTAAATTGATGAGATTCAATAAGGAACATTACGAATTAAATAAAATGTATTATAGTTTAGAGTAATCTGAAAGAGTGGTTGATAATATCAAGCAATAATTAATTTGAATTACTAAAATTATGGTTATTACATCTATCTTGGTTGTTCTTGTTTTAATTATTACTTAAATGACTTTAGGATCTCTTATGTCTTCTCAATCATAACGCTTATCAAATCTGATTCAGTTGTCTGATTTGTGTTTTTGACTTTGCTTTTCTCTAATTGTTTTTTGTGCTGAATATATTTTTGCAATCCTTAGATAAAAGGGTTCAAGTATACATAAGCAGAATCCCCTCTCTAGATATCTTTGATCTACACCCATCTTTTATAATTAGAGTATAATTTACTAGATGGATCCAATTTCATAACGAGTGCTTGTCGTGAACTTATGATCCTCACTCACTCCACAAATTATATACATCCTTTGAGGTTATCCAGTATCTTCACAAACAAATTCTAAGTAATCCTAATGAATAACAAATTCAAATACTTTTTCGCTAATCTTCTTAGAAATATCGTAGCCTACCTCTTCCCACACCTCTCTTATTGCACATTCAACACCTGACTCATTCTTATTAACCTTCCCTTTTGGAAAGCTGTACACTGTTTGATTGTAATTCATAACTAGTAACACACAATCCAAAGTTTCATTCAGCAATATGGCTCCATATAAGGGAATATGCTTTTGATATTGCTTGAATTGTTTAAGGTAGCTTTGGTTATTTAGATATTTTACTGTTTAAGGTTTCCTCTTATTTCATTATATTCGGATAATGGATTCAAAAGCCAAGAATAAAATTCTGTTTATGACATCTTATCTTCCGGATTCAAGAAATCTAAATAGTACCAATAGGCATTTTATAAATGGAAAAATAATCTGTCAGGCTTCTTTTCCTCTTAATCCAAATTCACGATAAATCTACATAATAAACTCTCCCTGGTTTGATCCATTATTTATATTTATTATTATTTTATTAATGCAATAATATCAATCGCAACCAGCATTTAATCCTAAACATTTGTTTACGATGAAAAAGTATTTCAATGGGTATGTTCAATAAAACAGATTTTTCCACAAAAAAACTGAAACCAAGTCAGACAATGGAAGTGAGGTATTTAAAGAAATCTAATAACTACCCTAAATCGTATAAAGAATAGATAGAAGAATTGAGAATGTGAATTATAAATATAAAAGTGCTCCCATGATAGAAAAGAAGAAGCAGAACTCACGCAAACTCTCTTTCCCAGTACTCAAGTATTCTCCGACCGAGAATAAGTTACAATTGTAGAAGATAAAAGACTTGATTGAATAGCACACGTCACGTGTAATTGTTAAAGATGACATGCTTAAACATATGGTTGGTTATAGCAAGATTTCGTAGATGATTATTTGATTATGAATCATAATACTCTAATACACTCTTTTCTTTTTATTTCTATTTAATTTCATCCACAATTCAAAAAGGCAGTCTTCCTTTATTTGAAGTTGGAGTTTAAATTATTAATAGATAAGCATATATAATTTTTAGGTAAAATTTTTATCTCAATAATTCCTATTAACTTTTAATACTCCTAAGAATTATTATTAATCAAGGCTATGGAAATGGTGACTCTTCTGTTCTCCTTTAATCAAATAATATATTTAGGATAAATATTTTACTAAAGAGAATTATTAATTAAATAATGGTTAATTTCGATTAACTCTTAGAGGAATCATTAAAAATGGGTTCTTTTTAGAAAAAGTCTCTATTAGTTGTTTCGTTGATAGACTTCTCAGATGGGGTTGAGAAGACTATCATTGGTATTATGTTAACTATATTATCACATGAATGGAAATTGGATTAAAGTGAAGTTTCCAATTTGGCAAGCATTTATTTTATAGGAATCGTAGGTGGCACTATGTTTTGTGCATTCAACACCGATACAATTGGAAGATAAAGAACATTAATGTTGAGTAGTATGATTGGCTTCGTTTGTATGCTATGGATGAGCTTAGCATAAACATATTTAGAAATGTTCTTACTGCGATTAGGATTTGGTTTTATTTTTGGAACAACCATACCTTTGGGACACATTGTTATAACAGAGATAATCCCAGCAAATATCCGGGGGTCAGTTATGACATTTATTGCATCCGTGTTTATAGTAGGCAAGATTTATTGCACTTTCTTATGCATGGCTTTATTACAAGGATTTGATGAAGGACATTGGAGAATATTAGTGGCATTAAATTCATTACCTTTACTAATATGCTGCATAGGATCTGTAATGTACTTAAGAGAGTCACCCAGGTATTATTTAGTTAAATAATAATATCAATAAGCATTTGAAGAAATAGAGTTGATTGCTTTGCAAAATAATTCTACGAACTTTTAATTAACAAATAATATGAAAGAAGGTTTGATAGAAAACTCATAATAAATAATAAGGTCAGAGACCAATTTTAAATAACTGTTTAAAGGTAAGTATGAAGGATTCACTATTAGAATGTGGGTGGTTTTCATTTTGACTTCCTTTATAGAGTGCTCTCTTTATATTCTAATGCCTTTTTGGTTGCATCAACACAATAAAGGATTTGAAATCATCTTATTTATGATGATATCTGAACTGTTTGCCAATATGTGTATTTACAAAGTTATCGACAGTAAGATCTTTGGGGGTAGACAGAAGCTTGTGATATATATAGCATTGATAATTGGTGTGATCTCATTGATCACTTATATATAAGGAGAGGAATTATTAGTTTTTGGAATGACAACAATCTCATTTTTTTTGAAGATGATGTTCACAACTGAGATGGTTATAATGAATGAGAATTATACAACTTAATTTAGATCAATGGGAGTAGGATTAACTTAAACAGTTGGTAAATTTACAGGAGCAGTAATTCCATTTATTATATTTCCAATATTCTAAATAAACCCATTCTTGCCATTCCTGCTATATTTCATTTGCATGTTAATCTAAGCTATTTTTGCCTACCAATTTCCCTTTGATATGACGCAAGTACAATTGGACTGCGTAAAAGTATTTTCTTGACTAAAATTATTATATATATATAATGTTTTCAGAAATAATACCTTCATTAATGGATTATTCCCAACATCTGGATCGTACCATAAAGGAATTGTAATAACAAATATTGTAAATGGAAACTATAACCAATAAGACTAACTCACATAAAAGACCACTTGAGATGAAATATTTATCTCACAAATCTTCTGTTCCATCTACTCTCCCTGACATTAACAATGATATTGATAAAATCCTATAAACAGCTGAACAATTTTTAACAGATCCCAATAAAACATAAATTGAACCTAAGAAATAAGAAAAGCAAGATTTTGAATAACCAAAAAGGAAATTAGAATCATTCAAATAGCCAAGCAACAAAAAATAAATTCTCTCTCGTAAAGTAAGTCAGAAAAAGTTATCACCTTCTAAATTGTCAATGCACAAACGATCTGGATCTTTATACAAATAAGAGGTGACACCAAAAGTTACTTAGGTTCAACCAAAGTTTGCTATGCAATAAAGGGAATCCACCAAATCATTCAAAGATCAAAGCCGATTAATCAAGCAATCACCAACTAAATCAATTCATGAGAAAAATTCAATCCTTATTGAAGATTAAAGTAAAGCCAAACCGCCTATTCCTTCTGTTCAGCCAGTTCGAAAATAACCTTCATAGCCTTATTTATAATTGCAACCCATTCCTTAATAACAGTAATAGCAACAGAATTTGAATTCCTCATACACACAAGCACAGACAAATAATAATAAGATGGAGAACAACTAACAACAATAATAAAATGCATTGAAGAAGTTTGATTTCAATGGGTACAAAGAATTGAGCAGATTGAAACGAATGAAGGATGCCATTTTTGTTGAATATCAATAAAGCTACACATATTTTAGAGAAAAAGAATAAAAAGCGAGGGCTAGGTTTCTTACTAAATTCCATTAGCATATGAATGAGAGAAAGAAGTTGCTATAATAATCTGCTTACGGAGATAAGCAAACCTTCTTCCTTCCTTAGTGATCAAATCCATCCATAATTCTTTTCTTTTATAGAAGAACAATTGACCATCGGGTAACCAAAAACTCTTCTGATCCTTAAATATTGTGAATAAGTTCAAAAAACCATTGATTCTATTGAAGTAAGACTATTTTCTATATTCAGTTTGATGATGAACTACTAAAGAACCTTAAGAGAGCCAATAAATAAAACATTTCCAAGATATCCTTAACAGAATTGGTCGAAGTCTTTAAATTATGGAGTCAAGTCTAAATCATTAGATAAAATTATCAACAACTCACACAATTTATTCAACCTATACCAGAATTAACTTATGACTTGATTTAGTGGATTTGTTTAAGACCTAAAGTTATCAAGAAGGACAAATAGCAAGTACAATTAAGCCAGAAGGTCATTCGTTATAATCAATTTGCCACATCTTAGGAGGAAGCTCTTGAAACCAACAAACTGATTATTAAAGAAGAGATCTTTCGATTTCTGTGGGATATTATTCAAAAATTGGTATTCTCATAATCGCAACTTGAAACTTCAATGGCTTTATTCAAATCCATTCTCAAATTCCTCACTAAAAACAATTGTAGTGTATATGTGTATAAGAATTCAGATTTATTTATATGACATTAATATAATAAATGCATAATTAATTACTAACTAATAGATGTAATTTCAAAACTGATCGCATTTCCAAAATCCTGTCAGCCTACACTGTGGAAAGTGAAAAGCATAATCAACAGAGTTTTCGAATGTTGAGCTAGAAAATCAAGAGTAAAGTATAAATCTCAGATATAAAAAGATAGGAAATTAAATCAGCGATCATCAAACTCTCTACCCTAAACCAGATATCAAAGACTCTAAAATAGAAATCTCTAAATTTTTTAGTGACCATAAAAAAACTCAGATCTAAATCAATGTTAAAGATTTACTCATGCATAAAAGTTAAATGCAAAAATCACTATCCAAAAAATCCAGAGATTCCAATCAACGATAAAATGAAATCATCGAAAAATTGAATAAGACATAGAACGAAATCTATAAGAATTACATTGCCAAAAGAGATTCTAATGGATCAAAAACTTATAGAGACTCAAGTAATTTCAGCCTCTTTACTTAGGGGATTTGGATATCCGTATCAAGTTGAATGATAAAAGTACTCAATCCCAACAAGCCTTACTCTAAACACTCATCAATAAGAGCAATGAAAAAAAGTCAGTTGAACCAAGGGATTCCCCAGATCTATGTTATACCCCATCACATAACATGCTTCAATCTACCTTCTAAAATAGCTTGCTTATACGATCAGGAAGCTAAGGCAATGTGGCCAGCACCTCGAAATTAAATAATAAAATACAAGATTCAAAACTTAAAAAAATAAAAAACTATCTTGAATAAGCTAAAACCCATCGACCAATCGCAGATTATTATAAACTGAGTCAAGAAATTGATAAGGTCAAAAAAGGCAAATTAGTTTAAGTGGAAAGAAATAAACTTCTATCCCTCCTAAAAATAGCATATCGAGCTAAATCTAAAATAGATTAATTTAATGAATATCTGAAAAAATAAGAAAAAATTTCAACTTTAATTTAGAGTTTCTTAATAAATGAGTGTACCTATTTATTTTTATATTAGTATTAACTGAAAATAGCATTGAATCAATCTTATCTTTGGAATGAATTTTCTATTTTTATTCATTAATAATGACAATACTAGTTTATAACAATAAACTGATTGAATTATCTACTCTATGCATTCTAATAGTTATTTAGAATTTTTTTTTTCCAAAATTATGATAAAGACAACTTTATTAAATATAAGTCAAATAATTTCTAGGGTGTAAAAAAATAATATTCTTAAACAAAAAAAATGTTTATCCACAAAAGCACTTAGAAAAGAAATAAAATAAAATAAGCATAAGGATTATATATTTGGTGTCAAAGTTTCAATATTATTATGACGAACATTGATATCAGTATATTATTATATAAAATAAAGGAATAAGGAATATCTTGAGATTGGTCATCAAATTAGATTCAAATATTCTTCTATCGTTTTTCCGATTATTATTATATTATACCCTTGATGGGAATATGAAAACAATGGCATAATTTCAGTGCCAGTTTGAATAATAGGTGAAGGTTATCAGATAAATTTCAAATTTTGGAAATTTTAATTTAGATTGTATAACTTTATATTCTATATGAATAGATATTTTATTATATTCAATAATATTCTTGATATAAATTTATCCACTATAGTATTAATGATGAATTCTTTGTATCGTCTTTCAAAAAATATTAAAATATTTGCTTATATATCTTAGATGATCGATCTATGCATTTCTAGTTCCATATTAAATAACTTAAAATACTCTTTATTACACATCAAACAATTGATAGGATTGAGTCAATTGTGATAAAATATATCGAGATTTTTGCCAGAAAAAATGCTATTACTTATCTTATGTTGATATACTTTTTCTAGATCATTATGCCCTTGTGCATATATTTAAATAAAGAACAGACTAACCTTGAAGGATTTTCAATAAACTACTCTTATACAAAAATATCTAATTATTATTATTCAATGTATACAATATAATTTTAAAAATCTTATTGTCATTTGAAATAATGGAGTTCTTTAAAAAATTTTACAATTTTATAAACTGTGGTAATGAGGGTCATAATATTTAATTCAACTTAAAGTTTCCTTTTTCAAGAATGAAATTCGCCAAGTTAAATACTTTCTTCAAGTTTAATCTTGATCTTAACAATAAACATTGAATAGTCGTTATCATCCTCAATTTCTTCCAGATAAATAATTTAACTTTTAGGTTTTTATTAAAATGCTATTATTTTGGTGTTTCAATTTAAATCTTTTGCTAAGTTTACTCAATTAGACGCTTATTTGATTAAGCCATTTAGATTTATACTCTATTTATGGATAAGCCTAATTATTTCGAAATATAATTTTTCATTTATGTTTTACAGAATTTTCATTTATTAGGTTATTTATTTTTGTATTTGATTTTGATTTCCTATTAATTGAATTTAGTATTTCTTGTTGGATAGATGAAACCTAATGTTACATATTTTTTTTTATTATTATCTCCATTAGAATTTTTGTCTCTTTCATTCTTATGATTTCTTCTTCATTAAAATCTAAGATTTTAAGAAAAATTAAAGTTTCTTTTACCAGAAAGATATATATAACTTTTAATGGTAAAATATAATTAACCTATGAAGAACTCTGCTCACAACTATAAATTCAAACTTATTTCGTCATCGAACACTCGCCTAAAGTTTTTAATTCAAAGTAGGACTCTACAAATTCATTAAGTCTGTTCAACATGCAGGTTGAAGCTCCTCCATTGTTTCATTTTTAAAGGGTATCAATTATCATATCTTCTTATTTGCTGATATATCTTCAAAAATAAATATAGAAGCATCAATTTGAAGAACAATTGAATTGTGATGAATGGCTGATTTTTAATAATTAAAAATATACAATATAAAAGAATAATCATTTACACTATTTATATTCTTAAAAGAATTACGAAGACCAAGTTGATTTGAGTACAATTCTATGATTTTATATAACATTAAAATATTTTATTATTTGTTTTCAAACAATCCTTCTCTAACTTATATAGCACTTCAAAGTTTAACCATTTTATATTTGATATTCCTGGAAAGAACATTCGTGTTGGCATAGCACTCCATTCGAATAAACTATTATTTCTCCTTGTTCGTTTCCAAGACTAATACGGATTTTATCAATTAAATCTAACAACAAAGAATTAGGGTTATAACAGGCCTTAAATGATCTTGATGATTGTGGGAATTCTAAATCTACTGTGATTTCTGGATTCAATATATTTTTATTTGATAGACCCTTTGGTTGAATTGCTGTAGTTTCTTGTATTTTCATTTCACTTTTGAACAAAGCTTAATCAATCTGGAAATGTAATTTTTCTTTTTCCTTTTAAGGGTATTATATATCTGGAGATTAATCAAAGTTTTCTTCTAATTCTAAAATCTTACTTATTTTTTTGCTCTCTATCAGTATTTTTTCAACTGATTCAGTCAAGCACTTCTTCAGGTCATTTAATAGATTGAGTAATTCTCTTAACTCTTTATCTTTATTCCTTAAGGAATCCTTTTGATCAAGTAGTTATAAATAGCAGCTGATTTAAGTGTTGCTTAAGTTTATAACCTCCATATCACTACAACCCGATAAATTGTTTTAAATACTATCTACTTATTCATACGTCTGTTTATTTTAGCTAATGGCTTTACTCATTTTGCTTTTATATTGTAAATCAATTTCATTTAGTGTTTCCAATAATTAAGTTTGTAAATTTTTCATTGTTAACAATTGTTTTAGAAGCTTTCCGACTTAAGTATTTAAATCATTTATGGAAATAACATCATCCTTATTTATTGAGTTTTCTTCAAGGAAGCATTTTAGGCACATTTTTAGTTTCTTATAAAGTTGAGGTTTCTTACAAATCATAGTTATTAATTCTTACAGGAAAGTGATTAGTTAATCATTGGATACAATAAATTTTAGTTAATAATAAAAATGTATTAAAATGGATTTATCATTTTTTGCTTAATTAGGAATTATTTATTTTATCTTGGTTTTTGTTTTAAGATATATTATTTATGGACTTATCAAGATCTTATTTTTAAATGTTGGCATTATCTTTTTGCATTTTTAGTAAAGCTGATTAATTTTCTTCTTATTCCTCTTCAGGTACAAGACTCAAACCTCTATCAACTTGTTTGCTTCCAGGAGCTTATTAATCTATTTCATCCAATCTTGCCATAATTTAATCTTTCAAACCAGGTTTAAGATTTCCCTACTTTATTTGTTCCACCTGATAAATAGCCAACAAGGATTATATAGGCTAGATTAGAGATAGTATCAAATGTTCTTTAGGAGTTTGGATATGATTAGAGATAATTTAATCATCAAGATATTTTCTTCATTTTAGCAACTCCTTGTTTATTTCATTAGGCGAATGAAATTAGACTTTTAAGTATTGAAGTTATAGCAGCTTTATATCAATTTGTTGGAGTAGAAATCAGAACTATGGTTGATGCTATTGAAAATCTTAAACCTGGTTTGAAAGATTAAATTATGGCAAGATTGGATGAAATAGATTAATAAGCTCCTGAAGCAAACAAGTTGATAGAGGTCTGAGTCTTGTACCTGAAGAGGAATAGGAAGAAAATTAATCAGCTTTACTAAAAAAGCAAAAAGATAATGCCAACATTTAAGAATAAGATCTTGATAAGTCCATAAATAATATATCTTAAGACAAAAACTAAGATAAAATAAATGATTCCTAATTAAGCAAAAGATGATAAATCCATTTTAATACATTTTTATTATTAACTAAGATTATTATGACAATAATTAATGAGCAACTCATAGTAAATGTTCTGTCAAGATCATAAAAACTAATAAATTACAGCAATTTGTAAAATTCCTCGATCTAATGGTAAAACAAAAATGTGCCAAAGATGCCTTGTAAATGATCGCAGTATCAAAGAGGGAGATATTATCTTCATTAATGAATTTGAAACTGAGATAGAAAGTTTGAGATCAGCTTTAGAAACAATACAAAATACACAATTATGATAATTGGAAATATTAAATGAGATACATTAATCATAAGATAGATTAAGGTAAGTCATCCTTCTTATGAGACAGAAAAAACATTCTTTAGATAATTTTGTACAAAGATCTTTAAGTTCTTTGTAAATAGAAAGCATTAACTTAAGTGACAATGAAGTAAGTGATTTTATGTAACTATTTAATCCAACAGGAATTGTTAAGAAGTATAAATCTAGAGTTATAAGAATCTCTCAATCCATTAAGAGATTTAAGAACACGTTTAAACTAATAATGTGAAAGGATTCTATAAGACATCTAATCAATAAATCAGATTCTAAATGAAGAAGAATCAATCTTCTCAGAAAATTAATAAGAAAATTAACATCAGGAACATCAGAATCATGACCTTAATTCATATGTGTCTATGAGTATGTCTTAAGGTTTTATATTATTATAATAATAGGTTATTAAAGCCGAATTAAAAGTTCATTACTGGAATCATACAAACAAGTCATTTAGAATTCATAATAATAACGCGAGGAGCTATGTTAAATTCTTCCTGAATAATTAAGATGCTAATATAATTAAACTTTAACAATAATTTTAGTTTTCGATCATTTGGTAAACGCATATGAAATTGAAATTGATTCACAAGCGTCTATAGGAGATTTAGCTCAAGAATTCAAAATTGTTCTTAATCATCAAAAAGAAATACTTTTTTCTTTTGAAGGCAATATTTTAGAAGAGGAATTTACGTTTCAATAACTAAATATTTAAAATGGTTATACCCTCTAAGCTTAACTAATTTATTGAAAATAAAACATAAATATTATAAACATAATTTTTTAATTGTATTATTGTCTTCTAACAAAATTTTTTGAAATTGTTTGAAATCTATAAAATTATTATGTTTATAAAAAGTTAAGTATTTTTCTTGAAAATTTTGCTAGCCCAATTAGAAGACTTCTAATATGTTATAGATATAAAACTATGTAAAAGCATAATATCAAAATAAAGTATATTTGTCATATGTTCTTATATATAATAGTGTTGCCAATACTTTTCAGAATATATTATATATAGCAACATTACCAAACTTAAATTTAATATATAATAAAATATTTTGTTATAATATTGTTGAATTATTTCATACTCTTTATTTTAGATAACAGATTACAACCTGACTGTTTGAAATATATTATTGTTGAAAAGTTCTTTCTAACAGTAGAATAATCTCATTATGGTACATTATTATTTTTGGTAAATAATTTCTAATTCATTTGAATTCTTTTCACAAGCTTTCCTATTGAAAGTTATGAATCCAATTAAATATTAATTTCTCTTTTTTACATAGTGGAATTTAAAAGTTATTTCAATTTGTGAATTTGTTAGATTCTGATTTATTAATCTCTTGGTTAAGGTTAAGCCGAATTTAAATAATTATATTTAACTTCCTAATTGATTTTAAATATCTCCTTCACTGGCGTTTGAATAATCTTGTATTTCTAATTAGGAAGTTTCTGATAAGATCTAATACGATATGTTTAACTTATATCTATGTTTTCAAAATGACCTAATATAATAATTAAATAAAACTTCTTATCATATTATCATCTAGGAATATAACAGGATTCTATTAAGTAAAATTTGATTCTTAGAATGATCCTATCTCTTATTTGTACTAATTTGATTGAAATTCTAGGAAAGGTTAACTATTTTTTTATGGTGAAGATTAACTGTAGCTCGAATTATCCCTTATGATAATATTCTTATTAATTTTCTTATTAAATGGATTTTTCTTCATTAAGAATCTGATCTATTGATTAGATGAATAGAGAAATTTTCACATCATGTTCTTAAATCTTTTAATGGATCGAGAGATTTTATAACCATAGAATTATATTTCGTAACAATTCCTGTTGATTAAATAGTTCCATAAAATCACTACTTCATTGTCGCTAAAGCAATGCTCTCTTATTAAAAAGATTTCTTTACATTAAGTTTAAGAGAGGAGAAAATATAAATAATAGAAAGTGGACTAATAGTAAAGTTCCTATAATCTTTATGAGAAACATGAAAACGATCTCAGAATTTACTAAATTGTCTCATAAACTCCAGCTCAAAATGAGCAATTAATTATTAATTAATATATTTCAGTTTATAGTGAGTGGAAAGCCTACATTAAGAAAAGATTAGTTATGAAGGATAATCTGAATACTCCTATATTTTTAAAGTAAATTTCATATAAAATTGGATTAAAAAATCATATGATAAGTGCTAGTTATTTTTTCTAATCACTAAAATATTATCCTTAGAATTTTTGCAAAAATCTAAACTCCAAAGAGAAAATTTGTTAACTCTCAAAAACACACGAAAAGTTAGTTCCCTTTAAGACATTCTTAAAACAATTACCGCAAGGCAAAAGCCTGAAGTTTCTTTATTTTCTCAGTGATACCGAATCCTCAGCATATGCTAATAATTCGAACGAAATTTCTTTTTCTATAATTAAGTCTTTAAAGAAACTCAAGAAGATAAATATTAAATACGGCTAGTGATATTAATAACTCTTAAGTAACACCAGTTTTTTGAAACAGGTTTCTTCCTCAATTATTAGAGACATATAAGATATCCAGAGCTCATTTTTTATTGGTATTTCTTTTAATCATATAACAAATGGCTTCTATAATTTTATAAAGAACTTTAACGATTTAAGAATTTCAAATGAACTAATTATTCTTAATAGAATAAATTTTATAATTTTATAAGATGTTATTTTTCACCCTCAATAATAAATAACTTAGATATTAATAATTTTCACAACAAATTATTATTAATATTGGCAAGAAATATTTCCAAGACTTCAACAATTCCAAACAATTTTGTTAGAGGACAATAATACAATTAAAAAATTATGTTTTCAAAATATTTATGTTTTATTTTCAATATTTTAGCTAACCCTAGAGAGTAAAACCATTTGAAATATTTAATTATTTCAAGGATTTTTCCTCATTTAAAATGTTATTTTTGTACAAAAATATTATTTCCTTTTGATGATTAAGAACAATTTTGAATTCCTGAGCTAATTCTCCTATGGTCAAATATGGATCAACTTCAACTTCAAAGATATTTGCCAAAATATCGAAATTTAAATTTATTAAGATGTTTTCATTTAATTCTCTTCCTGATTACCTTTTTAAAATAATTTAGGATGATATTGAATTTACAAACATCTACGTATTAAAAAGAGATTCATTGATTTAATATTAATAGTTTTAAATGATTTTTTAGAATGATTCCGCTACAGGACTTTCGGCTCGACTATTAGAGAAGTAATAACTTTCGGGATTAGCTATTATTATAATAATATAAAACCTAAAGACACATATGAATTAAGGTCATGATTCTGATGTTCCTGATGTTAATTTTCTTATTAATTTTCTGAGAAGATTGATTCTTCTTCATTTAGAATCTGATTTATTGATTAGATGTCTTATAGAATTTTTTCACATTATTAGTTTAAACGTGTTCTTAAATCTTTTAATGGATTGAGAGATTTTTATAACTCTAGATTTATACTTCTTAACAATTCCTGTTGATTAAATAGTTACATAAAATCACTTACTTCATTGTCACTTAAGTTAATGCTTTCTATTTACAAAGAACTTAAAGATCTTTGTATAAAATTATCTAAAGAATGTTTTTTCTGTCTCATAAGAAGGATGACTTACCTTAATCTATCTTATGATTAATGTATTTCATTTAATATTTCCAATTATTATAATTGTGTATTTTGTATTGTTTCTAAAGCTGATTTCAAACTTTCTATCTCAGTTTCAAATTCATTAATGAAGATAATATCTCCCTCTTTGATACTGCGATCATTTACAAGGCATTTTTGGCACATTTTTGTTTTACCATTAGATCGAGGAATTTTACAAATTGCTGTAATTTATTAGTTTTTATGATCTTGACAGAACATTTACTATGAGTTGCTCATTAATTATTGTTATAATAATTTTAGTTAATAATAAAAATGTATTAAAATGGATTTATCATTTTTTGCTTAATTAGGAATTATTTATTTTATCTTAGTTTTTGTTTTAAGATATATTATTTATGGACTTATCAAGATCTTATTTTTAAATGTTGGCATTATCTTTTTGCTTTTTTAGTAAAGCTGATTAATTTTCTTCCTATTCCTCTTCAGGTACAAGACTCAGACCTCTATCAACTTGTTTGCTTCCAGGAGCTTATTAATCTATTTCATCCAATCTTGCCATAATTTAATCTTTCAAACCAGGTTTAAGATTTTCAATAGCATCAACCATAGTTCTGATTTCTACTCCAACAAATTGATATAAAGCTGCTATAACTTCAATACTTAAAAGTCTAATTTCATTCGCCTAATGAAATAAACAAGGAGTTGCTAAAATGAAGAAAATATCTTGATGATTAAATTATCTCTAATCATATCCAAACTCCTAAAGAACATTTGATACTATCTCTAATCTAGCCTATATAATCCTTGTTGGCTATTTATCAGGTGGAACAAATAAAGTAGGGAAATTTGGATCCATGACCATTTTATCAAAGCAGCATTAAACCTATATTATCATAAACTTAATACAAGCATTCCAAGATTTGCAGCAGGATGTCTGTAGATACTTAAAAGGGTGTGTAAACTAATATCTCTGGCTCTGAAATTCAATTCACTTATTTTTTCTATAAGAATAGGAGTGAATTCTTTCAAGACTTTATTAATTATTGCAGGGGATACATCAGTTCCACAAACTGGAGGTGCCAACGCAGTTGATAATATTTTTAATCCGATAAAATATATTGATAATATTTTATCCTCCATACAGATTTTAGCAAATTCCATTGCAGCAAGAAATAATTTCTTAGTTTTACCATTTTTATATTTATCTGGAAGTGGCATTTCTAAGAAATTCAATACTGCTTAAGCACAAGCTTCTCTAATTCTCCAACTATCACTATGAATACCTGTCCAAGCTTTTGCCCCAAATACTGTCAAATATCCCAATTGATGTAATCTTCTTAATATTTCCAAAGGAATATCAACCATCTTCTCTCCGGCTTATGCGAGTAAAGGATTAAGATATAATTCTAAATCAACATCTCCTTCATTAAAGGCAAAAGGATTATTGAAATTCAAGAGTGGTTCATCATCTTCTTTTTTTTCTTTCTTCTTCTTCTTTTTAATGTTTCTATCATCTCCTCCTTTTTCCCACCATGGTGTTTTATCAATTTTGTTATCAATACTTTTACCCAATTAATTTTATTCATCTTATATCATTCTTCTTCTATTTTATTCCTCTAATTCTCTTTATCTTCTTAAAGCATCAGCGTTCATTTATTCTTGCATTTCCAAATATTCCAAATGTCTCATATATTCTGCTGTTGTAGGTCTCTATAAATTAATCATTTTCTCATATCTACTAGTCTCATATAACGCATCAAAAGTGTCCCTTTTGGCCTCTAATCTTTTTAATCTATTTCTCAATTCCATTGCTCTAAGATAATCCTCCTTTGCAACACAAAAACTTAACTCCCTTTTTAATTTCCAAATTTCCTTTCCTATTTCAAAAATTAACTTCATGTCTCTTTTCAATTCCTTAAGGAATTCAAAATCCTCAACTCTTCTTGCTGAATCTCTCTTTAATTTCAAATCATTTAATGTCTCTCTAGATTCATCATCGATTGGAGCATATTAATAATTTCTGTCATCATCTTCAAACCAGTTGATCATATCTACAGGTATACCCAAATCAATCAACATCTTATCTACTTTAGCTATCATTCTATACCAATATTGTCTTTCGCACCGTAGACCTCCTCGCTCTAATCAACAATGTTATAACTCCTTGCAATTCCCCATATTTTTAACAGTGAAATTGAAACTTATCCATAAGGGTTTTAAGGAGCTCTTTTAGGATGTTCAATTATTTTTATCTTCAAGTAATTCCCGATTCCAGTTAATTTCACTTAAAGAGGTTTAACGTAAACATTCTCGCATTGCCCAGCCCTTCTATATTCAGCATCATTCCATCCACCATTTAATCCATCCCCTATATAAATGTTCATTTTTGGAATCCCTTTATCAGTTTTACTAGCTATCAATAAATGATCGACTTAAATTCTGGTATGAAATCTCAGGATTATCTCAACTGGATAGTCTGCAGTTCTGCTACATTCCCAACTTCTTTGTTATCCATATTATTAAGTTGACAGAAAGTCTGCAGGAGTATTGAAATCCTCGCTAGAACAAGCTACCACGTGAAATGGAACCCAAGTAAAATCGATTCTATTCATTTTAATAAGAGTATATTAATTATTAAGTAAATAAACAAATTCTAATTCAAAAACTCCTCACAAGGCTAAATCAACATCTGGTTATATAAAATCTTCTTTGATAAATATATTACTAACCATGCGTATTAATTTATTTTACCAATATTTCCTTATCTATATAAATTAAATCAATAAATAATAACATTATATAATATAATCCTATTCTAAATCATTTTTCTTGTGCATATAATTTTGATATAACAATTAAAAATTTAGGCAAATGAAGATTATTATACAAATTTGTTTAAATTCATAATAGGTTAAACTAATTTATTAGAATTTAAATATAAACAATTACACTTTATATATATCTAATATTTATAATATACTAAATTCAATTATTATTAACTTAAAACATCTTTCTGCCTTCATATTTATAAATTTATCAAACATTTCTTCTAAAAAGCTATGCAGTACAAAAATGCATCAAATGTACATAAGGTTCCTTTACTTGCTTAAATATTTGATGCTATTAATCTATAAATAACATAGTAACTATAATTGCTTGATATTTCAAATAAACTGTCTCCAATTTTGTTAGTAAGACCAATAGCCAGATTGAACACATAATTAGATGCATTTATATTATCGAGTTAACTAATAAACTGGACGATTTTAGTCAATAGCAGAGTGTTAAGAAATTTAGGTTAGATTTGAAGGGTATAAAAATAAAACTAATAATATGAATAAATAAGCAACACTTCTATAATATTTGTCACAATAGTAAAGGCTTGGAGTGTCTTGAATAATTAAAATACTTACTTCAGTATTCTAAATGCATTAGCAATTTCTACATTAACATTCATCTTAAATGCAGTGAGTTTGAATGGATTATATTTATCATTTTAAACTCCTATTGATATTGAAGAAATAATTCTAAATAGCCATCTAATTGAAATATTATTAAGAATGTATATATTGTTAAAATTGTATTATAATTTGGTATTGAATTTATAAAATATTGATAGAATACCAATTACGAATCAAATTAATAATTATTTATTGATTAGTATTACTAAATATTTATAGAAGGTTGATTCATCTTTGAAGAGTAAAGTAAGATTAAGTCTGTGTTGAATGTGCATCAAATATAATGCTCGCATTTTAGTCAATATCTCTTTTTATAATTTGCAAAATCTCAGCTATCAATTTTGTTATGATCTATACTTCTTAATTATAATTAACACTTTTTGTTTAATTAAGATATAAATTTACGTCAACACTATAATATAGAAAAAAAAAATATACGTAGGGTTTTGGTCTTTTTATTTAAACTTAATTTTTTTATCATATTTGTTAAATTTTTATGAAACATTCTTGATTCTTAATCTACTTGAGGAAATATTATTAAAAAATAGATAAAATCATTTATTGATTTTAAATAAATAGATAAATATTAAACCTAAAAATATCTAAATTTCAAAAATTGATTAACTCATTAAATTAATTAAAAATATAAATTCAAGACTTTGATTTTTAATCAGCCATTTCTTACTCTTTAACATCAAAACTTTCATTATATGGAGCAGTTGAATCGACAATCTTTTTCTTCCAAGCCAAAAAGGATAGTTTGTGGCCCCATTTTTTGAAGCAGACATACATAAAAATAATGAGCCATACAATAATTACAAATAGAACATAAATTGCAATAGTGTAATATGCATATGCGTAATAGTTCCCTGCAATCTAAGAAATATTATTATATTTACCTCAGTAGTTGTAAATGTGAATGAATGGGTAATATTACAGAGTGTAAATTATTATTGCCAAACATTAGGTGTTTCTTCCTTTCCTTTACAGTTGGTTGAATTCAATAAGACAATATACTGATTGACTTCAGCATCCTCAAATTTGCATTCTACAATAGGATGATTCATTTTTATTGTCATAAATTTGAACTCATATCTTGCAATACCTACTAACAAACGAATGTTCAGAGTATTTTGTTCCTCATATGAATATTCTTTAAGTTTAAACAAATCTGGATCCTAGAAGGATGTGTGAGATAGGAGCTTTTCATCCAGAAAACCTAATAATGGATTTAAAGAAATACCTGAATAAATGGAGTGTTGAACAATTTTGTGTCCATCATCTCCGATTAAAACTGCATAGTACTCGAATACGTTGACATCATTTATAGTCATTTCATCTATGTAGTAATTGTTGAAAAAGTAATCAGCATTTTAAAAATCAACAAAGACTTCAACTGCGAAGTCTTGATTATTGACAGTTTTGGCAACAATAAAGAAAGTGCTTTCAAAATGATCAAAACTCTTAGTTTTAGAAATAGTTATAGTAAAAAGATGATCGACCTATCCATTTTCCAGATTATAGATTTTATAAAATCGAAGTCCTGTTTCTTTGTCTAGAACGTACAATCGATCATCTCCATTGGAATCAACATCAATAACTTATCCCTGGGGTATTTTCAATTGAATAGTTGTAATGGTGGACACAAATACGAGTTGATTATTTGAAATCTTATAGACGTCCAACCCATCGTGACCACATGCAACATAAATCAATTTGTGTTTGACATTATAATGAACATTAAAAATGAAATCCTTCTATTTGACTTCTGACTCTAATCTGAATTAAGAGAGTGCTAATTGAGTGTCAGTATTGAAACTTGCTCCACCATTAGAAGTGATAATATAGATTCTGTTTTCACCCATGTCATCGATAAGGAATGGATGATTAAATTCACCCTCTGGATCATACTTCAATAAAGAAGCAAATGATTATTATTAGCTATCCAAACTGATCCCATAATATCCTCTTTCTAGATTTATGGAGAATATTTTAAAGTCATTTCTGACTACATAAATTCTAGAAGAACTTTCAGAGGTAGCAAGATCCGTGAAATAAACATCTCTTGTAACTCCTGTCTTGTCTAGCCATAATTTTAATTAGTAAGAGATTTCTAAATTTTATTGAATGGCAAAACAACCATACTCACCTATAATATCCTCTTCTACTTTTTCAAAATCATCTAGATTGAAACTTTGACTTCCAATTTATCCATTGACTCGTTTATGCAAATCAACAGCGAAGACTCCAGGGTATCTAATAAAAATGAATCAATAATAAGTAATACGCTCCATATTGTATAGACAACTTTTCTTGAGCCTAACGAGTGTAATTACCTGGTTCGATAGTTTCATTGATATATCTGGGGGAAGGTTACTTGATTTATTTGGCTTAGATGCTAAGAATAAGGAATATACACAATAACATGTATAAAATAATAATTAATCAATGTTTTTTATTTTAATAAAATTTGGTTATCTTTTGGACATTAGGTAGTTCACTAATGGATTCTTCATCCTCTTCTTTAATTTACTCACATGGCAATATCTTTTTGAGATTGGTGCTAATCTAATCAGTAGTTTGTCCCTTCAATTGTTTACGAACAGTTGAGAATTCACTCGCCAATTCACTTTATCCATCATTAATGTCTTCAAAAGGTTTAATTTTACAATCAACTACACACCAATCAAAACAGTAAGGTCCTAATTTAATAAAGTCTTACTAGTTTTGCTGAATCCCTCTTTGCAGATCTCTTTCATTTTGGAATAATTTGGTTGCTCATCGAATCTCAACCCTTTGGAATGATCATAGATTTTCTTAAGAATGGGAGGAATGTTTATTTCTAACTAACCTGAAGCGAATTTCTGTTTGGCCTCTAGGATCTTCAAAAACTTCTCTTGTCTGGTTTGACAATTGAAATTCTGCCAAGGCAATTGACCATTATAAAGATACAGCAGGACATAACACATGGCTTCTAAATCATCTCTTCTACTTTATTCGGCACCCAAATGGGAGTTAATACTGGTGTATCTGGCTGTGCCAACCATGCCTTTATTGTCTGCCTGTTAAATGTGAATGCCTTGATTATTGTATTTAAAAACCTTAGGCATCAACAAAGGGTTTGGCTAGTCCAAAATCAATCAAATAAACTGTATGATGATCACCAAAACTACCTACCAAGAAATTTTCAGGTTTGATATCTCTATGCACGTACTTCCTTTCGTGAACAGCCTCAATTACTGAAATTAGACAATATGCCATTCTAATTATGCAGGTTTCAGAGAACTTCTCGTGAATTTATTTCTTTCTTAGTTCTTCGAGATTGCCTAAAATAATATTAACATCCATACCAGAACCATAATAGGGCATTATGATTAATTTGTAATCTTACTGTTAAATTAATTGATAAGGCTGGGGGACTTGAGGGATTCCCTTCAACTATTAGAATGTGTTGTATTCCTTAACTAACAAGGATTGTTGATTTTATTGTCTCGTATCTTTGAACTCCACTTTGCATGCATGTAAAGTGCGAGTCAAAGTATTGTAAATCTTGTAAATTTCTCCGAAACTTCCTTGGCCTGCCTTTTCCACCAATTAATACTCAATTGGCAATTCAATCAAAGGACTCACCACCTTTTTCACTGGATACTCGCTCTAGAATCTTACTCTTGGTAAAGCTGACTACATATATTATTTATATAATTAATAATGTAATCATATAACCCAGCAGTCTCTCATAAAAGAAAAGAAAGAGACATTGCTAAACTCATGATGTCTAACTATCATGTGGAACAATGTCCTCAAAACCCATATAATTTTAAAGTCAATATCAATGGGTAAAACTCCATCATTATAAAGTCCATCTGATTCTCTCTATGCCGGAGGAGTCTACACAATCAACGTTCTTCTCCCTGAACAATACCCCTACAAATCACCCAGCATTGGTTTCCTCACTAAAATATTCCACCCCAACATTGATGAAGCGTATTGATAACTCTATACTTCTAGTTCTGGATCTGTCTGTCTTGATGTCATCAATCAAGCATGGTCACCCATGTACGATCTCATGAATGTTTTTGAAGTCTTCCTCCCTTAATTACTTAACTACCCCAATCCTAGTGATCCTCTGAATCCAGATGCAGCCAGTCTTCTCATTAGAGATAAACCTAGGTATTTCCCTATCATCTACATCTAGATATGAGAAGAAAGTCAAAGATATGGTTCTTAAATATGCCACCAAGCACAATCAGGAAGTTTAAAATATAGAAATTATAAAAGAATCAAAATAGGATGATGAAGATAACGTCTCCCTCATCTCCTTAGACAATGTGTCACAACTATCAGAACACTCCTATGGACATGCTGAAATTCAAAGTTTGTTTTGAATTCTAACCATTATAAATATATTATTATTCATTTCTTAATCCATAATCTCTCTATTGATTTTACAAATTCTCAAGCAATTTATCAAAATGCAAGAGGTTCTTTCTGCATCAAAGTAATAATCGCATTCTTTTGACTAATTAGTTTATATATGCAGTATTTGTTATCCATCTTATAAATTCATCTTAGAATAGACTACCTTAAATATCAATAGTTTAATTGATCAATTTATGAGTAACTCAAATTTAACAAATATCAAAGGGTCAATCTGTTATGGCATTTATGAAATTCTATTTCTACCTTAAATTTTAACATCATGATATTGTTTAGAATGATACTGAAGTATGTGATGATCATTAAGGATAAAGTATAAACTGAAATATGAATCTCTATAATAGTTTATTTTTGATAATTATGAAATTTAACTAAAATAGTTTTTTAATTATTAAGAATATTTTTATAATATTTTTGTGTTGGAATTCAAAGCAACTTAATTTTACTTTAGTGTTAATCAACAATATCATTTTTTATATTCTAGGCATATTTATCAAAGAATATATTTTAATATAGTATTATATATTCAAATATATCCATTTTAAATATCTTTAAACATATTTTAATTAGTTTGGAATTTAGTAAATAATAATAGAAAATCTAAATTTTTTCGTATAAATTCTCTAAAAATTTTTGTTTACTATGCATATCCATCACTATTTCATTTAAGAATGTCGACAAAACTACATGTGGGTAATATTTAAAAATATACTCTGAAAATAAAATTTAATGGATTGATTATAAAATTGATATAAAGTCATTTATAAATGTATAAAACAATTTAGAAATTAGGAGATGGAGTTTTTGGGAGTGTAACAAAGGCTCTTGATGAACGAACCTAAGAGTTTGTAGCCATAAAGTCTTATAGGGATAATAAAGTTAAAGATGAAAGTAAAATAAAAGAGATCCAAATATTAAAAAAGTTAAACCACCCCAACATTATTAAATTGAGAAATGTGATAAAATAAAACAAAACATTAGCGATAGTGCTTGATTTTTCTGAGAGAAACTTATTGCAATACTATAAATCGGTCAAGGAGAAAAATAGAACCCTATGCGAATAGCAAATTTAAAGCATTGTTTATCAAATAGCAAGTGCTTTAAACTATTTACACACATAGGGCTATTTACACAGGTAACAGAATAGTTATTGATTGAATAGAGACTTGAAACCTGAAAACATCATGATACAGGATAATGGAGTGGTGAAATTAATAGATTTCGGGCAAGTCACTTATCAAAATGAATAGCATACTGATTATGTCTCAACAAGGTGGTATAGAGTATTATATAAAAATGATTATTTAAGTCTCCAGAATAAATTAAGCAATAATCCTACAATCAGGAGATCGACATATGGTCATTCGGCTGCATTATTGCAGAACTCTACTTACTTACTCCATTACTACCTGGGACGACTGAAATTGACCAGTTGTATTAAATCTAGAATTTGAACCTGAATCAATATTCCAATATCATTCCACCTCATCCTTTGAGACTGATAAAGAGTATGTTGCAGGAGGACCCACATCAAAGAGTGACTGCGATAGAGATTTTGTAGAATAATTGGTTGTCACATCCATTTAAGTTCTTACCTAAAGAATTGGATGTATAGGATGACTCAAAGTATTTGATCAGTCCTGCTTAAACACCAGTGAAAGTGCAGAAATACTTTGAGAAATAGGAGAACAATTAAAATGTATTGAATCATCATTCTGCTGGGATGTTCAACTTTGTACAACCGATGTAAAACAATAGCAATGTGGATGAGGATTTAGATTGTGGGTACATTCCTTCTTATGTCACATCGCTCTAGGGAACTTAGAAAAAGCGAGTGATACCTCAACAAGCCTAATTGGCTAATGAATAGTAGACCCAAGAGGCTCGAATGGAATTGGAACCGCAGTTGTTGTATGTGAAGACCACGATAAATTAGCAATAACAAAATAGATTGAATAAAAACTTCTTTTCGAAACCGTATTAATATGTTTAATTGTAGAGTGCTAAACACACAAAGGAAAAACAATAATTAGACTGAAATATATTGAAAATATTAAGGATTTAGTAAATCATGATTTTATAGCCAAATGCTTTTTAAGTATAACTACGATGTCATCAGTAATCAGAGCTTCTTTACTAAATTTCAATGGTTTAGTGAATTCAACTGGCCAGAAGGAACTGCAAGCCTTATCTGATTCCAGGAGTCCACATTTCTTATAGGCCTTGGCTACTAATTCTGAGCAAAAGTAAGTGTCATTTTTCTTGGAAGGACTTTAACTCTTTTATCTGAATAGTTTGCTCAATGTCACTTCATATTTCTTCCCATGAACTTGTTACAAAAATTCAATCATTTTTTTTTCGATTTCAGCTCTATTGACATTCATCAATTTACGAATGGCCAACCTTAAATATAAATTTGGTATTACTTTTCATATAAATCATTGACTTCTATGAATTATGACCATTCTAAAAATGTCACTCCAGTGTCAGCATTGGCATCAAAAATGAATAGATATTTGTTAGCCATTTTGATAGCAATGGCAACATGATCATATTTTGTATTTGTGAATATTCTCTACAATTTGGCCCCTGTATTATTGGTTTCAAAAAGTAAAAGATCCCCTGATTCAACAATCCTCAAAAAGCTCTCTTCAGAAATCACTTCGACTCCCAAATACCTAGGCACTTCTTGCAATTGTAGTCTATTTTTGGGGTAGTTTCTATGTTTGTCAAACACAACGTTCAAACTGTTGACCCACATCTTGGCTTCGACAACATCCTTTGCTTAATATAGGATGGTTTATTTGAGATGAGTGAATGTGATCTTGATCAACTGTCTCTCCTATTCAACTACGAACTCGAATTCCTTCAATGACAACACTCTTATGAATTGTTGTTTTTATTCGTCATTGTACTCCTTGATCGATTGCCTCGTCAACTGGACATACACTCTTTTACTCTAATATAGCCATCCCTCTTTCACTGTTTGATTACCATCCAAATAGATCTCAAAATCGTCGGCGTTGTTCCTCTCTATACATCGAATCTAGGGATAATTTTGATAAATCTACAGGGGAAGTTAAAATTATGCTTTATTGGGATTTCTGCGATTTTCGTTTCAATCTCTCGGGAGAACATTCTGATCTAAAATAGCAATCAATCAATGGGTTTTGCTGATTTTAAACTGAGATGGATCTTAATCGTTACTCTAACATCTATTTCTATTTATATATATATGTTTAAAATATTAAATCACAAAATATAATTATTCACCACTCTTTCTTCTTCTCCTTGTATTAATCGATCTTCTTTTACATTCCTTAGTAAAATTCAGATTACAAGTTTTCTCCCTGGATAGCCGTTTCAATATAGTATTACTACAAGTGAATAATGCTCTATTAAAATATGTCAATCAAATACCTGGATTAGTTGCTCTCTGCACATTTCCCCTTCTTGAATAAGAGCTTGTAAGTCCTAATTTGATGTTGTCTTCTCATCAAACTTATCATAATTGCAATTGAATTCTAAAGTCTTACTATCAATATCTGCTAACTATTGAAGATGCTTATATATTTTGTGTGACTGTTCGATTTACTATTATTATAAACTAATTTCCATACTTAAACTGTTTGAATATTGTGTTGTAATACTTTATTTGCCGATGCATCTGTCTAATTTAGGGCATTAAAGGTTTCCTATTGTTATTTTAATTGATCATATTTTGGTTAGAGAATCGATCTCAATTTTTGGATAAATTGAGGATGGAAGATTTGATCTCTTTCCCACCTCTTTATCATTGTGTAAGCACTCTCCAAATCCTTAATGTCATCCACAATACAAAAATCTCCCAATAGTTTTTTGAGTTTTCCACCAAATGCTTTGAGAAAGGGATTGTCTTACCTCTTTTTTTAGCTCTCATCTAAAATAATTTGATGGATTAAAAATAAAAATATTCGTTTCTTATCTTTTCTTGTTTAAGTGAATTCATTTTCAATCATAGAAGCAATTTATTAAGCACTCTCAGGATAAAATGAACAATAATTAGCAGTCTCTTTGAGTAAAGAATTAACATACTTATAATTTAATCTTTAGCTTCTGTCAATTACTAGAGTAAACATTCTAATTAGTTCAAGTCCATTAGATAATTTATTTATTTTATAATAACTAAATTTTAAGTATGAAAGAAACTCATCACTCCTAATGTTTGTTCAGAGTTTCCAAAGCACTTTTAATATGCTTCTACAATGAATCAATCTAGGTCTTCTGCAATGCAAACGCTACATAAAATTAGTCTATTCTTACTTCTAGCAAAATTCTTCACTACTTATTATAAATCATCATTTTTCCTAACTCCCAGTCTTCCTATCTTATTTTTTGATATGCGAACATCTAAAAATAATATTGGTTCGTCATTTTCCTCTCTCTCAGACAACTTGAATTCTTTGATTTCCTTGTTATTATTAACCTTCTCCAGTTGAGATTACTTAATTTCAAAATACTTCTCTTTGTATTCTTTCTCATTTTACGCTTTCTACATTCTTTTGATTGTATTTTCAAACCCAGGAATCTGATCCATCTTCTAATCACTTTTCATTAGCGTGCCCTTTATTTCAGGCTTAAAGGTGCATTCCTTATCCAAAACATCTCTATTGACAACCTATTATTATTGTTTGGTTTGCAAGGCTTTGGAATCATTGAATAATCTTTGGAACACTTGATCTCCTCCTGCTTTCTTGACATTCTTTTAGAAGGATAACATCTCGTCGTTCTCCTATTTCAATTTGAGAAGTTAACCATGACGAGCCTTCTCTTGTAGTTGTTTGGAGTGATTGTAAAGCATTTCACTCCTTTAAATGCCTTTGGAAGACACAGAACTTTTGGTAGGAGTGTATGATTTGTAAGCCTAAAGTTTGGAGAAACTATCAAAGGGTTTCTCTTTGATTTTGGACTCTCTCAAGATGAATGCAGGATGGGGATTGTTGAGAATTTACGACCGAAGCATTTTGATAACCTTCTCGAATTAAGGCAACCTATTTTCAAATAGTAATCGATCCAAATGTGCCAATGATCTATAGTTGATCACCTTTTCTAAGTCCTAAGCTACTTGATCATCGAATTTCTCAACACATGAAAAGATTTAACCTAAGATCTTGGCCATGCGATCGTAGGGAATTACTTACTATTGGAACCAAGTTTCTTCAGTCTTAGATTAAAATTGGATAGGACTTACATATGCCAACATCAAACAGAAATTCCAAAACTTGGAATCCACAAATATGTATAGTTAATTCATCATCTGAGTGAGATCTTATTCCGAATAGGGTTTGACATCTACAAAGGAAGAGAAAGTCTCTTTATCCACAATGATGTCGTATTCTATTTATTCTGGAAATTGTATAATTTGATTATACCTTTGATAAGAATGAAAGAGTGCTAAATTTAAACATTTACAATCATACATTATTCTCATTTCTCTTTCTATCTGAGAATTACGGAGTATCTGGTCTTTCGGTTATCTCTTTCAGGTATTATTTCTTGCCACTTTCGAAATCATTTATGAGGTTGATTTTCTTTTTTATAAGCTATTCATAATTGCTATTCTGTTACATATTAATAATTATGATTATGGATGATAAAATCTAAAGAATTTTACAAATGAATGACTTCTAACGTTCCTCCGACATTCGTAAAATCTCTCAATCCCAAGTGACAGAAAACACGAATAAGACTTATTCTATCACAGTTACTAATCAATCCAAACCCAAAAGGAGGAAGGTTGTCAAATTAAAGAATCATTTACTCTAGTCACATGTAAGTCCAGATATTTAAAAACTATATTATTAAACCAAAAAGAATGAAGACTCCACTCAACATAATCAAACCGAATAAACAAAATCCATCAATTTACCCTCAATCTCTGATCAATCAAATAAAGGCAATCTGAATGAATTTATCGCTCTTGTTCTGGAAGTGTTCCCTCCTGATCATCAACTATGGATGGATCTATAAATTAAGGATTAACAATTAGAAGAAGTTATTGCTCAAAATTAAAATTATTTCTCTGATCTACTAAGTAATTATACTCACTTATTTCTAGTGCTCTATATCCAAGAGATGGAAATTCGCTAACTCAAGGATAAAAAACTAGGATACAAAGGAAAATACACTACCTAATACAGTGAAGATTTCAGTGATAAAATAAATAAAGACAACACATCAATTAATCGATGGATTTATGATCGAATCAAATAATCAAACACATTTCTATAAAACATTAGTACTTACAATGTAAAAACTATAGAATTATATACAGCAACATTACATTCCAAAACGTTACGATAAGATTGGCAATTTCAAACCGGACCATAAACCTAACTTAAATGAAATATCTTGTCTCTCCTCTTATGCTGTCAATTATAGAGACTGGAAGAAATAATATCATGGTCTCATTGGTCCCATTAATTCCTCTAGCGAGAAGAAACTACCATTTGTAGCTGAAACCAATTACACTCGAAATTTCGTCACACAAAAATATGAAAAACAAGATCCTATCATCCCTAAATAATTGTACCATATATCTCAATATCAATAGAGGTCCATTCCCAAATCAACCAAAAACTCTGATTCGAGATACTACACACAAATCCTAGTTTTGTTTACCCTAATAAGATAATTCATCCACTTAGAATTTGGTTTATAGTCAAAGAACCAATCATATCAAAAGTTTTGATGGGTATTAACCACACTACAATAAATAATCTACAATTTCCAATCAGGGTGAGGACTTTGCTGATCGTTTCTATCACTCTTCGATTGTTTAAAAATTAATGAAAAAAAGTTAGAAATAATAAAATAATTGATATAATTCAAAGTATATGTTATGATATGTCACTATTATTAAAGCAATTTATAGTGGAGAAGATCTTTTTATATTTACATTAGTTAATTTAATGAATTTTCATTTCTAGAATAGTAACTGTTTAAACGATCCAATTCTTATTCAAAATTAGTCATTTTTGGTCTAATCTTATAAGGATAGTATAATGCAACTCGTTCCCACTCCTCCTCTTCAAGACGAGCACAATTTGATTGATTAAATTTAAATGTGGAGATATTCATTAGTATTTTGTGTTCTATTTCAGGATTAATCTTTTTTAGTTCTTATTAGATTTATTTAAGGTCCATTTGCATCTATTTTGAGGATGGTAAACTATTGTTTCTTTCACTTTATTGTTTAAAATATTAAATACATCGATTTTGTTTATTGAACTGCACTTAATTGTTATTTTCTTCTTGTCTGATTAAGTTCCCCCAACATTCGTTTCGCTTTTTCACTCTTCAAAGAATCCAATTTATACAATTTTACAAGTGTTTTCTCATAGTTTACTTAATTCTTCTCCAAATACGCTCGAATTTTATTGTCCACTTTATCAAACAATTAATTATCATATGTAAGATCCTTGATTTTGTGACTGATGCTTCTCTTTTCCCTATTACTCAATCTATTCCCTTTTTAAGGAGATATTGTATTCTCAACAACATCAATTGTATTGGATGAGTTAATCGGAGTCACACTCTTCATTATAAAAAATTAATATATTTTTTGTATTTAAGAAATAAACAATATTTAAACTGAAACCATACAAGAGAATTTATTATTAAATTGATATGTATTTATTTTCAATTTAGATTTACAAGATTTGTTAAGAAAAACAAAAGGGTGTCTTAATCAACATGTATAATTTAAAATAAAAATTATCATATATTTTTATATTGTTTTATTTTATAATTATTCGTCAATTCTCTATTCAACTTAATCGAAACAATATGCATAATAAATAGTATAAATAGTAGATATCATATAATGAATATGGCGTTAATCAGAATGAGAGGAGTTTGAATAATTAATAATAATTGATTAAGTGATAAGAATTAAATTATGCTGTTCTCTACTTAAAGGTAAAAGTCCTAAATATTGATTTCAGGAACTTAAATGATGTATAAAACTAATATTTTGAAAATTTTCTACATTAATTATAAGTTTTTTCAAGGATTAATATCTTTAATTTTAGACATTCCTACCTTAAAAAACTCGATTTAGAACTGTTTTATGATGTTTGTTTTTGGTTAAATTAGAAAAAGAAATATCTGAAGTTGGATTATAAAACATTTTTCAAAAACCCCATTAAGAATAAATTTGTATATAATTAATTTAAAATAACATTAATAAAATTGAATTTAAAATATATACATAATAGATTTGATACTTTAAATAAATATTTAAAATATTATACAATTATAATATTGCAATTAGTATTATTAGGGATTAGCTCTCTACAATAGTTGTTGTTATCAACATCCTAATATTCCAACATGCACATTTTGATATTTAAATTTTTAACAAGTAACTTAAATTAAGTATTCATTAATTAAGTATCAATTTAGCTTTAATTAAGATCATTGATTAGAGATTATTTAAAAAGCAATAAGATGGAATCTTTATATTAAACAATAAAATTTAAGTTAATCAGAAAAAGTATGGTTTTTATTATTAGATAAGATTTATTGCAAAAATTATTAGAAGTTTTGATGTAAAAAATTCCCTATATTTCCATATATATGAGGTCTTTTACAAATGTTGTTTGTGATGAATGCCTCATATAAATTATTTTGTATATAGTACCTAATATATATGGAAACTCTTGAATTATGATGGGAAATTAATTAAAAGTCATAAAAATATATGGAGAACATAATAATTCTTAAAGTTTAGAAATGATAACAGAAATCAATTAAAAGTTCAATTTTAATAATTATTATAATAAATATATATATCAAACAATTAATAATTAATAATTAATAATTATAAATTAATTATTAATAACTAATTGAATTGTCCATCCTCAATTTAAACAACCAGATAATCGGTGTTTTAACGATGACAAAGTAACATGGATACACCAGATTTAGACGACATCAGTTTTATTTAAGATCAAATGATGAAAGATGATATATTAATTATTATAATATATATTTATACTAACTTTAAGAATTAAAGATTTTCTTATAAATTGTTGTTCCAAATTTATCTTAATTATGCGCTAGCGAATAAATGACTATCATGACTTTAATTAGCTAATAAGTCAACTAGTTTCCGCTCACAAGCATTTCTAATACTGGAATTTTAAAGGAAATTAAGCGACTCCTTGAAATTAGTGGTTTAATGAACTACGAAATACTACATTCAAACCAACATAGTATGATCGAGAAAATAATAAATATATTCTGATAAATTTAGACTAAACAACAATCTTAATGAAATATTAGGATTTAAATAGATAAGGAATTTTGAATTCTTAAAATCATATTTATAAATAAGAAATGATTCTTTCTTTGAATTTTGTATCGATCATCTTGGGAGTATTTGGGTGGAGAGACTACTATAATTAGTACTCTAATATTTATGGATTTTAAATTGAAAAATGCCCAGATTTGCATGTACAAAAGGCTAGTCTGCATCCATACTAATGTGTCTGTAATTCTAAAAGAGTAAATTTAGCTTATGCTGTGATTTGTAAGGGTGTGGAGGAGATACAAGTAAAAATTGAATTGAATGGAACTCAACATTAATGTCATCCCAGATTCCAACCATGGGGAGCTGGGACTCCAACAATGGATAATACTACAGTTCATTGTGGATTTGATGGAGGTGATCAGTTAGTGATGGAGATGTTAGCAGATGGAAAGTATAAATATTATTGTACATGTATGTATCGGTTAGTATTAGATTAGCATTGACAGATGAAAAAAATAAAAGATGTTTGATAACTGCCTATTAATATAGCATTTATAGTTGCCAATTTTGCAAGCCTCCTTACTTTGGACTAGATTGTAAAAATGTTCTCCGGTATTTTGATTAACGTTATACAAATCCACTCCGATGTAGAAATTATATTTATTTAAGCATGCTCCTAAAATTGTCTGGAATGTGATGAAGGAAGTTAAAGTTGTACTAAGTGTATTCCTGGAACAGATAACATAAATTCTAACGATAAAGCATGCTAACTAGGTATATCATAGTTTAAACCTTTATAGATTGTCTAGGATTTACAAGTTGCTCTATAGTTTCTAATACATTTCAAAATAGTAGTATTTGCTTGCCCAGCACTGTTCTCAGAATTGACCGTTGTGTTTGTATATTTTAAATAATAGTTTTATAGCATGCCCAACTGGATGTTTAGCTTGCACTTTAGATTTTCAGGACCTGTTTAAATAGAAGTGTGATTCTTGTGATTCTAATTATATTCGACAATTAGTGAGCAGTAATGCTCCTAATATGTACTCTTGCTATCGATTATTTAATTGTCCTAGTGTAAGATAATAATTGATAGGTCAAACAATATCATCTAGTGGAGAGTATGCTTATAATATACGATGTACATTATGTGATCCAGGATTTGTTTATGATCTTACTACCTAAATATGCCAATGTAAATTTTAATTAAAATATAACTTTAGGGAGTCAATTTAAGAAACCAGGCTGTTTCTTTTTGGATCCTTAAGGAAATAACTGTGTATCCTGTTATCCATGGTTTAGTTTACAATCCGATGGCTCATGCAAACTAATAAGTTGCAATCCGAACTGTTATACATGTTTGGATACAAATCCAGATATTTGTACTACTTGTGATGGCTTTAATAATAAAGTGCTTTCTAATGGTATTTGCATATGTGATTCAAACTATGGTCTTAAAATTGATGAGTGTGTAAAGTGTACTGAGGGTTATTGTTAAGAGTGTGAAATAGGTAATTTTTTCTCATGTACCTCATGTGCGCCTGAAACAAATAGAATATTAGTTGATCAATAATGTATTTGCAAACCTGGGTCTTGTGAACCTGCAGATGGAAGTGTGACATGTATTTGTAAACATTCTGAAATATAAATTAAGTATGCGATAAGTCATGTGTAAATTGTTCAGGTCCAACAAGTAATGATTGTACTTTATGTCCTGACGAAATAACTACAAATAGAATTCAGATTGGTAATTCTTGTCCTTGTAAACCAGGTTATGCTGATTATGAAGTCAAAGATGCAATATGTGGAAGTATTTGTAGTTATATATTAAGAATGCCATCCAAGATGCAAACAATGTTTCTAAGCAGCTGATGAAACTTCAAATTAATATTGTCTAACTTGCATTCCTGGACAAAATAGGGTTGTTTCTGATAATCTGAATTGTGATTGCAAAGAAAACTATGGTGATTTTGATGGCACTTTAGATATTTGTCTAAGTACTTTATAATTTATATTTAGTCTGTGATTATACCTGTGGAGTATGTAATGATTTTGGTCCTATGAATTGTACCTCTTGTTTAGAAAGCTCACATAGATATTTAACAGCATTAGGAGAATGTTTATGTAAAACATCATATTTTGATGATCAAACATAAAACACAGAGTGTTAAAGTAGAATAGATACTAATCCTAGAATGTCATTATTCATGTTTAAGATGTGCCAATAGCATTGAAGACAATTCATGTTTAGAATGTCCTCCTACTAGAAATCCTAGTGATCCATTAGCCACTTAGTTTTAATGTATTTGTGAATCTTCAAACTTCTTTGACGATGGATTATTACCAACCTGTCTATAATGTGATACCTCTTGTCTAACCTGTTATGGTCCTCTTTCATCTAACTGTCTATCTTGTGATTCAACATATAGAGAATTTGATTTATCCTCTTGTCTATGTCCACCAGGATATTATGATGTTGGATAATTGGAATGTGCTAGTAATTCTATATTAAATATTATCAGAATGTCACTATTCTTGTTATTAATGCTTTGATAATACAGCTGAAGGTTGTATAAATTGTTCAATTGATTTTCATCTTAGAGTATTAAGAGGAAATACTTGTAAATGTATTGATGGATATTATGATGAACCAGGAACATCTAAATGCAAAAGTAATTACTAAAATTATTTTTATAATAGAATGCTCATATAAATGTGAAACCTGTGAAGAGTAAGCTGAAAAATGTTTGAGTTGTCCTTTAAATTCATTACGTACTTTTGATTCCACTACAGGTTGTCTTTGTCCAGAAGAGTATTATGATTAACAAAATGTCATAATTTGTTAAAGTAACATAAAAATAAATTAAAGAATGTCATTTCAAATGCAAAAATTGTAGTGCCTAAACGGAAAGTTCATGTCTTTCATGCGATCCATTGTCATATAGAGAAATTAAACTTTAATAATGTAAATGCTAACCACATTATTTTGAAATGGAAGTTTAGGAATGTGCAAGTAATTATTATGCTCAATTATAGTTTGTAGTGCTCTTTGTTATGAATGCGTTGATAGACTTGATAATTGTACTTCATGCTATGATGATAGATATCTAATTGGAAATAAATGTTAATGTGCTTCTAAGTTTTAAGGGGCTTCGATAAGTACATTTGAATTTAATGGTTTGGTTAAATGCTAAAGTATATCTTCATATAACTGTAAGAGTGCCATTATTCTTGTGCAACATGTGGAGGAAAAGAAGAAATGGATTGTATATTATGCATAGACACGGATCATAGGTATTAAGTAGGCAATACTTGTGTTTGCAAAGAAGGATATTATGATGCAGGATTGCCTGTCTGTTAAAGTATTTATCATTTGTTTATCAATAGAATGCAGTTACAAATGTAAAGGATGCTCAAGATAGTCTGAATATTGTACTTCTTGTTAAGATAACAGTTTAAGATAGTTAGTTTCAGATTTCAAAACATGCAAATGCAATTAAAGATATTATGATGATGGTTAAAGTGAAGTTTGTTAATGTATGTATTTTCAATATGATTAATTAGAATGCCATTACTCATGCCTTAGATGTAATGACATCGACACAAAATGTGAATTATGCTCATTTGAATCAAATAGAATTTACAATGATTAACTATTTTCTTGTGATTGTGATGTAGGTTATTATAATACTGGAGTTGAAATCTGTTAAAAATGTCACTATTCCTGTTTAAGTTGTAATTCTGGAGATTCATCATCATGTATTTAATGTGTTGATTCTAACATTTCAAATAGAGTATTTTATAATAACACTTGTAAATGTTTATTTGGATATTTTGATGATGGCTAATCAATTAAATGTTAAAAATGTGATGTTTAATGTTTAAGTTGTATTAATTAATCTTATTAATGTTTATCATGTCCACAAACAAGGAAATTAGAAACTAATTGTAAATGTTAATAAGGATATTATGATATTGGATTACAACTATGTTAAAAATGTAACTCAATTTGTTCTGCATGTGAATTTACATCTAATAATTGCACATAATGTGATTCTGATTAATTTAGACAACTTAATGAAATTACTAAAACTTGTGATTGTTAAATTGGTTATCTTGAACTTAATGGAATTTGTTAATAATGTGATCAAAGTTGTAAAATATGTTAGTAATAATTGAATCATTGTACATCTTGTGTATAATTTAGAAAATTAAATAATAATAATTGCATTTGTATTGATGGTATGTTTGAATCAATTTAAGATAAATAATGTAAATTATGTCATAAAACATGTTTAACATGTGCTTATTCAGATTAATATTGTTTAACTTGTTCAGTTGATAATTTTAGAATATTTAAATCTGGAAATACTTGTGAATGTATATAAGGATACTATGAAAATTAAATAACTTATGCATGTGAATAATGTTCAAAATCTTGTTTAACTTGTTCATAATAATATAATAATTGTTTAACATGTGATACAACTCTTAATTTATCTTTAATCAATAATCAATGTTTATGTTCGTAATCCTATTATTTTGACACTTTAACTAATTCATGTTAATGTAATAATATTATATAAATATAGAATGTAATATCACCTGTTTAGATTGTTAAAATCAGAATGAATGTGCATCATGTAAATTAACAACCAGACATTTAGATTAAGATTAAAAGAAATGCATATGTAATGATGGTTATTATGAAACAAACTAAGCAAATTGTTAATGTATTATAAATTATCTACTTTTAGAATGTCATTTATCATGTGAGACTTGTATTAATATCGATACTAATTGCTTAAGTTGTATAAGTATATCGAATAGAATATTAACTAATAATTAATGTTTGTGTATATAAGGATATTATGATGCAGGAATTGAAATATGTTAAAAATGTAATGGTAAATGTAAGACGTGTTAATCCTCTGCTTCAACTTGTTTATCTTGTTATCAAATTGAACAAAATAGATATTAATCAACAGATAAATGTTTATGTAAATCTGGATATTTTGAATCTAATACTGATATCTGTTAAAGTAATCTTAATTAATTAATAATTTAAAATGCTCAAACGAATGTCTAACATGTTAAGGTTCGCCTGATTATTGTACAAGTTGTGATACCAATTCAAAAAGAATAGATTAATCATTTATTCACAAATGTCCATGTATAATTGGATTTTATCAAGATCAAAATTATATTTGTTAAAGTAAATATCCATATATTATTTAAAGAATGCCATTATAAATGTTAAACTTGTATAAATATAAGTGATTAATGTTTTAAGTTGTAAATTTGAATTAAATTCAAACAGAAAGTCTTTGTCTGATTAATGTAATTGTAAAGAAGGTTATTATGATGATGGAACTTAATTATAATGCTAAAAATGCAATTTTAAATGTAAAAGTTGTATAAATGATTCAAATAACTGCTAAATTTGTTCAAATTCAATACGAAGTAATCCTCCAATGTGTAATTGTATTGATGGATATTATGAAGATTTATAATTGACTTGCTAAAGTATCTATTATCTTATAATAAGTGTGTGCTTATTAATGTAAGAAATGTGTTACTTAACCATAAAATTGTTTGACTTGTAAACCAGAAAGATCTGGAACTGATTGTAAATGTAGTGATGGATATTATGAAAATGGATCCATATTTTGCGATTGTAATAATTCTTAACAATTTGATATAGAATGTGCATTTCAATGTGCTACTTGTAGTAATTCATCATCGAATTGCAACAAATGTAAAGGTAATAGAATTTAAGAGCCTTAATGCATTTGTCAACCAGGCTATTTTGATGATCAATTAAACGAAGATTGTTAATTATGTGATAGTTCCTGTTTGGAATGTAATAAAATTGGATGTCTATCCTGTAATGCCAATAGAATAATAAATGATGATATGGATTGCGTGCCTCCACCGAATTCAATTTGGTATAATAATACTCCTTGGTGTTCAAGTAAGTGAATTTCAATATTTTTAGCTTGTTAAGTTGCAGTTATTAAAGTATATTTATCAGATGATATCAGTAAAATAATTATTCATTTTGATTTCCTTTTAAATTCAAAAGCATTTAATTCATAATTTGAATTAAATAAATGTTTGTAATTATTTGAATTAGAATCTGTCTAAAGTCTTGGGTTAAATTGTTAATGCTTTCTTGATCCAGATGATAATCATCAATTATTAATATCTTTAGGAGAAAACTCAAAAATAAATGTAGGTGATGAATTAATATTTCTAAGTAATTCTTTATCTCATGTTAATTGTGAAACTACATTAAACAAAGTTTATTTTTCCAACATTATAATTGCCATTAAACCCATTGGCTCCATAAATTGAGTATATTGTACCTTTACATAAATTAAATCCTTATACAGAAAACTCAATTTATTTGAAATCAATAAAAAACCATGGATTAAGAAAATTAATTAATATAAACTGGACTTTTTAGGCAGAAACAAGCCAAATTACAGAAGCCTTGAATGATTTCATTACATAAATCAATTTTCTTTAGGAATTAAATTTACTTATACCCAAACTTACATTACCTAGTGATGAAATTCTCAAATTTAAGATCTAATATGAAAATTTCATTAATATTCATTCATAATCAGAATTTACAATATAAACTCATTCAGGATGCCTTCCATATATTGAAATAACTGCAAAACCTTAATATTTCGTATATGAGACGATTACTATAAGTTTATCTGCTAACACTTTATATTAATCAAATTAAAGTGATAGTTCTAAATATTTAATTGAAATTAGTGAAATTGATAGATATCCTAAAAAGTCATCGTCTTCACAATTAAATAAATCCATGTAATCTAATCCTTTTGAAAAAATTTAAGCAAGCATTCTAAAATATACATTAAGTCCTAATACAACTTATACGTTCTAAGTTAATGCAACAAATTTAAATACAAATAAGGCTCAATAATAAAATTTGAGTATTTAAATCCCATATGCTGGATTAATATGCAAATTTAATAACAAAGAAATCTAGAGTATTAGAAAGGATCTCAATTTATAGATATAATGTAGAGATTTAGACACAATATATGATTGGAATACTGATCCAGATTTGTATGTCCAAGTAGCCTGTAAGGATTTAACTTTAAATAGCACTTGCATAAATTAATTAAAATAATTAATTAATGTCAATGTTACAGATACATTTTAGTTTATTAAGAAGAATTCAATTTCTTCCTTAACTGTGTAGGAATGGTCAGTCATAGTAACCAAATTTGACTAAATTTACAAATTTACATAAATTATCGTTTTTCTTGAGGATGATTTCCCTGTTTTAGATTTAGATTTCAATTAGGGTTATTTAATGAGATAGGTTAATAATTATGAATAGCTGAATTTTACATTTCTAATCCCATTCAATGAAAAATCTTAGTTATTAGATCTATCAATTGCACTTATATATAACTATCAGATAATAGCAATACTGTAACCTAAATATTTTTCTCATTAATTTAAGTTATTTAATAGTCTAGAAGAGTTAAAATTGGGGAATAACATTAATCTTAAATTTACAGCATAATATACAAACAATATCATGCCTAGTCTAAATACCATAAAACTGACTATTAATTAACCTCCTATCTGTTCAAAATTAACTATTACTCGTTCTAATGATTAAGCACTTTCAAATATGATGGTTACAACTACTTGTTAATACTCAGATGATTCTCCTTATAAGTACGAACTTAGAGTATTTTTGAGAGAATAAGATTTAACAGATTTTTTGAAAGGTTCATCTGATAATTCCTTAATTCTTTATCCTTATTAGTCTTAAATTCAATTTTAGATTTAAATTCCTACTTCAGTAGATTCTTCAACAATTGGACTTCTATTATAAGTGCTTGATTAAGGAGGATCAATAACTCCTATTTATGAGTAAATTACTTCAACCCCTGCAAAAATTAATTGTTCCTAAATATAATTTACAAATTTGAAATTGCAAAGCAAGATTTCCTTGTTATTTGAAGCGATGAATTAAAAATGTAATGAGTTACATAATTAAATTTATCTTGATTTACTTTACTAATAAATTTTGCCAGATTAGAACGATAACATCCTAAAATTTTAAGCTATAAAATTATATAGGTAGTTTTTAATATAGTTTGGATAGACTAAACCTAAGAATCGATTATTATTTGAATCAAATTAAAAAGGATGCTATGATAAAAATTCAGGTCGTTTCTTTATTACATAAAATGAGGATGAATCTAATTCAAATTCAACAACAAAGATAGAAGAGTTACAAGATAATGTTAAGAAATTAGATTCATCATTTAAATATTTTAGAGGAATGAAAAAGCAAAGTGAAGAGGGGCTCAATCAAAATAATTACGTTTGGAATCAAGAACTTTTCTAATAACTATAAAACTTCTAAGGAGGTTTAATTAATCTATTACTTTGTTGATGAATTGTATTCTAACTTTTTATCAGCCAATACGACAAATGCAACAATTTACTCAAGCATTGTGGAATTGTTAAAGTATAAAAGCTCTATAACAGATGAAATATAGAATAATATTGTTGTTAATGACTAACCATTATATATTGAGGGTAAAGATATGATTTTTTAATTAAAAAAAAGAACAAAAAAGATGTTCAATTAATAATTTAATATTGAACCAGCAATTGAAGACTACATAATAGATTTTATTCAATATGAATCTACACATCTTTCAATAAATCCATTAATATTCAGTCCAGACTAAGATAAAATGCTTTAATAACATTTTAACGACAAAACTATGCAAATATTGTCAGATAATTATTACTTAATAAAATTATTCAATGTTATTAAAAACAGATATATAACTTATGAAAATATTTCATCTTACTTTGGCACTAAATTTGGAACATATGAGATCTGTTCTAATTAATCATAAAAAATTAAAGAATATGAGATATTGTGTATTTCAAGAACAGTCTCTGGAGGATTCCATAAATGTAATTTAAATAAAGTAGAAAACAATGAAACTATTGAATTAACTTGTGAATGCAAGAGTTTGGGGGAAATATTATTAATTTCTTCTACAAATTTTAGTTTTGTAGATGTAATTAATAAAAGCACAGAAGAAGCTGGTTTTGATATAACATCATTCTAAGATGATTTCTTTATTTTAATCATTTGTACAAGTTTTTTGACTATAATACTTTTTGGAATTTATATTTTTTAATTAATCAGGGACTTTAGACATAATTCAGATGATATAAATTTATCACAAGCTTGTAGCGTGAAGGTAGATGTAAATAAAATGATGTACAAAGGAAGTTTTACACTTTTCAAAAAAAAATTCAAAGTATACCTTAATTTAATTATTAGGATATCCATCAAGTCATCTCGCTTGCTTATTATAGAGACTGTTAAATTAAATTCAGTTATAGAATTTTAGAAGTCACATCCTAAAATAACTTATTGTTAACATTTAACATTGTAGAGCTTTATTTCTAAAGTCTTAACTTACCCCTGATATTTGCTTTTATGATTGCTAACCCTGTTATTGTTTTTATTCTGAGAATTATTTATAAAATTATTGAG